TCGATTTTATAATATCTAACGAACTACTTATTTTTATTCTTATTATTATTATTATAAATAGCGTATATAATAATATTATTATCTTTAAATAATAATAGATAAATCTCTTTATTTATCGCGATATAGATAATCTTATTAAATTTAATAATCTTATTATTATATAGCTTATAGATCTAAATATAAATAATTATAAAGATATTAAAAGAGTTTTTAAGTTTTATAAAAAAGAGTTAAATTAGAAAGAGTTCTAGTAAAATAAGCGATTTATATAAACTAGCGATTTTAATAATAATCTTATAAAAATTCTTTTTATATTAATTCTTTTTTTTAAAAATAAGAGTAATATCGAGTAATTAGTAAATTAGCTTTATATAAAGTTTAAAGTTTTTAGATTTATAATATTTAATAATAGCGTTTAATATTATTTAAAAATTTTTATTATTATAATTAATCTTAATAAGTTAATAATTATTATATTTAAAATATTAAAAAATAATTATATAAGTTTTAAGCTTTATAATTTTAATAAAAAATAAAAGATTATTAAATATTAATTAGCTCTTAATATCTTATCTTTATCTAATATATTTTATATTAAATTTTAGAATAATAATAAAGATTAGAGAGAAATTATTTTTATTAAATTAAAATTAATTAAAAATATTAATTATAAAACGCTATAATTAATTATTTAAATTTATTATTATTAAAAGATAGTTTAAATAAAAATATATAAAATATTAATAGAGAGAGCGATAATAATAATAATAATAATAATTTAATTATTATTTTAAATAAGATAATAAATTTAGAGAAAGATTTTAAAAATAATTTTAAAGTAAATATAATAGATTCTTTAATATAAAGATTAAATAGCTTAATATCGCTTAAAGGGCTAAGAATATCTTCGCTAACTTCGAATTTAAGATTAATAAAATTATTATTTAATAAAATAGCGAAAGTAGAATAAATACTCTAATTATTATTAGAGTTTTTAAAGATCTTATTAATATTAATTAATTATCGCTTTTAAACTTTAAGTTTTTATATAAAAAATAAAAAGTATTTATATATAGAGCTATAATAGATATAGATAATATAATTAAAATAAAAGATACTTAATAATAAAAATAATTTATAAATAAAGATTAATTTCTAATAGAATTATATAAAGTATAATTATTATAAATATATAAACCTTCTTCTTAAAGAGAAATTAATATTCTTTTTATATTATTTATTTAAAGATTTAGATCTAGAATATTTATATCGCTAATTACTATTATAAAACTTTAAAAATTATTCTAACTTTATAGTTATAATAATAAAATATAAATAATTATAAAGAAAGAATTTAATAATAAAATCTTAACTCTCTTTTTTAAGAGACTTCTAAAGATCTAAAAGCTAATATTAATAAGATATTCTTATTATTTTAATCTTAATAAATTTATAAGTATATTAAGAGATAGTAATATTAGCTCTAAATTATTTTAAATTATAATTAGACTATTAATATTAATATTTAATTATTTTTAATTAATAGTTATTAATTTAATAATTAATATATAATTTTAAAGTTAATATTAATATAAAATAATTTTATTTTTAATAAAATTAAGTATTCTAATTTAGCGAAAGTTAATAAGATTTAAAGAGATCTTAATAATATAACTTAATTATATAATAATATAATTATATACTTAATATACTTAGCGAGTTTGATATTTCGATTAAAGATAATATATCTTAGCTCGCTTAGAATAAAAGCGATAACGACTTTTAGCCTCTTATATTATTAATAAATTATACTTATTTAAACTTATAATTATTTTAAGAAAGAGAAATATTCTTATTAAGAAGATTAAAAGAATATCTTTATAGCTATTACTATCTTTATATAATAGACTTTAAATATTATAAGATAAATATTAAAAGTCTAAAGATAGTTATAATTATAGAGATAAATAATAGATATAATATAATAATTATTAGATAAAGCTTAGACTTATAATCTATAAAAATATAAGATAAGATACTTAGTTATTAACTATAGAGTTACTATAAAGAAAAGAGCGACTAGATATAAATACGCTAAGGCGTATTACTTTTTTTTTTTTTTTTTTTTTTTTTTTTTTTTTTTTTTTTTTTTTTTTTTTTTTTTTTTTTTTTTTTTTTTTTTTTTTTTTTTTTTTTTTTTTTTTTTTTTTTTTTTTTTTTTTTTTTTTTTTTTTTTTTTTTTTTTTTTTTTAAAAATTTTTTTTTTTTTTTTTTTTTTTTTTTTAAAAATAATATTTTTATATTTTTTTTTTTTTTTTTTTTTATATTTATTTTTTTTTTATTTTTTTTTTATAATAAATAAATTTATTTTAAATTAAAAATCTTAAATTTTATATATTTTAATTATAAATATAATTTACTACGCTCTTTTATGAGATTAGCTAAATTATCGCGAGTAAATTAAAATCTCGACCTCCCGCGTTACCTTTATTAAAAAAATAGATATATATTATTTATATATAGAATAACTTTTTTATTTTTTATTAAAATTTTGAAATTTCTTTTTTAAATTATAGAGGGTAGTTTGCGCTATTTAATACTTAAAGAATTATAAAATTCGATCTTATAACTATTAAAGAATAAGGAGCTCAAATATCGTTTATCAAAGTTCGCTTATTAAAGTCCGCTCGACAGTCCTAATTAAAAAATAGGTATACATTATTTAATTTTAAGATAACTTTTTTATTTTCTATTCAATTTTTGCGATTTTTTATTTAAATTATAGAACGGATAATAGGCTTTCAGATAAGAAAAGAATTACTAAATTTAGTCTTATAGATATTTAAAAGCAAGGAATTCAAATATCGCTTATCAAAGATTACTTATCAAAATTTACTCGATAACTCTAATTTAAAAAAAACTAAGTATAAATTTAATTTATAGGCCTTTATTCGTCTATAATAATAGAAGTAAGTTAAATAGACTAAGTATTATATAGAAAATAAGTAAAATCTAATTAATTTAGAATTAGAGCTTTTATCTTCTTTATTAATTTCGTAATAATAGAAATAAATTAAAAACGTATAGTAAGCGATTAGAGTTCGATTTGACTTAGAGCTAGGGCTAAAATTTCATTTAACTTAGAAAAATCCAACTTTATTTAACTTAGAAAAATTCAACTTTATGAATTTAATTCATAGGCCTTTATTTATACTTTATTATATAATATATAGAATTATTTTTAAAAAATATCTAGAGATATAATAAGTGTATATAATTTATAATAGTTTTTAGATTTATTTTAAATTATAAGAAGTATTAATAGATAACTATATTTAAAATATTTAATATTATCTTAACTAAGAGAAAGTATTAATATATATTTATATCTAAAATTTATTTATATTTAGAATATATAATATTATCTTAACTAATATAATTAGATAAAAGATTTTTTTAAAATATAATTAAATTTAAAGATAATTAAATAAATATAAAATTTATATTAAATAGAAAACTTAAAAGCTCTTTATATTCTCAATTTTATGTAATAATTATACTCTTTATTAATTAGATATTTAATTATTAATATAATAATCTATTATTTAAATAATTAATAATATTAATATAGTAATATTTTATTATAATCTATAAGTATAGGCCCATAAATTAAATTTATAATCTATTTTTTTAATTAAAACTATTATTAAGAAATAGTTCTTAATATTATATAATATAAATATAATATAAAGTTATTCTATTAATCTATATAATCTATAAATATATATATATATAAAGAAAGGCGCGCTAAAGTCTAATTAGAAAGATATATTAAGTATAAAAGATTAATCCGTAATAATTACCTATAAAAAATAGAGAAAGACTATATTCTTATAGTAAGAAGTATTAAAATACTAAAAAGAAATAAAGATAACGTGTTAATTAGTAGTATAAATTCTATAATATCTTCTATTATAGTAAAATCTTTCGAGAAATAAGATAGCTTTAATTCATTTAAATATATATTATTCGATATTTCTTCTATAGAGGCTTAATTAACTATAAGCGTTATAGTAGATTCTTCTCTTATAACGTTATTATAGTAATAAACTAAGTTATAATAGTATTCTCTACTTACTAAGTAATAATTTAATATAAAACTATAGAGAGTATATAATATAAGATCTTAGAGAGCTAAGCCGTATTCTTAATAATAGTAGCCTTATTACCGCTTAATTTCTTCGTAATATTCTTCGTATTTATCTATTATAATTCCTTCTCTTACTTCTTAATATAGTAAAAATAATAAGTTAAATTATAGTAGTATTCTTCGCTTACTAAGTAATAATTTAATATAAAATCATAAAGAGTATATAATAAGAGAGTTAAGCTATATTCTTAACGATAATAATCTTATCGCCGCTAGATTTCTTCGTAATGTTCTTCATAGTATTCTCTATAGTATTCTCCACATTAATCTATTATAATTTCTTCTTTTACTTTGTTGTTACGGTACGCCAAGGCCTCCTTCAGAGCTACCACCCGATTGGGCCTAGCGTGGCTTGGCACCGCACATATCTGCCCTGCAGGCACATAGAATAATCAACATCTTTTACACCACCATGAATTCATGACCCAGTCATCCATTTCCTTGACAATTTTTTAAAAAAACAAAACCAGGTTCTTTTTTTTTTTTTTTTATATTACCTAAACACGGAAATAATATAAATTGAAAGATCGCCCCCCCGTTTCTTCTTAGCAGGTAATTTTTTTTTTTTTAAAAAAACCCAATTAAAAAAATCTTTTCAATAAAGGCTTTAATAAAATTCTTTTGGGGCTTATTAAAGCGCCCCTCCGTCTCTACGCTATTTGACCTTATAACATACGCACTCAGTCGTATCGCCCACAGCCACGAAGTCAAAGAAAACAGCGGAGAAACAAGCGGAGAACTCGTGCCAAGCACCTCCCATCAAGCCGTCAACACACCAAATCCACAGTCAATGGTCCCCGGCCTCTCACAAGATACGATCAATGGCCTAATGACTGCATTTGGTGGTATGATGCGTCAAGAAATGCAGAGATTTGAGCAGAGATTTGAGCAGAGATTAGAGAGAATCGAACAGTTTTTGGGCCCCGCACTATACCAAAATCCTACTTCATCTCCCAATCCTATTCCGCCTCCCAATGCGACTCCGCTTCCCAACATTGAAATACCACAGCAGGAACTCTCTCACACGAACGACTCGTCCTACCATACAAATTCAGGCCACTTACGAGCAGAGGATGTGGGATATTTCGATCTGCAACAGGTAAATGTGGAGAAATTTACGGAGAAGACTATGGAGAAGAACAAGAGCACGGGCATCGGCAGTCCTATTCAAGCGGGCACACTCTCCACAATTGCACACCAGGCCACTATGCATAATTGCGGAGAACCTTCCTCTCGCCTCAGCAATACACCAGTTTTCGCCACCCCTCTCGCCTCTCTTCTCACCTCTCTTCTCGCTCTCGCCTCTCCGCCCGGCTACATTCGATTCGCGAAGGATATGGAGGCTATAGGCCAAGGATAGGTGCATGGATATATGGACGGCGCACGCTTGATGTAGCTATCCAGGGATGCAGCCACGAGGACGTGTCTTTTTTTATTCTTTGCGGGCATGTTGTTACGGTACGCCAAGGCCTCCTTCAGAGCTACCACCCGATTGGGCCTAGCGTGGCTTGGCACCGCACATATCTGCCCTGCAGGCACATAGAATAATCAACATCTTTTACACCACCATGAATTCATGACCCAGTCATCCATTTCCTTGACAATAGTTTTATTATCGCTTAGTTTCTCCGTAATATTCTTCGTATTTATCTATTATAGTTTCTTCTCTTACTTTTTAATATAGTAAAGATAATAGACTAAGTTATAGTAATATTCTTCGCTTACTAAGTAATAATTTAATATAAAATCGTAAAGAGTATATAACGTGGGATCTTAAAGAGCTAAGTCGTATTTCTAATAATAATAGTCTTATTACCGCTTAGTTTCTTCGTAATATTCGCCGTATTTATCTATTATAGTTTCTTCTCTTACTTCTTAATATAGTAAAGATAATAAATTAAATTATAGTAATATTCTTCGCTTACTAAGTAATAATTTAATATAAAATCGTAGAGAGTATATAACGTGGAATCTTAAAGAGTTAAGCTATATTTCTAATAATAATAATCTTATTATCGCTTAATTTCTTCGTAGTATTCTTCGTATTTATCTATTATAATTTCTTCTCTTACTTCTTCTTTTATAGAGTATTAGATTAAGTAACTAGCTAAGTAATTAATTAAGTAAATAACTAATATAACGTAAAATCTTAAAGAGCTAAGTCGTATTCTTAACGATAGTAATCTTATTACCGCTTAGTTTCTTCGTAATATTCTTCGTATTTATCTATTATAATTTCTTCTCTTACTTCTTAATATAGTAAAAATAATAGATTAAGTTATAGTAATATTCTTCGCTTATTAAGTAATAATTTAATATAAAATAACTAAGTTATAGTAATATTCTTCGCTTACTAAGTAATAATTTAATATAAAATTATAGAGAGTATATAACGTGGGATCTTAAAGAGCTAAGTCGTATTCTTAATAATAATAATCTTATTATCGCTTAATTTCTCCGTAATATTCTTCGTATTTATCTATTATAGTTTCTTCTCTTACTTCTTAATATAGTAGAAATAATAAATTAAATTATAATAGTATTCTTCGCTTATTAAATAATAATTTAATATAAAATTATAGAGAGTATATAACGTAAGATCTTAAAGAGCTAAGTCGTATTCTTAGTACTTAAAATCTTATTATCGCTTAATTTCTTTATAATATTCTTTATATTCGTTTACTATATTAACTTCTTTTATATTAATTAAGTTATTTAATATAAGATCGTAGAGAATAAATCTATTATATTATTCCATTAATCCGCAGGAGCAGTAGCCGCACGTAATTTTCCAGAAAATACACGAAGCTGGCACTGCTGAGGCTTTTCCCACGCCAGAATCGATGCTGGACTCCACGAGTCTTCCAGTCCTGGTCAATTCGCCCCCGGAAACCAGCGTTCTCATCCATTTCCTACTCCATGTCGACCTCAACATCCTCCCCAAAAGACCTCGTCACCTTTCTACATTCCTCCTTCCATTCTGCAGTACCAGTCACTACCTCGGTAGCAGATCTATCTAGCAACACCTCCCACCAGCTTTACCCTGACACTGTCTACACGGACAACGAGAAGGTCGAAACATCACAATGGCTGACTGCATCATCTCATCTTGCTGCCTCTGATGAGGACGAGGCAAAACATGCCGAACGTCTGGGCTCACTCAACATCCACCTCTCTACTCGCACAACTCTACTCGGCAGCAAGCCTTCAATAGCAGACGCAGCCATGTTTCACAGATTAGCCCCAGCAGTGAGATCATGGAGTGCCGAGGAACGGACCGGCGAACATGGCTACCATCACATCGTACGATACATCGATTTTGTGCAAAATGCCCCGTTATTTGGGCTGTCACTCTCAGCAGACGACAAGGTCAACATCGATGCTAGCGACCTCAAATTTATACACAAGCCTCTAGATCCCAAGGAGGAGAAAGAGCGCAAGAAGAAAGAGAAAGCTCTAGCCGCAGCTGCAGAAGGGCAGGCGCCATTAGTGGTTGGCAGAGGCAAGGAGGGCAAGGGCAAGGCACAAGAAGAAGCGCAATCCAAAACAGCAATAGCTGATGGCGCCACGCCCCAACCCAGCAAGAAGGAAAAGAAAGAAAAAGCTCCTAAACCAGCCAAGCAACCGCCGAAAGAGACGCCCCTCTCCCCACACCTCATTGATCTCCGCGTCGGCCACATTCTCAAAGCCGTCCCGCACCCCAACGCCGATTCTCTCTACGTCTCTACCATCGCCTGCGGAGACCCTCCCGGTACTGAAAACACCTCGGAACATGAAGGCAAGGTCGTACGTACTGTATGCTCTGGGCTCAACGGTTTGGTACCGCTGGAGGAAATGCAGGGGAGGAAGATCATAGCTGTTTGCAACCTCAAGCCTGTGACGATGAGAGGTGTGAAGTCTGCTGCTATGGTTCTAGCCGCGTCACCGAGGTCAAAGGAAGGCGAAGAGGACAATCACAAAGGTCCAGTGGAATTGGTCACCCCCCCGGAAGTAGCGGCTGCTGGCGAGAGGGTGTGCTTTGATGGGTGGGAAGGGGAGCCAGAAGGGGTACTGAATCCAAAAAAGAAAGTCTGGGAGAGCTTGCAACCCGGGTTTACTACGACCGAGGGCCTAGAAGTGGGTTTCGAGGCGAGTGGAGTGGAAGCCTTGAAGGATACAGATGGGGATAAGGGGAAGGGAGTAAAGCGGTTGGTGACGAAGAGTGGAGGGCGGTGTACTGTGAAGAGCTTGAAAGGAGCGGTGGTGCGATAGAGTCATAAAGCCATTAAACGTTACAAATACCCATAAAGCTGCCCGAAGCTCTCAGGACTCCTGTGTCTTCACGTCGTATATGTAATTGTATTCCGCCCGTTGGAGTGCAAGCAGTCCTTTCCTCATCTCCTTATCTGATGATCCCATCATCTTCCCTTCCACCAGCCAAACCCTGATATACATCCACTGTCCCCAAGTCTCCTTCATTCCCAGCCCTGGCCTTCGCCTCCACCACCTTCTTTTCCTTGGCCTCCTTGGCCTCTTTCTCTTCCGCCTTCGTCTTCTTCTTCCCACTCAGCTTTCTCCACGCCCTTTCAAGATAGCTATCCGGCCGTCTCGCGTCCATTTTGGCAATCAAATCCGCATTCGGATCCTCGCCCCTATCAATAGCATCCTGACGCCTGCGGTTCCACTCGGCGTATCCACCGCTTTTCTCTCTGTTGAGCGCGAGGTTGGCTTCGAGGCGGCGATTGTATAAGGCTGTGCCTCCGAGCGCGTTGAAGGTCCCTTTATAGCGGCGTTCGACGGCGGCGTCGCTAGTGTCGACCATGCCGGTGAAGGTGTTTGGGGCCAGAGGCTTGGGTTTGGTGGATGTGGAGTTATCACGTTTGAAGTCGGGTTGGAGCAAGCTGGAGGGTTGGGGTACATCGCCCATTGTCGATAATACTGCGGCTGCTTGGCCCAATCCTGCAGTAGGTGTGAGACCTGCTGTGATTTGTTTAGACATGCCCACTATATTATCGCTCCCACCAATCTCCCATACCTCGCTGTCGCTAAATATGGCTATTAGTATACGGAATAAGCGGCCCCCTAATAGATTTAATAAGGAGGCCGTCTAAATCGTCGTCGACGCCATTAAAGAGAGGCGTAAACCGAAGAAATCTATCCTAAAATCTAAGTCGACGAAGAAACCCTTTCTTCTTATCGGTAAGCCTGATAAAATCGAATAAAGCCCTTCTTCTATCGTTCTATTTCAGTCTATTAATCCTTTTATAAAATTATCAACCTATTTTATTAGTATAAGTGTTTTATGAAAAGAAAAGAAGATATAGACCTATTTTATTATCTTTAAACGATTTAATTTCTACGAGTTTAATTTAATTATTATTTAAGAGGTTAAATAGAAGATAAAAAAGAAAGACTATAGAATAATCCTTCAGAACGCTATTATTACGCTCTTATTTTTAAGAAACATTAAGGCTATAAATAGTTAATACGGCGATATTATTAAGTAAGAGAATATTAATAATCTAGCGAGATAATAGCTAGTTAAGGAAAAGAGAAAAGGGGTTATTATAAGAATTATATATATCTATAATCTTAAAAAAGACTTTTTTAAATCGGAATTCTTTATTATAAAAGAGTCTTTCTCGAAGAAGTAAAAGAAGATTAATAGGATTATCGATGATAACTCTTCTTTAGATAACTCCGCTACTATATTAGATAATTCTAAATTATTTAAATTTAATAAGAAGAAGAAATAGAAGAAGAAGATTAAGACGCCTAGGTTTAATAGCGCTATTATTAAGTAAATACTATATATAAAGAAGGCGAAGAAATTAAAAAGAAAGCTTAAATTTGAAGGCTATAAGATTATAAAGCTATAGCTATATTTAAAGCTCGATTATCGAGAAAGAATATATTATTACTAATAATTAGACGGTCTCGATAATATTTATTATCTACTCGACGGCGATTAAATTATTAAATAAAATAAGGCTATAGCGAAGTAGAAATATAATATTAATATCGAAAACTCGTTTATACGAATGCAAAAGCGAATAAAGTCTTAATAAGATCGAACTATAAAGATAAAGACTATTAATAAAGAGATTAAGTTAATTAAGAAGAAAATTCATACGATTATTAACCCTTCTATTTCTACTTCTACTACTACTCTAGTATTAATTAATATATTACTTAATAGATTAGATATCTTACTCTTACGATATAAGACTTTTTAGTAATAGTAGTATAATGCGTATTAATAGTAGTATAATTTATATTAATAATAGTAAGTTTAAGGCTATTCGCCCTATTAATCAATACTTTAACAGTCTTAATATTTTCTTTTTATAGTAGTACGCGCATACTTAGACTTAGTCTATTTAGCCTTATCTATCTAATTTAATTAAGCTATTATCTTATTTAGATATAGTTAATTAATCGCTCTTTAAAGCGTCTTAATTATTAAGTAATTTAATTTGAGTAGAGGGTAATATAGATAAATTACGAAGGGCTATTTTATCTAATAAATCTAGAGGAATTTAAGTAAGAAAGCGGCTTTTATAGACGCTTTAGAAAAGATTAAAGTAGAGTTATATATACTAAAGTAAATATATCGAATATCGCCTTCTAATTAAAAAGAGATAGAGGTTTTAAGAGAAATAATTATACGATTAAAGAATAAGATAAAGAACTTTATAAAGGTACTACGGCTTCGTACTATTACCTCTATTACTAGATTCGCTAGTCGTCGGCTATATACTACTTTAAACGCTCTCGCCGCCGCTACTCTATTAAAAAATAAGATTATTAATAAGAATAGCGATAAGGAGGGAAAGAAGGGGGAGGAGAAGGCCTAAATAGCTATATATCGGAGTTTAGAAAATAAGGTTCGATAATCGATAATTAGCGCCGGATCTGTCGTCGTTACATAAATCTCGAATATTTAATATATTTAAAATTAATTAATAATTATCTATTTAAATAATCTAAATAGTATAAAATACGAGTTAAATGTGGGCTAAAATATAAAAAAAAAATCTCGAGAAACGATTATATTTTGGTGTAAAAATGTTAGATATAAGAGTTTTTTCTTTATATTACGCTAAGATAAGACTTAAAACTCTATCTTTAGACTTTCTCGCTACTCGAATAATAGTCTTTATCTTTCTTATATAACTTCTCTTCTTTCTCTTTATAATCGTTTATTAATATATCGATATATACGAAGTAGATCTTAATATAAATTTTTATACTATAAGTCTATATAGCTAGCTTTAAGTATTATCTAAATAATATACTCTTCGCTAGCTTAAAATACCTCTTTAGCCAGACCTTAAGAACCGAAAAGAACTTTTTAATAAAGTTAAAATCCGACGAATATAAGGGTAAATATAAGATTATAACGTCTTACTTCTTATAGAGTTTTTTAACGTTAACGATATAATATATAAAGTAATTATTTATAATAAGAACTAACTTTAGATTAGAGAATAAATTATAGCGAGAAAAGACTTTATTTTTAAGAAACTACTCGAATTAAGTATTATCGATATTATTTTAATAAATATAATAATAAAAAATATTATCTAAGTAATACATCGATAAAACGCTATATCGCTTAGAATATTTAATAGAAATCTATATCGTTAGCCGAATTTCAAAGATTGTATAGTCTCGCTTTCTTTATATTATATACTTATTAATTATACTTTTATTTAAAAAGATAAGTATATTATATATAAACTTGCTAATCTTTAAAAAGTATACGTTATAATAAATCTATAAGCGTTTTAAGATCTCGCGGCGAAGGCTTTTTTTATTAATCTTTATAAAATATAGAGTTTTTAAGATTATAAATTAACTAATAAGTAGATTAAATCGATTAAATAGATTATACTATATTTTATTCTAATATATCTATAACTTACTCTTAATAAAAACCCTTAATTTAATTCTTATAGTCAAAAAAAATCGCGAACGATCGCTCTCTCTTAATTATACAAGGCGTAATATAAATATTAAACGCGAGGAGATTATCGATAATACGATATATAATACTCTTTTTAACGCCCTCAACGGAAATAATAAAGGCGACAGCAAGCCTATTAAGGATATGCTATTAAATGCGATCCTTATAGACATCGAATAGTAAAGGAAATAATATTTTAAGACCTTCTATACGTTAGTGAGAGACCCGAAAAAAGAAATATTAAGTATTCTATATATACGAGTAATTCCAGCCTCAACTTAACGATATAGATGGTTGTGGGAACGATAATATGATGGGCATATCTACAGTACGATTTTTGGTGGGGGGGTGCTAGCCCGAATGCTAATTTTCTAGTTTCCCAATGATTAAGAATATAGGGGTAATGTTGCAATCCACTTGTGACAGCATGTTTGTCGCTTTCTCGCCCTGCGCATGTATGGATGGTAAGGACCAAGGCGTGGTGGCGTCGCAAAAGAGAGAATGGCAACGGCGATTCGCACCAAAATCCAAACCACCTGTCGGGTCTATTCTTCAAAAGAAGCCAGTACTGATCAGTGGGTTTCCGTAGAAGCTCCCGTGTTCCATGAGTCGCTTCCAGCTTGGAACACTATCGTCTATGCGCTTAAAGGTGAGAGAGCATAAGTACCTAGTCCCATGGAAAATATGCGAATCAAACGTCTTTCTTCTTCCTCTTCTTAACCCTAGGAATATGACAAACATTCTATCGTCATGTTTTCCACACCTCTTCTTCTCCTCCCAGTCCAAATGTTGGCAGCATTAGCTGCCCCTCCTCTGCTTGAAACAATCAATCCTACTTTGGTCGCGAGCAGTGTCAATATTGGCGCTTCTCCTCTCAATTCCACTGCTCTGAGAGAAGCATCAGCTCAGGCACTATCCCTGGCAGGTGCACACAGCATTCCTCCTCCCCATGTCTCTGTCCTCAGTCCGCCAAGGCACGCAGTCACCATCAAAATCAACTTAGTCCCATCCGTCATGCTGATGTCTACTGCAGAAACACAACCGTAGGAGAGATCGAAGACGTTGAGTACCTCGTGCCTGGGACGCAGACGACGCTCCATATTAGCTTCCGCCAGGATAGGCCGCTCCACAGGAAGTCTCTTGGGGGCTATCTCCTCATCATGCAAGACCAGGTTCAAGCGCATATCAATGCATCAGGGGATGGCTGGCTTTTGCCCGAAGACGACCCTTATAGACGAGATTGGCCCGGTTCGTCTTCTGGACTGCTCAATACAATCTCATGGCTTATCGGTGTGTGGAAGGTTTCTACTTCATAGCGAAGAGTACGCCTCTGCCTCCGCTGGAAGGGGTACCTCATCTTACTTACGGGATCATGAACGATGCGCTAAAGGGTGAGAGCTTTCCCTATGCCCTTCTATCTGGTTGTTGAACTGTCTCTGCACAGGATTCTTCGATATCATGTACCATGGTGCACCGAATACTGGCCCGCTTCCTTTTGGCTGTTATTGCAACATAGCGGACGAGAAAGCGGATTTGGTGGGAACTGCAGCGATCTGGGATGCTCCGATCACTGTGGAGGATGCTTGATCTAGGTAGAATAAACGGCATACAGCTTATCTCTGCGGATATCCTTTGACCTGCTCCCCTGCTGTCGGAACGTTCTAAACCGAAGCTTGATCAAGGTCATTCTCAGACCCAAGGGATTGCTCCAACCCAGAAGCCTCAAAAACCCGCTGCATATTCTCCCACTTCTCCTTCTCCGCGTCCAGCTCCTCATGCACCAATTCCGCCGGTGATATCCTTTCCTTTCTTTCCACTGGGCTGTGGTTTCACTGTGTGGGTCTATCAGTCGCGGTGTGTTCGTGTAAGCAGCATGGTTGAGAATCGACATGCACACCAAGATCTTTTGGTGAAAGCTGATATCTCCAATGTTTAAAAGAACGTTGTTTGATACCCAGACAGGCGTACCAGAAGTCTTGCCTTCAATGTTGATCTCTTTGCAGTCCTAGGGGAACGCGATGGCTTTTGCTGGCCGTTGTCCTGTTGTTGCACGTGCAGCACTTTACTCACAAGCAATCAGTCTCTTAGAATCTTTTGATGGTGATGCTTCTATGTTTCTAAAAGCTGACGTAGCTATGGCGGCTGGACATGATGTCTGGATCTATCGCCGGCTTCGGAATGCGAGATGCTCTCATGTCAAGTCTTGGCTGAAGCAAGTACCAGGAAGGAAAGCCAGCAGTTTCGTGCCAAGCAAGCAAAGCTTCTCCAGAGCAAACGTAGCCTCATAATTCCGCTTTTGGCTCCCTCCTGTGCTTCGCCATTTGCACTCCTTCCACACCCCAATCCTGTTTCCTCCAGAGCGTGATCGACACTGCAAGCAGAAACATGTGGAATCGTAAAATTGAAAACTAAAGCACACTGCGTGCATTTTGACCAGACACTCAGTGAACAACAGCTCAAAGTGGGTCATTTTATTTATCGCGTCGTCGGCGAGCTGCCTGGAGATGAAGAGCCATGGGGTCCACCAAAGAGAGAGCGAAAAGCTGGTGTCGTGGTTGTTGCACTTCCGAGACGACCGACTCTTCTAATGCTAGGCGTGCCGATAGCTTCGTGGTGTCGGCGAATCCGAGGCGTTCGTATCTCGACCTGGCTTGAATGTTCCACCGAGCCATCGTCTTCGAGGTTCTCCTTTGGTATGTCTGTGCCAGGAGAGGCAGGATTCATGCTGACGATCTTCTTGACTAGCGGAGTCCTGCCGGGGAGATCTTCGTGTACAGCGATCGCAACGTCTACCTTCGATTTGCGCTTTTTCGTCTTGACCTCCGCCTTAGCAGTCTGTGATTTACCAGATCCATCGCGAGGGCCGACATTAACACTCGACGTCCTTTCGTCCTTGCCGAGTGGGACAGGTCCGGTCAGTCCACGATTAAATGAGGTATTCAGATCCGCTGCCTCAGCTTCGGAAGCAACGGAGTTGAGTTCACCGAGAGTCTTGTCCGGATGGTCGAGGACTAGTCCAGCAGGTTCAGAACTTCTCGAATCGCTCGAGACTGGATCAGCCGTGATTTCCTGGTTACATTCCTCCATCAGGTGCTGCTCGATGGGAAATAACAGCTCCTCGAGTGCTGCATCGCTCATGATCGACGAAGGGATGTTTCCACCTCGCATGCTCTTTACCAGAGTGTCCTCAGTCTCGATAATCACACCTAGCTCGCCATCATCCTCGAGGTCGACGATCATAGTTCGCTCGGTGTCGACTTCCGAAATTGGTGGCCGTTTCAAACAGGACTTGTTGGGATTTGTTCCTTCATTCTTGACATGTTGCATCCTTGTAGCCATTATTGCTTCGTTTCTATCTCGTTCTTCCAAAACACTGTCTGTCGCTTCCTGGTCATCATTTCCTGGCATAGATTTTGCCTTTTTGGCTGCAAACCCCAGGCTGTTGGAACTGCTGCTGGTCTTGGTGCCACCGACAACACTGTCCTTTAGATGTTTCCAGTATTTTAAGCCCCGCTTCAAATCGTAAACATCGAACCCCTCGGCTTTTGATAACGTCCAATCTTTCTTGTTGACCGGCTCGGGCCCGCTGCCAAAGAAATTTTGAAGACCAAGTCGAACGCTCTCATAGCGACTTTTCAATAGTTCGGTAGCTCCCTGGCTGCTGAGCTCATCAAAAGTGATTACGCCCTCATCAGAAAGCACTTTCTTGACGACATCATGGGTCCAGTCCTGGGGTAAAGTGTTACCACAAAGAGGCGCACCTCTCTGAAGCAGATAAACGCATCGATCCATATCTTGAACTTCAGCCCACTCTAGTGAGGTTCGATTCAGATATGGATTCTGCAGTTCAGACGAGGCAGGCGAGACGTTGGGGCCGTCCAGCTCGGACTCGGAGCTCACCGAACGCCTTGCGAAGGACTTTGGTGAAGCTTTTGCAGGCTGTTCCGTGTGAGCCTTTGCAGAGGATGCTGACTCGCGGAGGGAATCGCTTGGAGTGGCTGAATGTAATTTGGACTTCAATCGCTTTGCAGCAGCGTTTGGACGAAGGGTAGAATCCATTACATGATATCTGGAAGGGCTAATTAGCCTTAATGCGGACTTTTTACGAATTGGGTCAGGCCACCATACTTCATGTCGTAGTTCGGCGGTGTATCTTTGGAAGACAATACTCGTGCGGATCGACGTCGATCTGAACTGATTGGTGCGGTCCCACCCCCTAATTCGGAAGCTCTGCCGGCAAGTCGATAGGGATGAAGATCAGAACTTACGATCATAGGGTCTTCTCCGTCCTTAAGCGTAGAAGAGGAGTCGTTGGACTTTTGGGGACTCTTTCCGCTACGGCCATCGGGGTTTGGGACACTCATTGGGGAAGCATTGCCTTTCAGCATCTGATCTAAGGGATGCCATTTTGCGCTGTACATTGGTTTCTCACCTCGATGAGTATTGCGAGAGGACCGGCGGCGATGAGGATCCAAAGAGGTAGTATTCCGGCTTGGTGCTTCGTCGATCTCAGAGCCACTGTCACTGGACTCTTCGGGAACTTGTCTCGCTTTCGCTCGCCTCTCTGCTGAATATTTGGGTCGGAGGACATCATCCATTGGATGGTGCTTCATATCGTAGCTCACGGTACTTCGTCCATGTCCACGCGTGAGTCGATGGCGTTTTCCCGGGCGCTCATCGTCATATTGTGACGCATCCGACTCGTTGGACGCTCGAGGCGAAGAAGATATTATATTGTAAGGGTCAATGCCCACCGTGTCTGCCTTTCGTTTGACCGTCTTCGGCCCTCCTATCGGACTTGATGTATCATTGTCTGTCCAAATGGTTGTATTGCGATGGCTTGGGTCTCTCTTGATGGAGGTGGCGCTGGGTGTGGCATCATCAGACTTGCCAGAGGCATCACCAAGGTCGCCGTCACTGGAGTTCTTAGAGGCATCCCAAGCGTCGTCATCAATGGACTTCTTGGAGGTATGATCAATGTTAGGCTTAGTATTTGAGCGTAAATAACTTGGGCTCCGCTTAGTGACATGGGCGTTATCAGTAAATTTATCAGAGTCATCATCGAGATCAGGTTCAGACTCTAAAAAAACAACGCGTCTATTCTATAAAGCACAAGTAGTCAGCGGCCAGTAAATATATCATGCATAATTAACGAGACTTCATCATATAGCCACTGACATTTCTTAGACGTCCCTTCTTGACGTCGTCGCTATTGAAGTTCTTGGTGGCATCATCTGGATCATCTTCAAGGGAATTCTTAGAGGCGTCATCAATGCTGGACTTGGTGTTTAAGCATAAATAACTTGAGCTTCGCTTAGTGGCATTGGCGTTATCAATGGACTTATCGGAGTCATTATCGAGATGAGACTCAGACTCCGACTCTGAAAGGACAACGCGTCTGTTCTGTAAAGCACCAGTAGTCAGCAGTTGATAACATCTCCAGCACGGTGTACGGGAGTTCACTACATGGCCACTGACATTTCTTGGACGCCTCATCGTGATGGCCGCTACTGTTTTCTTCAAGCTTTGCAACCTGCTGGAGCGAACACTCTTCTGTCTGCAAATACCTCTTAGAACCTATCGACACTCCGCGCCAGGGAGGTGTTGATCAATGCCTCTAAACATGGGAACGACGTCCTGCACCAACCTTTGCGTCGTTCTGAGGTTGTAAACCCCTCAAACGCCAAAGTAATCTTCACTCAGACCGAGATCTTTGTCACCTTGAAGTCAAAGCCATTGAATGTCTAGGAGCATAACGAACATTATGGAGGACCATGAGAGTGTCATATTAACATTCGGTCGGAGATGGGATGGAGAAATGTAAATTGGATGAGAGGGAGGGAGAGACTGTGAGGTCGTGGGACCATCTTGCCGTCTCGAGAGTGAAGTCACCTTTGCCAAGATTCGCTAGCGATTCAGGACCTCACATCAAACATGCACATCCACGGGACACGTACCTACCGAAATCTCACGTAGTGCTGAATCGTAGAGCTAGAGCTAGCAAGACCTGGATACTTTGGAAAGCGGCAGTTGATCCGGACAAAGTCTCTATCTAGAGGTCCGTCACGAAAAAAATGGTGGCAGGCTCATTCATCAACAAAGACTTCACGTCACGGGTGGACCGAGGCTCAAGTTCACAATGCTGTACTGCCTATAATGGAGACTGTGCTTGTGTCATTAATAAACGGTTGCCCATGAGGAGCAGCGCAAACGCCAACGCTAAATGGCAAGCCATACATATTGACCGCTGCAGATACGCTCGCCGGAAGATACCATGGTCGTCATCGCTCAAAGAATACGAAGCAAATCAAAAGTGTCCAGATATTCCAGATACCGAGCCACAAAAGTTGGAACGCAACATCAAGTCGCAGAAGCTGTAAAGCTGGAGATATTATAGCCTTCTTGTCCGCGTCCTGAAAGCGGATAAATCGATGTGCATAGACTCCGCATCGGATCCATCGTCGATTTCAATCACACCTGTCCCTGTGAAGGTGATCCCCTTCAGCGGTGGTGGAGGGTTCACTTTGGCCTCGACATATTTCACCACTGGCAGCTGCTCTTCCTGGATTAGCTCGGCTACAACCTCCTTCTCTTCTTGTTCTCGTGCTTCCTCCTCTTTCAACCTCTCCACTTCTTTTTCCGCTATTGCTCGACAGTTCTCAAACTTCTTCCTCATGCCCTCAATCTCGAGTCGACAATCTCCGTCCCGTAGGAACTGATGTGCAGCCACTTCACACAAACTTTGAGTGATCTCGAGATATTTGTCTGCTTCGTCAAAGGTTGACAGCTTGTCGTCGGCACCGAAGTCTGGGCCAAGGGTCCTACGTCCGAGGCCGGCTTTCATCATCTTGGGATTTGGCCTGTAAAATTCTCCAACGGCAGGGTATGCACTCTCCTCCGTGACTAGTGACGCCATGCGCGCTTTAAAGCTGGCAGACGTCTTGCCTTTGCGAAGGTTGTTGCGCGCGCCGGCAATGCTGCGGAAGAGGAATTCGAAGGATTCTTGAACGGCCGAGTCATAATAAACGACCACCATGCTTTTCGTGCGGTATCGGGGTTGGCCTGAAAGAACTGATGCGTTGGAACCTTTCCGCTTTCGCACGAGGACGCTATTGTTGGGGACATTTCTGGCACGAGATGCATGGGAGAGGCATTGGTGTGAAGGATTTGGCGGCACGTAGATGTCTGTAGCTTTGGCGGCAGTCTCTCCTTCAATGGTGTAGCAATGGACTGGACCTTCGCGGAGGGATTCGGTGGAAAGGTTCTTTTTCTTCAGCAGTCTGCTGCCGTAACGGGCCATTTCTAAGAAGCGAGCATTGTGCGCTGCAACACTGACAGTGAGGTCATCAAGCTTTGTGAGCCATGAGGGCACATTGTCGTTGAGAAGGACGAAGCTCTGTAGCGCGTCCATTGTTGAAGCCATCCGGGTACGATTGGAGTACAAAAGGATTGCGCTAGAGGAGAGGAAATGTTGTCATGCCATTCGTCACATATCGTTATTTCATGATTGCAAATTCGTTTCTCATCATCACCGTTGCTGTCGTGGGAAATCGTTTCTCTCGGAGGGAAGGCAAGTGTCGGTAAGCGGGGGAAGCGAGAGGATGCAGGTGGATGTCTTAGGCGGACGGGTTTAGAGAGGAAGGAATGTATTTGTTTGCAGCGTTCTTCTGTGCCAATTGAATGGAATGAAGGATTCAGTTGTATGCGAAGAGAGGGATGATGAGGATAGGGAGATAGGTGAGGAGAGGCCGAGCAGAAAGTACTTTAGGGACTGGGTGTTGCAGACAAGACTGTGGAAGCGGAGGTGGGTGGACAGAGGAGAGTGGACAGTGGACGGGCAGGATCGATGGGATCGACAGAGGCGTTCCCGAAGTAGTTAAGTGGCATCTTTTTTCCCTACATTGTTCCTCGTTTGTTCGCTGGCCCTTCTGCCGATCACAATAAAGTAATAAAGTAAATATTTGATCCCTTTTTTATAATGCCTATAATGCCTACCTAGAGTAGAATATACCTTAGTGACAGCTTAGCCGGCTGATCTTCCACGTGTCTTGCCTCTACCCTTGCCATCATCATACCGAAGTCGGAACCAGCTAAGGAAAACCTTCTTCCCTACTCTACAGAGACATTCACATGCATGCTATGTCATCCAATACGTGGAAAAGGGTGGAGCGGAGCGGAGCAGAGCAGAGCAGAGATGGGACAGGATACTACATCCCATTCATTGTTGTCTACATAGAAATGTATGTATGTATGTATGTATGTATGTATGTATGTATGTATGCATGATTATGATGATTTCAATGAAGAAATACTCGAAACGAGATGACTTGGTTGCAAAGACAATGTTCGGGAATTGGGTGGGAGCGCTGTGCGGAGCAACTACCGGTGCTAAACTGCCAATTCTCTTGCCGTAGCCAATTTTAGGTGATTGCTAATACGTGCATACAAGTAACAAGCAATAATGCCACTTCACCAAGGATGGAAGATTATGAGTAGCTGCTAGGTACTTCGCCATGTTGTTATTGAATGCTTCACTTTTCTTTTCATCTTTCAACTATCATGCACCTCAACGTAGCAAAGCGATTCTTTTTTCTTCATCACTCCTTCACTTGCTCCAAAAGTCAAAAAGCTGCAACGTCACCGACTCAGCGTCATCACTCGTCAAATTCATGCCACGCTCCAAAGCAACCCGGCCCGCGAGGCGGACGGGAAAGGCTTGAGGCTTCTGATTTTCCCTTTGCCGCTTTGACCTGCCGCAAATGAAGTACCGGTAAAGTACCGTAGGGTTTCAATTCCAGTCCATCTTCGCTAGGAACTATGAATTGATAACATCAATCACAATGTTGCGCGCTAGCTACGCTTGTCGCACTTGCTCGTACCGCAGATAGGACCCTATCGATTTCGCCTTGCATAGAGTATGATTATGTTGCATGACAGCAGAAGAGCGGTGCGCTTCAGCGAAGGATTGCCAAGTCAGTGCCAACGCCTGCAGAGTGAGGGGGTTGGGTTGCACCTCAGGAGTCGCATACATATGCAACCAACAACTGCCTTTGCACCCCCCGTACTTATATAGGAATGAGCGAAGGAGCAATCACCGTAAAAGAAAATAGGAAAAAAAGGGAAATTCAACATATAATAATAATAATGATGGTGAGAGCTCGCTTCCCTCAGCTCAGAACGTGGCAAGACAGTCGTGCTGAATGATCAACTAGAATTGAAGTCCTTGCATCGAGTGGACCGCGAAAGCTCTGGGCTTGGATGGCTCATTATTCCAAACATACTTCCTCAATGATCGTAGTAATAGCAGCTGTAAGCGGGGACAGACCAGCGGCACTTGGGAAAAGTAAAGGGAGAATTGACTTAATAAGCGCACTAAAATTCATACAGGTTTTTCTCTGCCACCTGCGTCATACTGTAGGGCTGAGAGCTCGAAGTTGTTGTTTACGCGAGATGTCACTTTCTGTCACACAGCATTGGCCTCGAGCTATTTCTTCCTAGGGAAAGGCAGATAGGTACGGTAGATGATGTGTGTTTTCTACTTCGATGCCTTGGTTGGCGAACAAAGCCTGGCCGACATCCAGACCGTTGTTCAGGTGCACACCGCCATTGCGGAGACGTCTCCACCTCGCACCTCCTTTCCTCCTCGATGACTACATCCCCCGACATCAGCTTCTATCGTCGGTCGAAGCATCAAAGAAGAGGTCGGGGGCCTATGCCCACCTCAAGGACTGCAACCTCTGCCCGAGACGCTGCGGAATAAATCGCTGGGAAAAAACAGGCGTCTGCCTCATCGGCGCCGAGACCGCCAAAGTCAATGTCATAGCTCCCCATTTCGGCGAAGAGCCATGTATACAAGGCCACAACGGCTCAGGCTCCGTCTTCTTCTCCGGGTGCAACCTCCGCTGCGTCTTCTGCCAGAACCACGACATCGCGCACCAACGCAATGGCTTCGACGCCACACCGGAAGAGCTGGCTGAATGGTATATGAAACTGCAAAATGTGGGAAAGGTGCACAATATCAACCTGATCACGCCGGAGCATGTGGTTCCGCAAGTTGTGCTGTCCATACTGCGCGCGAAGGACTTGGGGCTACGCTTGCCGATAGTCTACAATACATCTGCGTTTGATTCGCCGGAGTCACTGGAATTGCTTGATGGTTTGGTAGATATATACCTGCCGGACTTCAAGGTCTGGACAAAAGCCTCGTCGAAGCGGTTGCTCAAGGCAGAAGATTACGCAAGTGCAGCGATGGAGAGTATTAAAGCTATGCACGCTCAAGTCGGCGATCTATGCTTTACCACCGACGGAATTGCCAAAAAGGGACTCCTATTGAGACATCTTGTCATGCCAGGGAAAGAAGAGGAAGGACAAGAGATCATGCGATGGCTTGGTGATAACGTTTCAAGAGACATTTTCGTCAATATCATGGAACAGTATCATCCTGATGCTCATGTTGGTAAGTCCTCGAGGTCCTCGCCAGCTCCTTCGAGTCTTGAATCATCGGAAGAGCTTTCAACAAGTGAGCCTGGTGGTGGACCTTCGTCGATTACGTCTGCACGGTATAGCGAGATCAATCGGACTGTTACAGGACAGGAGATTTCGAGCGTCCGCAGGGCTGCTGAGAATGCCGGCATATGGAGGTTCTGTGATCCTGTTCGTCATGACGGTTTCAATATATAGTGCTTCGTCTGTAGCGCGACCATCCGTAGAACTGAAACCACTATTGCATACCCGGAAATTGCACTGAATAGGCAGTCTTTCATCACCCGGTTGGTATCGCCGATAGCATGACATCATATTATTATATTAGCACCTATCGTAATCTAGCAACCTAATCTACAGCGTTACAAGAAAGTAAGCAAGTTTGACATTAACCCAAGCAATTTCTCCGCGACCCAAAGCAGAGCTGTAGCTAAGGCATTACGCGAGATCGAGCGGAGATGGAAAGAAGAAACACTCCTCCAACACTCAATTCCTCTCTCGGACCTCGTCAGTCCAAGTGGAAAAAGCTGAGAAACCACTGGATGAATGCAACAAGAGCCGCCTTTTCTTGCTGCTGTTCCGTCTCCGTTGCTGTCGAGGAAGCCGATGGAATGCCTGTGGTTTCAGGAGGACTTCCTACGATGATGGGTGCTAATGAAGACGCAACAGATGACGGGACGCCTGCAGAGGTCAACACCCCAATGATGGATGAAGTAAGCTCCTCAGGTCCTGGCAAGGTAGTAGGTGAAAAGGCCGGTGTAGAATGATCTGTCGTAGATGGAGATGTTGCCGTTCTGGTGATAGAAGGCAAGGATATGGAGTTTGGTAGGCTCGAGACTAGCGTTGTGGTGAACTCCTGGACTGATTCGTGAGAACTTGGCAGCGTCGAGGACGTGGATAACTGTGCTGGACTAGAAAGAGATAGACTCATGGAAGTCCCGGATGAAGTGGTACTTGAGCTTACTTGCGTCGCAGATGTCATGGCTAAGCTCGAGAATGAAGGCTCACTGGCTGCGCTAGAAGATGTCGTGATGTGGATAGAGCTGATCTCCGCGGTCAACGCGACTACCGATGAAGTCTGCGAGGAGCTCGGTTGCGAGTTGAGACTGCTTAATTCCGCTGGACTATGTAGCACGGTTGACGACGAAAATGCAGAGAAGCTTGCCGACAATATGCTCGTCGAAGGAAATGAGAAGATCGACTGGGACGAGTGACTGCTCAATTCGGCTGAACTTTGTGGGATGCTTGCCGGTGAAGACGCAGACAATCTTGCAGGCAAAGTCGTTGTCGATGACAACACAGGTTGTAATGTTGAATTTGGTGAAGCGCTTGCAGACAACAGAGCCGTTGACGTGGCGACAGAGAAGACAGCTGAGTTAGCTAAATAGGTTGCAGATGTATTCATAGTTGAGGAAGCGGTAGAGTGCATTGTCGGGATTGATGAAGAAGTCGTAGAAGAATCTGGGATTGAAATAGCCACAGATTGCACTGTCGAGGTCGTGGACGGTATGACTGGCACTGAGGAGGTGGCCAGAATTGTAGAGTCTGCCATTGTCGACAAGGTTGCAATCGTTGGGGATGATGTCGGGACAGCGCTCGTTGGGACAGCAACCTCCGAAGACGTGGCTAGGGCTGTCGACAAGGCTGTAGCCATTGAAGACGGTGCTGGCACTGCGCTCGAAGAGAGATTGTCCGCCTTGATGATGTCGGCAGCCTTTGCAATAACATTAGATCCGTACTCATCGAAAGTAGAATCAGGTTTTCATACCTTCTCTGCTACTCCGTATACTACGGCCTGCAAATGTGCAGCTGGGATTACCGGGAAGATCCCTGCGTCGACCACTCTCAAGTTCTGCGTACCTACACAAATTGCGGAGTCAGCAGAGCTTCTTTAGGGCAGGGGATGAAGTCTTGAGATGGCTAAAGGGAACAAAAAAGAGCATTGTATTCCCTGAAATATGTCTTCCAACCCAGTTCGGTAACAACAAGGAAGAATACACTGCGAAACATACCCCAAACCCGTAAGTGCGAATCCACAACACCGCCCTGCTCAAGTGGGAGCATTGCCAATGTGCCACTAGGGTGGAATTCGGTGCGTATTCCGTTGTTGATCACTTGATTAATTGCGTCTTCATCAGCGTCAACAGGCGGTACAAATTGTGCCGCTTGCAACTCGACCATAGGAGGAGTGGCAAGGATCTGTCGGTTGAATAACAGTGCCTCAATCAGGACTTGTCTATCCACAGGGTTGGTGAGCCATCGAGGATCGATAGCAGGTGGCTGGAACGGGTCAGCAGACTGAATGTAGCAGGTACCGCGAGAGAAAGGATGCATGACAGATACTGTCAAGCTTCCAGCATTGTTGTTGATGATCTCATATGCAGCTACGGTGTTTTGCGCCAATCGTGTCACCAAAGATTGTTTCTGAGCAGTATAACCAGCGATAATCGTGGGATCTAGCCCAGCAACCAGGTAGTCCGTTGGGTTCTGGCTGCTAGCGTTGCTAAGAATGCTGGCTGAATTGTTGCTGATCAATGGCAGAGGATTAAACGCCAATGCATTTGGGGATCCAGCCGTCCAAGGACCTAAGCCTTCAGCCACAATCCAAAGTTAGAAGCATAGACATTTGCTTACCAGTCTTGTCCGTGTCATATTCTTGTTCAGCTTCCAGATTATAGGTAGCGTTGGTCGTTAGCTCAGTTGGCGAGGGATAGCTGGCGTTATTATCTACCCCTATGGTCAGCGTCCAGCAACGGGGATTTATGGATCAGCAAAAACATACAAGGATAGAAAGTTCCGACGAGAGGGTGATCTTGAAGGTTATTGCCTACACCTGGCAGACTGAGCGCTACAGTTATGTTGTACTGATTGAGCAATAACTCTGGTCCAATGCCAGATAATTGTAGAAGCTGGGCGGAGTGCAATGCACCAGCAGCAACTATGACTTCCCTAGTAGCGTAGACTGTTTGACGTGGAGCAGAAGCATTGGGTGCGAACTTAAAATATTTAGCTGAGTGCATCAAAGGGAAGGACGGTCACCTACTTCAACTCCTGAAACTCTTAAGTTAGAATTGCCAGGGTCCTGTCTACGGACAAAGCGAGGAGGCATTTGCCCTGATAGAGGAGGAGTGCTTCCACCTGGACCAAATCCAAAGCCGTCATTGTTGCCTGAGGCAGGCCCGTTGCCATTGTCGTTGCCACCAGAGGTTGGGTTGTCCACTTCGCCATTGCCACCAGTACCTTCGATCAGCACTCGTGTCACATGCTGTCCAGTGATGACATGGAAATTGCTTCTGGTGACGTAGGGATCGAAGTAGGTCCGACGAGCATCGGAACGTGTTTGGTTGTTTGGGTCAAGGTCTGTGGGCACGAAAGCAGGTCCTGCAGAAGTACCATCGTTGGGGTCAAATTGCGTCGGTAGACCAAGGAGATTCATCCCAGCGAAGAGATTGACTAGTGCAATTAGATGTAACGTGACCCAGTGCAGACCGGAAGGAGTACGTACTGGATTGAGGATAGAAATACTTGGGATAGCTGACCTGCACAGGACCAGATGTTCCATGAACAGCAGGGTTGTAGTGGATCGAATATTCGTCTGCAATCTCGTCGGAATATACAGGGGTATATGTCTCACTCTAGGGTATATGTCAGATACCAATGCAGTGAGCCATCGGAGTAACTTGCCTTCATGAAATACGGTAGGATGCTAGCCCAGCCCCATCCAGGATTGCCAAAGGCTTCCCAGGCATCAAAGTCATCGGATCCACCTCGATTCCAGCACATAGCATTCAAGATGCTGCCGCCACCGAGGACTTTGCCCTGCGGCATTGGCCGAGTGTTGCCGTCGAGTTGAGTCTGTGGTACAGTTTCAAGGTCCCAGTCGTAGATACCACCAATGTCTGCTCCCACATAGACTGGGTCCTGAACAACGGCCTCATAATGATCCCTGTTAAAGTAAGCAATAGCACTTGACTCAAGGAGGATAGTACTCACGCGTCACCGGCTTCGATGCAAAGGACAGTCCGAGATGCAATTTCCGAGAGTCGATTACTGACGACAAGCCCGCTGATGCCACAGCCAACAACGATGTAATCATAAGACTCAAGGAGTGGCTCATTGATGTCTCTTCCGTGAAGATGGACTCCAAGAGCTGCAGGTATCAAGTATAAGAAAACAGCCAGCACGGCCGACGTGAACCTCACCATGACGGGCAGCAATGAATGTGTAGCAGAGACTGCTTTGTGATTGCCCAAGGGGGAACAGACGATGAAGGAGTGTATACGCTCTCAAAAATGATTGATTTGAGGGGTGGGATGTTGATTGGATATGAAGAAGAAGGTGGATGGGAAGTGTTGAACGGAAGTCGTCATGACCATATTTCGTTGACCAGGCGGCCAACAACTCTAATTTGCATATCTCCATGAACAACGCGAATGCTCCTTCTACTTCAACTTTGAATCTCGTACTCGGACCGAATACTTTTAACGTCAGGTATTCGATTTTATGTTTTTTCGCGACGCCCTGAATGCAGTAAGAGTCTCAAACCAAGTCTACGTCACGTACACTAAGATCGTGCAACTTTAGTATCTCAGCATTGATCTTGAGAAGACGGTCTATACAGATAGATCTCCCCACTCGAGCCACAATGTTGGGCGTAGCTTACCGAAGAGACGAGTCACCCCGGTGATGAGAGAGCAATGCCACAAGACCGCAACACTTGATTCAAGAATTTGATGCACTTCTGTCCTTCCTTTACTCGACCGATTGTGTCCCTCATTCCCTTCCCTGCATCCGATAAAGCCTCCCACGAACCGTGTAGCTCGCTGGAGAAGACATCTACACGCCTCACTCCTATAGCGGGCAGTCAATCTCCTTTTTGGTGTACAACGGGCCTGTATATTTCCATCTCTGGTAAACGTCAGATATCCCAGAGCTCGCTGGCCTTTCGACTGAATTGTCGAAATGAAGGCAGTGGATTGATGATCGGTCATTTGCTGGTGGCGTGCCAGGAAACAAATGTGTGGACGAGTGAGAATCTAGAAGGGTGCATCATCCACAGTGAAAGGGTCGCATGAGTGCGTATGCCAATGAATCACTCCATCGTCGTATCTGGGTCTGTTGCTCAATGATGGTTAAAGAGTGGTCGACCGAAGGATCTGCGGATAGAGAGTCAAGCGCGCTTACCTAATATCCTTTAAAGAGCGAACGACATGTCATCCTTCAACTTCCATTTACTGGACCACCGCCTTTTCCTGGGATGCTTCAATGTGGAGAAACAATTTGGAAGAGTCTTCGAATATTGCCTGCAAATACCAGTGAGCGTCGGCGCTGAGTAATATCGCTCTTTCGGCGCTTCGGACAAGGCTAGAACATTCAATGGAGATTGAGAAGAGCCATGCTCTCAGCATTTGAGTCTGTCTCGCCTCTCCATGTCTCTGTTTGCCCTGTGATCATCAGAGTGACTGGCTGGGCATCGTTTTCTGCGCGCTCTCCTCGCTTTCTCAATATTGACGTACCCACCCGCTGTCATTTAGACCATGACGACCTGAGCCTCTTAGAAGATTGGATATTCGTGAATGGTTGCAATGAGACTTTGCAAGTCTGATTGTCATTACCCCTTAGATGTTTAGCAGCCCGTCGTCATATGGGCTTCGGCTTCTCACCCAGCTTTTCTCCCCTTTTGCCTGATCCCAAGCTCTTCAAACATTGAGAATGATAGCCAAATGGCCCCTTTTTATCCCTGGGTTGGCCGTTGGTCCTTACACCATATGCTTACTGTATGGCTTTATGGCCGTTGGTTTAAGATCTCCTGTGAGCGCAGCCATCGTCACTCCTGCTGCCATCCTAGAGTCCCCAGTATAAGGCGACTTGGCGCCTCGCAAGTCAAGGGAGCCACGCCATGTTGTATGCGGGTGATGAATGTAGATATTTTTGGGCTAGACGAGTGCGTGGTTTATGTCTATGGAAGTCAAGCATAGAGTCTTTGAGGCCAGAAGTGTGCAACTTGAGTCCAAACCTGAGCCGGATGACGTGGGAATAGATCGGTCGTCTTATTTGAGTGCCCTGCTGCGCTTCCATTGAGTGTTATAGAGGTTGGCCACAGGAGCGACCATGGTGCTATTCAGAATAGCTGCTTTCCACAAAAAAGTTGCGTCAGATGTCAACTGTTGGATCAAGAGGCTGGGTTGTGAGCTTCGAAGTGGAGCATGGCAGATTTGCTTGCTATCACGGCGCGATGAAGACCTGTCGCGACCTAGCGACACGCTATATTTCGTCAACACAACAGCTAGCGAGCTCGACCAAGCTGAGCGTCACGATCTTTCGACTCTTGGCAATCTTAAATTCGCTGCGAACATCACAGCTACAGCTCAACTCTCTAGCTTTTGCTTGACCTTTCGACGAATACCCAGATACTTCCAAAGCGTTGCAACACTCCAGGCCGAACGCGTTCAATCGCAATCAAGACTACTACAGGGAAAAACTTCGCCATGTCTGCGTCGTACTTGAACCTTGACACAAAGATGCGCGCCATTGTCAACAACTGCCGCTCTGTCAATAGACTCCACCCGGTTGTATCTGAGTTGTGCGGGTCCTCTGAATTCAAGCACTTCTTTTTGAGTAGCTTGAACCAAGACCTACATGTGATTTGCCAGCGCTCCCAAGTACTTGCCCATGGTGAAATCACGGTTATCCAAAAAGCCTTCGGTGTTCTCATGGAGAAGAAAGAAGATCTCATCCCTGCAGTCGAACTCTACGTGGATGAGATCCTAGGTCTCAAGTTCGTGTCAGAATCCGACAGAGCTACAACTTTGGACACAATGATTCAGACAAGGCACTCTATCCTGAGCCGTATGTTCATAGGCCCCACCTGGTCGACCAGTGAGCCCCGCCGCTAATGCTCATCAACAGTAGAAGCCTACGGCAGCAAGCCTAATCAGTTACCTAAAGCAGGAAGTTGCGCTCTGCCATCATGTAGCCATTCAGCATTGAGTGACGACAAGCCAGTCAGTGAGGCATGGTTCATCTCCGACGGTAGCGAAGAGTCCCGAATCTCTGAAATGCCTCATATCGCTGGCGAGCAAGACGAGAACTATGGGGACGAGAAGCTCAAAAGGCTGTTCATCGTGTACCATAAAGCAAGGAAAGATTACGATGCCACGCCAGCGAAGACCCTAGAGCGCACAAAGTCAGCCAAATTCTTGCGCGACACAACGGAAAATTGCCTCGCATACATCGCGGCGAAGCAGACCCGACCCGGAGGAAAGATGCTGGATGAGTTGAGAGCTACCCTTGAGGAGACTATAGCAATAGCAGAGCAAGGGTCTGGAGGCAAGAAGCGCCGTTTCGATGAGAATTGGGAGAATGTTCCCCAAGAGCCTGCTAAGATGCGAGGTCCCCGTCCATCTGTGGCTCCGCCATTGGGCAATTCTGACCCTGTCCCCAGAGGCCGAGCTTCAGATACAAAGCCGAGACCTATCACTTCTCGTATTCAGGAACATCAGGTATCACGAAAACCCGACTACCGCCAGCAAAATACGAACCTGGCCGAGCGTAGACGCTCAGATCTACCTCATCAGCTCTATCCTGCCTCTGCTGGCCAGTCTGTACGTCGTGTGTTCGGACATCGCCACAAGCCGCATGCGGAGCGAAAACCCTTTAGTGGTCACGTTTACGGAGATCGCTACCGTCCCACGTACATATGATCTGGGCGAAACCGATAGATGATCTTGGCAAACATATGGTTTGGCTTGATCAAAGATTGGTTACGGAGGGGTTAAGCATGCATGGAAAGGACTGGAGGGTTCGCTGTTGTCCTACGTACAGATGATCATGGCAAATACGAAGGTCTGGATCAGGGATTGGTCATGGAGGGATTGAGGATGCATGGAATTGTCTGAACGTTTCGTCGGTCATTCTGGTCTTTTCTTCTAAGGTTGTGGAGTCTCATCAACCAGACAGAATGGGTCGCTTTTCATAAAATGAGTATCCAAGCATCTCTTGTAGTCCATGGTCTTCAGGTAGAACATAATCATTTGGCGTCAGTACTCGTGGAGTATGTTGGGGATGGGGACAGTCGACTTGCGAAACAATGTCACTAGTAGTGTCAGACTCCACATAGGTACATTCTAGTCTGCACTCAATCTTTCCTATCGATGCAAGTGAAATGTATGTATTTCGTAACCTCATAGCATGGAAGTACGCTCGTCATTGGCTTCTGAACGTCGCTGAAGCCTTACCTTGCTGAAACGCGATATCCCAATGTTTCAATAGCCGTTCAGCCTGGTCCATTATAGTTTCGACCATCCGGTGTACATGCTGCTCTACATGTCACGTGTTATTTCTTGGCGCGTCTTTGATGTTTGTGCTCCTGATACGTCTTGGTCTCATTGCAACACCAGCATGACGCCTCCACGAAATGCTCCACGAAATCCTCTTGGCGTTGGGTTCGGGTAGTCCATCACCGCTTTTATATCCCCAGTCTCACAAGGCTGGCGCGGGTCACGGGCTCCTGCAGAGCTTCCTCTCTCCTGCAGAGCAGGCCTTGCTGCAGTCCTTAGCTCACAATCTTGGTGACAGGAATAGGAATATCCGGGACAATGCCTCAGCCATATCCTCAATTCACCCATCGACAGTCTGCCGCGCCGTATCGACAGCTATCATCTCCATATACCTTGCGAATTTTCAACAAAAAATCTTGGAGGTGGAACAAGAAATACTGAGAGAAGATGCACGCATCGTCGGTGCCCACAATATTGTACCACTGTCCGCCATTGTTGGGGCATTTGATGGATGGAGTCGAAAGCTTGAATGGCTCTGGAAGCTCGTACAATACATCCAGGCACCTGCGCCAGGAGAAGCACAGCATACGCGATCGAAGCATGAAAGCCGCACGGCGGCTGAGCTCATTGGCCATCTCAGAGAATCTACACACACCGGATACCCTGACATCGAGGCGATCTCTCTTGATCTAGTGAGAGTGGCAGAGACTGCGTGGCTCAAGCAAACTTCTGCATGGGTTCTCTACGGTCGACATCCAGCCTACGGGGCTGGGGACTTCTTCATTGCTCGTCATGCAGCTAGCATGAGCCAGACTGAATTACCATGGGAGTATTGCGTCCAAGACAGCCTGGTCCCTTGCTTCGTCACTCCACACACAGCGCACTCAATCCTCTTCATCGGCAGGTCTCTTAATCATATTCGAGAACGACAGTCATCCTTCTCAGATGGCTCCTCTAAGGCGGCTGCTCCAGAGCTCGCGCTGCTTTCCAACCACCTCGCGCATCTCTCGTCACTGGAATTTCCCCTCAGTTCTTCCAGCTTTTCGACCGCCATTGGAGCAATTCGGCTTTCACTGTCCCAAAACGCACTGCAAAAATTACTACCATTGACTAAGGTTTTGGAGATGCTACAAATACTGAAAGAATTCTTCCTTCTTGAACGGGGGGAATTCGCCGTGGCCCTCCTCACTGCCGCCGACGAGCGTCTTACATCTAGAAATCAAGCCGTAAGATCTAAGCAGAACCTAGTCAATGAGCTGGCCAGCATGACCATCAAGGAGGGAGAAGTATCTGCCGTGCTGGCTCGAGCTTGGACCGCTTTAGCGTCGTACCAGAGTCTTGACGACGAAGATGTGGATGAGGAGCTTGATCAGGCTCGGGAACTCATCCGCCTGTCTATCAGAACAGTGGATGCAGACCATACTTCTAAGCCTTCGTTGGCTTCTTTCAATGATCTTTTGCTGCCTGCACCAACAATACTAACCCTTCGTGTGCCGTCTCCATTAGACCTTTTCCTTTCTGCATCTGATGTCGATACTTATTCTCACATTCATGCCTATCTTTTATCGATCCGAAGAGCACATCTTCGCCTCAGTAAGCTATTCTTGCTGTCGGTCCTTCGGAGAGACCATCCATGTCCGAAGGCGCCAGAATCTCTGGAACACCACCATGCTTTTGACGTAATTGCCCGGATGAGAACCCGAGCAGGTTACCGTGGGAGGATTCTGCGCCCTATCTGGGCCACAATTGCCTCCGCAGCCTTTTTCCTTGCGGAACTCGGAGAATTCTTTCAAGGAGAAGTTGTGAGGAGTTCTTGGTCAACATTCCATCGATGGCTGATGCCAACTTTGCCTCACGACCTGCGATCTGTAAATGACAGTTTCATGTCCTCAATTGGCTCGAGTGGACGGTCCCGTAGCCCGAGGCCAACTTCTTCACAACCGGTTCCAGAACCAGCAGCGAGGTCCTTCCAGGATCCCGAGACTCTGACGCAAGCACACAAACGCTATCTAGCATCCCTTGAAAAAGCACTCCTACTCCATGACCCAACCTTTACCACGGCGTTGCGTAGATTCATGACATCCATAGATCATATGTCGGCCTTGATGCAGCGTCTCGATACCATCCAGCGGAACATGGACTCAGACACGCAGAACGAAGTCTCGATTGCGACGAACTACTTCGCCGCGGAAGAAGAGAGACTAGTGCTTGACTTGAAGGCTTCTCGTGCTAAGGTCGCTAGCGGCGTACAGGCTTTGATAGAGGCGTTGCGGGCCATCGATGTCGCAAGAAGTGCCGAACGGAACTACCGTGGCGACCAGGGGCTTATGCAACATGATGGATTTGTCCCATGGACTGGCGGCGACGTTGATCGCTTGCTTTTGAAATTGGATTACGGCAACGTGCAAAACCTGGCATGAGAATTGGTTGGTGCCTAATGAGCAGCCACGTTAACCGAATCCTGTTTTCTTTAACTCTATCCGTCCATCATCCAACCGTCACTCTACCATGCGATTACAATTAGAATATAGAGCTGGAGCTCAAATCAGAGCAGCGATGAGACTCAAGTATGAGGAGTTGTTGCTTATTTCCTTTCTCTTTCCTATTCTTTTCGATTTCCTCTACATCGCTTCGTCAATGCCTACTTTACGGGGAAGCGATGAGGCGTCGTTCAGGTGAGAGGCTCATTTCCATTTTGCATAAAGTAGGCGCTGCGGAAGAAAGATCTAATGACATAGTAGGAAGGTGCAGCAGATAGGCGAGGGCGGCGAGAATGGCAGACCCGAGCCAAGGCATGGTAAGGACGCTAAAGTAGCAAATACTGGTCATAGGATACTTTGAATCAGCCGCCATTTCCTCCCTCATGATGTTTGACCGATTTCATGCAGTCTTTACCTTACATGTGTTCGCCATCGTCGTCTTATGCCAAGACTCGTATCTCTTCCTAAAACCCATCATGCCCCTGGCTTCACTCTCGTATAAAAAATGGGTTTCAGAATTCCCAGAATAGCGCAGTCTACTGTACATTTTTGAATTTCTGAAGTCATAAATACGTCTCCCAAATCCCCAATTATGTTCTCAGCACCATCCCTCATCTTCGCGTACAAGGACAATTCCTAGCTCCACACAGAGTGTCTTCGCTTCCTTTTCAATTCAAACCCACCAAAGATGAAGCTCCTTCTCTGCCTTCTTGCTGTCCTCACCTGCGCTATCGCCTCCCCAATTTTGCCCGACAAGACTTCAAAGACCTTCAAGCTCAAATTTCTTGTCCTCTCCCCTCCCAATTCATCCTTCAACAACCTCTACCTCGAACCCTATCACATCTACCCAGGCGCCAATTACGCTGTCCTTTCGCCCAAAAGCGCTACTGATCCTGGCGTCATCGGCTACCTGAACGGCACCGCCGCAGATTTTGCAGACGAAAACACGGATTTATTGTTCAATGGCAATCCTGCCCCCTACGGATTCATTATTGATTCGGTCAATGCTACGTACAATCCTATCCTGATCAATGCGGGGAAGGGGACCACAGGCATCTTCATCGATCAGGGTATCATCAAGTACCATAATCCCATCTCTGGGGGGTTCTGTGGTAAGTAGACACCCCCTGCGGAGGAAGTAGACGGTATAGGCTGACCGTTCTAGCTTGCAACAACACGCTTGAATATGGACCAGCGGTGCAGCTCTTTTACAAGCCTAAGGTCATCAACACGCCGACGGCTTGCTCGGATGTAGAACTGGTGGTTGAGTGTGTCGAATAGACGGTTGCTCCTGAGAGGCTGTGGGCTTGTTTGTGACCGTGTTGATTATCTAAAAAACGTGTCATGATTTCCAGAGTCTGGTGATGTATTGTTTTACTTTAGACCTGCTTCTAATGTCCTGCGACGCTATGCCATAACCTTACAACCTTCTGACGCTCCCCCTGACTGCCTGAACCAATTATGCCACCGCAGCTAGCCGAAGCATCTCATCTTCCCACCCGACTTGCTCATGGTACACATCCAATTATCAGGAGCCTAGCTTGGAAAAGAGCCGCCTTCCTATAGACCCACAATTTTGGGGGGTCAAGCTCGGGGGCAAATGGGTCCTGAAAGATTTAATCCCAAGACTGCAGTCAGTTTCGAGGCTCGTAGCTCATATTTGGTCTCAGTCTCTGACTCAAACGCCCGAACAGTCCTGCATTGTGCTCGAGTTTTGCGTCGTACAAGATCTTCTGTGGGTTGCGGGACTTGAAAGATCAACGAGCGTTGGGTGCTAGGTATCCTCGCTGCAGCGAAAGATGAGAAGGAGGCACTGGACGTTGAGAAGTCTTCTAAGAGATGAATGTGGAATTTGACACCCCCCGTTGTAGAGGCTCAAGAAGCATTACATTGCGTTTCCTGAGCGTCCAATAGAAGAGCCGTTAGAACCATGTCTTCCGATGATGGAAGCACGTAATAGAATGCTCGTTCGCTAGACAACTCTGTCTTCCCCGAGCGATACGCTTGAATTGCGCGGATTTCGTGGTTGTACGTACAACAGTGGTGTTCGATCTCAGATTACGGGTTTGGCTTGAGAGAGCGTGACTACCCTTTCAGCAGTATCAGCTCTACATATCAGCCCAGTTGTACAATTAGATTGGTCAGTATTGCATTTGTGCAGTGGAAAGATGATATCCAAGAAGGCAAATTGGCATTTTGATGACTTTGGACCCTTGGCTTCCTTGAGAGTCTCAACGTCATCATGCTCGTGGCTGCTTCGGAGTACTCTTTACTCGACGATGTCTCGTCACTTACTCCTACCTCCAGTTCTGACTCTCTTCGTTGCAACGAAAATTACAATACTCGCATAAACCTTGCTCAAACTTCGTCTACTCAATTCCCCTCGTTGAATAGCCAACAAACTCATCATAGCTTCTCCACCAGTTCTTCGCCTTCGCACCCTCCTCCGCACGATGTCTACCACAACCCAGCACCTCACGACGCCTGCGGCCCCCTGGACCCCTAGCTTTGAATCCCATCTCTCTAAGCTTCCCTCTCCCGAATTCGTCCTCACCTCTCTCCAACCCGCACCAAAAGGCTCTCCAGTCCCATACTTGCCCCGACTGAGATACTGCATCTACCGTGGCATGTGGGGCTCGTTGCCCGAGAACAAGCACAATGACGCACCTCGCAATGCTCCAACCTATACGTCAGATATGCCGACATTCACCACTGATGTACGTATGCAGAAGGTCGGGCAGTTCTTCGCGTCTTCATCCGGCCATGCATCCTCGGATGATCAGGTGCAAGGGAGCGGGGGAGGTGGACCAGTCGAGGCAGTATGGTGGGTCAAGGAGACGGGGACGCAGTGGAGGATGAAAGGCGAGGCATTCGTCGTGGGGGGAGACATTGATGAAGGGGAGGGCAGTGGAGTCAGGACTGTAAAGAGTGAGGTTGGAGGGCGGATGAGGAGAACCGAGGCAGAGGGCATTGAAGGAGATTGGAGCTGGGCGAAGGAGCTTACGGCACACTTTGGAAATTGCTCGCCAGGGATGAGAGGTATGCTCTACGTTCTAGGGACGGAAGGCACACGAAAGGACTTGAGGGGCTGACTGATTACATAGGATCCTGGAAGAACCCGCCACCTGGCAGACCTACGAATGGACAGGAGCCGGACAAAGACCATCAACTTGGACAGAAAGTGGAGGATCTACATGATCCCATCGCGAGGGAGAACTTCAGGGTGGTGGTAATCAAGCCGGAAGAGGTGGAGCAATTGGACATCAGTGATCCGGCTACGGCTAGGAGATGGAAGTATACATTCGTGGTGGAGAAGGGCCAAGGAGCAGAGGGGAAGGGCGAGTGGAAGACCGAGGAATTGTGGCCATGAAACCGTGTTCGTGGCTCTAGTAAGGGACTTCAACCCCAGAATCGATTGCCACCAAAGGAGCAGACATGCCAAAGCATTGAAATTCCCTCTCAAATTATGAACCGAAGGTAGAGGCATGAGCCACGCCAAAAGGTCTTGCTAGCGGCACGGCTGCCTGCCTTTAACGCGCTAGCAACTGCCTGCGCAACGATCCGATTCAAGCAACATCAGTACTCTTGTAATATACTCTCACGATTGGGCAGATATCTTTCTTGCTTCCAATACTTCTTCTACCTGGAAGCAGTTTGTCTTAAGCATTCGTCAGGCTCACAACCGACCCTTTCGTGTTAACGTTCATATTGTTCCCATTGCGTCTAGCTTGCGACTAATCAGTACTTTAACATTCCCCAACATTACCCTATTATTGGCGCCGTTAATGCATTCAATCTTGTTTCGGCTTCGTTACTCGACACACAGCAGACCATATGGCATCTCTTCCTCCGTTCATCCTCAATGGCTGGCGTCTCCAACATGGAGAAGAAGGACGAGCCAAGGCCGCTGAACAACTCAAGGAATTCACCACCTCGTCGCTGGCCGAGACCTTCATGACCTTCCAGCTTGACAAGCACTTTGCCAATCCAGATCGAAGCGTCTCCGCTCCATCCCTGGCATCTATTGCCGTGGCAAAGGTACTAGAGGCCCTCGAGAACTCCGGTGATCTTGCAACCGATGTGAAGACCATTACGGAGAGCTTGAGCTCAACCACTTTACGCCAGCTGCTCAATGACCCTAGGACTCCCTACCAGTTACTGAGAACCTTTCTCACTTTGGCTCAGACACTGGCAGCAAAAGATCGACGATTTGTGGATGTTGATGAAGCTGTCCTTCGAAACGAGCATTACATGAGGTCTCGAGACAACAATGAAGATGGCAGGTATCTTGTCTCTCTGGAAGATCTTTCTAAAATACTCTCCAAAGACTCTCAGAACAGTCGTCCTCTTTCATTCGCACGCAAAGATCCTCCCAAAGGTGGCCTAGAAATCTTGGACGAGCTGCGTAAGAGAGAGTTGACCATTCAACCCAGCAGCGCATCTTTCTGCAAGGTGTTTGAGCGAATTACTCATGGTATCTTACGTGGACTTGATTGGAGCAATGTTCTTGTTGCAGGTGGCATGGCCCTTACAACTTTGCTGCACACCGATCCAACCAAGGACGATGACAGAGCAGTAAGAGATCCTGATATAGATCTTTATATCTACGGGCTCGGTCCTCAAGATGCCAATCGAAAGGTTGGAGAGATCCACGACACATGGGTCCGCAGCCTTCCGGCAACTGCGCAGGCGAGGCTCGTCGTGAAGAACGCTAGAACCATCAATCTCCTATCGAGCTATCCCCATCGCCGTATCCAAATCATTTTGAAACTACTACCTTCTATTACAGATGTCCTTCTAAACTTTGACTTGGATGCCTGCGCCGTCGGGTTCGATGGATCCCGTGTCTTGATGCTGCCACGGTGTGCACGAGCGATTGAAACCGGCTACTCGGTGTTCACTATGGACCTTGTCTGGGGACACCACCTTAGCCATCGCAGGGCGTCACAGGACAGTCGTATCTTCAAGTACGCTGATCGTGGATTTGGACTGCGAATATTGCCTTCCTATGCTCGATCATTAGAGGAGGACAATCTAGAGGCTGCCGTCTTCAAGAAATGTCGGGCGCCAGCCTCTGCCCACAAAAAGATTGATGATGAAGACGATGAAGCATGGACTCAAGGGACATGGCCTTGGTCTCAACGGGATCGAAAACCTCATGGACGTTTCGAACCTGGACTGAAAACCTTGAAGCGAATCGCATATTTGGGACAAGATTTCATTCATCGGTTCTACTTTGGAGCAACGCCTCTTGCCATCTCCCAGGAACGCTATGATAGACAGAGGGATTTAGGTGATCCAAACAAGGCAGGCGCTGAGCATGTCATCAACCAAGACAGAGAAGACGAGTGGCTTGAGGCGTTCAATCAGACCGATCTTGATAATCGGGTCGTTAGAGAGGCCAATGACCGTCGAAAGGCACTCGGCGAGCCGTCGGAGGGGCCTCTTATAAGACTAATCGATCTTGACACACAGGAAATGCATCGAGGATTACCGGACGGCCGAAGAGGGCTTGGGAACTTCGAGATCTTTATGAGACACTGTGAGGCCTGGAGATTGCATGTTCGTGGGGAGGCTACTCTAGATGCCCGAAATTCTCAAACCAGTATGGCATACGATCCGGAAACGTACGATGATATTCCCTCTTATGTGTGGGATGAGACTTTCAGGATTGACGACTTTGAGAGCACGATTGAGTCCTATAATGATTCTCTTTGGGCTAATGTCCAAACGGCCATTTGCGGAAAGCTGGGTATTCCCACTAGAAGAAATGGATGTGAGTCTCATTTTTCTTCAGATCTGTCATATCACGGCAGAGTACCCGAGCTTTTCACAGTAGAGTACACGCTACACGTGATCGTTGGTTTTTGAATTTCCTGCACTCATTGGGGCGAAATCTCCAATACACTCATAACGAGTTACGGTTGGCTGCATCCTTGTTTGAAGGTGGACAGCCCCCACACAGTGGTAGCTGGAAAGATCCGGGCGCGGCCCAAGGCATCAGAACGGGTTTCAAGCCCGTGATCATTCAGTCAATGCGGCTCGAAGCCAGAACCATAGTCTTCAATGCTTACTGTTAGCGAGCAGATCGTGACTATTCTACTCGGCGGATCCGGCGTCAAGTTTGCTCTCGCGATCTCGCAACCGTTCAGGAGAAGCAAATTACGATTCCAGTCATGGTGCCTTGGGCGCTGGAAGACTATCTCCTCTCGACATTGCCACAACAGTATGGGGATATCCCCCTACATTTTACCGACTTCAAGCCACTCATACCCGTCCACGACGCCTCCAAATACGATCCATCTACCGCGATCCTTCCATCTTTGCAGGAAACTGCCTCCGAGAGTGGGAATCTCAGGTATTGGGTTATTACCAACGAGAGCATGTGGGCGCAGCAACATCGAGTTTTAGACGAGATAGCCGAGCTGATGTGGTCGCTTTTCCACTGGTTCAACCAAGTCTCGGCCACGGATGGTATGATGGGCACTGGTGGCACCACGAGGATTCGTACCGACAGATCAGCGTGCAGATGGCACCTTGCCCGATCGTTCAGACGCCGCATAGTTCTTCCTGAAGTGTCAGACCACTCCTCTGTCAACATGAAAACTGGTCTACCTTCGCTTCGGGAAACCCTTCTTTTCAGGCCGTGGGCCTTCGCAAGCTCGATCACGCCAGACAGACATTTCAGTGATCAAGACGGGGACCGAGGCCATGTGTTGTTCAATGACGCATGGGTTCTATACCCATTTCCTGACGACTTGTTCTGGCACGCATCCGATGAAGGTACCTGGGATGACGAGGGGATTCCCCCTTGGACTGACCCGTCGGCAGGGAGTGTGGCGGTGGATTGACGGAGGCTCCAGGATTGAGCTTGCATAGCTCGACCTGGTCAACATAGAAAAACCGTGTTGTGACAATCTACAAGGATACCTTGTCTCTTCGATTTTCAATGTGACATCAACCTTGTTGGCATCCCAGCCTAAGTCTTGCCGTTGTAAGTTCAGGCAGCGCCAAAGGTCTTTCCCCCCTCAAATTGCAAAGTACGCAGGGAACGATGGAGAAAAAACCGATCTTTTTGCCAGACTGTCCATTATCTTGACGTCGACTCTTGCCAGTGCTCGGAGCATGTGCGCGGTGTCTGGCGTGCAGACCTTGAGAGAGGCGAAAAGGCCCGCATGGCGCTCTTTCAACTGGATTGTAAGGGAACGAAGCGCGAAAGATCTTTCGTGAGAGTACTTATCCTTATTATCATACATTGCTGTTGCATGCTAAATTTCCTTCCTCTTGGCTTTATAGCTCCTGCTTGTATGGGATACTCCCCAGCTTCTCCTGCAAAATCTGCTCGCTCAGACGCCATAGATTCTCGCCCAATTCCTCATCTCGTGCTTGTTTCGACGGTTCGGTGACTTTGCGGTCGGGTACGATCTTGAGGGATTCAAAAGTCAGTCCGCCGGTCCTGAGAAAGGAGCTCATGTAGAGAGACTTACGTATTGCCCTTGGATTCCCTCCTTCGTGATGTCCTCGCTCGTTGCTGCAAACAACGCTGGTCTGCACCCTTCATCCACGGGATCCTTCATGATCGGTTTGATGGCCTTCACCCCAACCTTCCCCATCGTTCCGTACGCGTCCACGGCCTGCTTTAGCTGATCCGTCGCGACCCCACCTGGATGTGTGGCATTTATCCACGGCCCATTATACTTCGGGCTCTGGAACCCAGGCTCGTTGTTGAGCATGCGCCGTACGAGGGCGCGTACGAACAGTATCTGGGCGAGTTTGGTGCGTGAGTACAGTGAGTTTGGTCCCAGATCGGTGTTGATCTCGTCGAGGGTTGCAAATTTGGTGGAGGAGAGAGGAGAACGGTGAAGGTCGGAGGATTGGAGGACAAGGCGGGAATCTGGCGTCGACTGAAGATTGGGAAGGAGGGTGAGAGCGAGAAGCATTTGCGAAAGGTGATTGACTTGGAAGTGGGAGTCTGCGTTCGATGACGAGAGGTAAGTATTGGCTGGTAAGTTGCCCGGACCACTGGGGGGAGCTCGCACCTATTCCATCGACTGTTTCGTTGTACTTTCCGACACCTTGGCCAGCATTGCAGATGAGCTAAGTCGCGTGTCAACGCTTTGTGATGATAGGTGCAGGGCGATTGCCTTACAGCATCAATCTGCTTCTCGCTCGTCAACTTTTTTGCAACTTCATCCGTCTTCTTCAGGTCCTTCAAATCACACTGGACCCAATGCACCTTGCTAGCATCACCGTACTTCTTAAGCTCTTCTATTGCTTCATCGGCGTGCTCCTCTTTTTGCGATAGCAGCAGGATCTTGGAGGCATTGTGCTGAAGTAAATGGGCGGTAATACCAAACCCAATTCCTGCTGTGCCACCGGTAACGATGTAGACCTGGGTGTCAAGGCAGTCAGCGCTGTCCTTTGGCTATTGTGACGAAACGTCGCTTTGACCAGTTGACTTACTTTCCCACTGAGGTCTGGAATGTCCTTGTTAGGCTCGAATTTGTTTCCGGTGATTAGGTGCGCCATTTTGTATCTTTTGATTGATTTGATGAGAGGTGCAGATGAGAGAGCTGAACGGTGGTGTAAATTTGTCTCTTCAACAAATGATGCATTGCAAGATCGCAAGGTAAGCGGTCGAGAAGACGTGTCAAGTCATGACGATTGCTCATGATGTCATCGACTCCGTGAGCCATGAACCGTGGATCACATAAACGGTTTCGCAACAGAGCAGCATCGGGAAGTGCGAAACAATCTGTCATCTACGCCAAACTCATTATTGGACTGAAATGCTTTGATGACCGCGCCGAATCATCACGCTAGGCTCATGAATGGTCACTTCCACAATGTCACAAGTCCTAACTGGAACTTCCGCATGAGAAGATTTCGGGCCTCAACAAGATATTGTTGTACGGATATTGGGACCGGATGCTTTCTGAGAATCGTACTCGCCTCGCAGAAAGGAAGTGAGAATGACAGAAGTCAATCCAAAAGAAGACGAAACTCCACCGCGGGCGGAAATGGCCAATCTAACGAGCAGCCAACGGATGAATCCTTCATTCTCCATCGCACTCCGGGAGTGGCTTCGTAGGATTGGGTGGGACTTCTCGTGTCGCAATTTCGGCGGCGCTGCCAGGTTCGATAATGACCACGGAGGAAAAGGTCACCCATCTAGCTCATACATCGTTATCGGATCTCCGATAGAAGGAGGGAAAATTTTCTGTCGTCTAAGGACGTTCTCAGCTGGCAACTGCAACCACTGAACTCAGTGTTGAGTCATTCAAGACAGAGCCATGGAGGTTTGCACTGAAAACAATGTTTTCAAAACACTTTCAATGAGGCGAGCGTTAAAAGAGCAAGCTAAGGCAGAAGGGGAGGCCTCGAAATTATACGCAAGTGATGGAGCAAAAGGACGACGCTATCGGAAGCAGTGAGGAGCCGATATCTCACATTTCTGCAAATCAGCATCAAGATTTCGAGAGAGTCGGAAATCAGAGAGTTCACAGTCAGCGCATGCTCTGCCATCAACCTGCCGTCTCCACGAGTGGAGGCGTGCCCGGAGACGTAATTCTGTACGAAGTTTGGTCGGTGCGCGGGCCGGGGAGGTCATAGGCTCATAGCGCTGGCATGGCTAATTCCCCGAACGGAAGGTAGGTGCGTGCGTGCATGTTACTGTTGTTACACCTTAGAGCGAGAGTGCAATCAGAACCAAAAGCGCGGCTGAGGGAAAGTTGGAAGAAGGCGAGTGTCAATGGGGAAAGGTGTCTTTGCAGAAAGGGGGAAAGTTAAGATTGACAGAAGAGTGAGATACCTACTGTAAGAGCTGCAGAGACAGCTCGCATGATCATGTATGTACATATAGGTACATGTACGGAGACGTAGGTAGTTGTGGCAAGGCAGTCAGCATTCGGAATTGACTTTTCCAACATTTGCTCCCTCGGTCAAAGGATCAAAGAAAGAAGCGCAAACTGCGCAACGGTGTGCCCGTTTACTTCATGCGTGTGGCGCGCGAGTATTCTGCACATCTAATGCCGGCGCAGCTACCAAGTCAGTATCCAGAGAAAGATAGACCAGACTGGAGAGGCACGGGTATCAAATCGGATCACAGTTCATAAAGTATTCATGGGATTAAAAAGGAAACAAGAGACAAGGAGAAAAAGAGAAAAGGAGAAGGGCAGAATAAAGATTAGGGTATGTTACGCAGAGTGCCACAGAGGCCACCAAGAGACCAACTAAGGGACCAAGGGTCCAGGGGTCCAAGGGTCCAAGGGTCCAGGCAGCACAGCCACAGCAGTACAGCCACAGTGCCACTTTACTCTCGAGCGGGAAGAGTCTGGACCGCTGAACCGCTGAGGTTAAGGGGAGGGAAGTGTTCCAGACTAAGGGTGTCAAATGAAAGTAGAGGCTCATGTGAGGTATTCGGCTTTTTCATCAGCTTTGCAAGGGTCCGCATAATTAGAAGGGTTGAAACCTGCAGTAAAGTACCATATGAGGCTTTATTAAGCACCTAGCTTTATCCATGCTGCCATGCAAGTTCCCGACGCGCGCGCTCTCTTTATCTCGCTCTCAGTCTCTCAGACCTCGTGAACAGGCGAACTTGTCCGATCCAGACTTTGGGCCAAGGATGCTTTGGCTATTTCTCCCGCCAAGATACATGTAAGACGTAAGTATTCGTCGAGCTGTGGCTGAAGGGTCTTTAAGAACAACAAACAACATCATCATCGTGCATGTGCTCGATTGCGGGGCCTCAATCCTTCCGATAGTTAGTGAAAGGATAATAAAAGGGGAGCGCTGCTCGTGTGCGAGATGAGAATAAAAGAAAGAAGGAAAGAAAGTTCGCATCGAATCAACCCAATCTCAAATCTGTTATTGTAATTCCCTTCCCCGGTTGAAAAGTAGCATTCCGCCCCACACGAATCAATTCCATTGGATGATAATCAATAACGAAAGAAAAAAAGAATTGAAAAAAAGAGATTGCTGGCATTTGCTGCTGCATGCGCCAAGAATAGCCAATCCAAAACAGGGAAAGACCCCACTAACATTAACATTCCCGCCCATCTTCCTTGCCAACCGGATCGTCAATCTCTGCCAAAATCAACAACTATCTTCCTCTCCACCCTTTCATCAATTATATACCCCATCTACCATTCATTGCCTCTTGCACACTTCACTCCTATCTCATTGCCAATCCTGTTCTCCTCTCTCTCCTGGAGAGAGTCCGTCAACAATGGACCAAGCCAGTCCCCTACTCCATGCCATCCTGCCACGAGCGAGCGTAAGTCAAATACACATGACCAGCATCCTACAATCAATCCCTGACTCACTGCTGACCCACAATTCTAGGCAGGATCCTCATCTGATAGCAAGAAGAATGCTGCCTCCCTTTCTCAACTGTTTGCCACCCTCGTACCGGTCTTGCTTGTCGCCGTCATCTACACCTCGATATTCTTCTGTCTGCGACCCAGGCTCAAGCGCAACTACTCGCCCAGAAGCTATGTTGGCTCACTTCGTCCACAGTAAGCCGTAACCATTCTTGTCCCCCACCCCGAAATGCATGAGCTTGACACTCTCTGTACAGGGAGCGGTCTCCAGATCTTCCCAATGGCATGTTCAACTGGATGAGCACTTTCAACAAGATCCCAGACAGCTATGTCCTCAATCACCACTCTCTCGATGGTTTCCTCCTGCTGCGGTACCTCAAGATTTCTGTGGCCATCTGCTTCGTCGGCTGTCTCATGACTTGGCCAGTCCTCTTCCCGGTCAATGCGACAGGCGGCGGAGGCCAAAAGCAGTTGAATGTCATCAGTTTCAGCAATGTCACCAACACCAAGAATCGTTTCTACGCTCACACCTTCGTCGCCTGGATCTTTTTCACCTTCGTATTCTACGTCGTCATGCGCGAGAGCATTTATTACATCAATTTGCGTCAAGCCTACCTTCTCTCGCCGCTATACGCAAACCGCATGTCTGCCAGGACGGTCCTGTTCACCTCGGTGCCTAAAGATTACCTTGATGAGGGAAAGCTACGCCGTATGTTTGGGAAGCAAGTAAAGAACCTCTGGATTGCCAACGACTGCGAAGAGATTGAAGATCTAGTCACCCAACGCGACAAAGTCGCCATGAAGCTCGAAGCTGCTGAAACTAAGCTGGTCACCATGTCGAACAAGGCTCGTCTGGAGGAGGCCAAGAAGGGTAGCCACCATGACGATGGGGTTGAACTCACCAACAACGGGGTTGACGGTGAATCTGGCTCCGTAGCCGCTCGTTGGGTCCAGCCGAAAAAGCGACCGACTCACCGCCTCAAGTTTCTGGTCGGCAAAAAGGTCGACACGATCAACTGGTGCAGATCCGAACTCGAGCGCTTGATTCCCATGATTGATGCCAAGCAGGCGTCTTACCGTGCAGGGGAAGGCACATTCATCTGCGCTGTTTTCGTCGAATTTTATACCCAGACTGAGGCACAAGCAGCGTATCAGAGCCTCGCCCATCATCAGCCCCTACACATGTCACCACGCTTTATTGGCATCAACCCGGAGGAAGTCATCTGGAGCAGCCTACCGATCAATTGGGCGTCGAGAGTGGTCAGGAATATCGCTACCTCCGCTTTCGTTTTCGCGCTCATCATATTTTGGGCAATCCCCGTGGCTTTCGTGGGTGCTCTTTCCAACATTTCAGCTCTCTCGCAAGGCACGCCAGGCAAACCGGCGTTGCTTCCATGGCTCAGCTTCATTAACAAGATTCCATCTGTCATTCTTGGAGTCGTTCAGGGTCTTCTTCCTTCTGTCCTCCTTGCGGTATTGATGGCTTTATTGCCCATCATCCTAAGAAAGATGGCGAAATTGGCTGGGAAACCATCGCTTTCGAGCGTCGAGCTCCGTGTGCAAAACACTTATTTCGTGTTCCAGGTTATTCAAGTGTTTTTGGTGACAACTATAAGCTCGTCCGCTTCGGCCGCAGTCACCTCCATCATCGAAGACCCTTCTTCGGCCACCAGTCTCCTCGGTCAAGACCTTCCCACCGCCTCCAACTTCTACATCTCCTACTTCATTCTCCAGGGTCTGTTCATCAGTTCGGGTGCTGTGCTGCAGTTGGTTGGGGTGATTTTGTACAAGGTCTTGGGCATGTTCCTCGATAGCACGCCAAGGAAGATGTACAAGAGATTTACTACTCTCTCTGGACTTGGTTGGGGCACTGTCTTCCCGCTTTATACGCTCCTGACTGTTATTGGTGAGTCACGACATCATCATCACACGTGTTTCACAGCTAACGCCGTGACAGCAATCACCTACTCGATAATTGCACCATTGGTCTTGGGATTTGCTACCCTCGGTCTTTATCTGATCTACTTGGCTTATCGTTACAACCTGTTGTATGTTTTTAATGCCACCGTCGACACTCAAGGTCTCGTCTACCCACGCGCTCTGCAACAGACAACAACTGGAGTCTACCTCTCCATCGTTTGTCTGATCGGACTGTTTGCTATCAAAACCGCCATCGGCCCCCTTATCTTGATGATCATTTACCTCATTTTCATCGCCCTGTTCCATTTCTCCCTCAACTCGGCCATTGACCCGCTACTCATGTATCTGCCAAAATCACTCCAGGTGGAGGAAGAGTCTCTTCTCTCGCTTGAAAACGGCAACACCAACGGCGGTGCTATGACGGATAAGAAAGGCCTCTCAGCTACTACCAACGACAGACACGCTGGTAACAGTACCGATACCGACGACAAAGAACTCCCGGCTGCACCCCACAAGAAGCCCAACTTCATTACCAAGTTCCTTTCCCCCCACATATACACGGACTACCATACTCTACGCCGTCTTGTACCTCGAGGTTTTGCGGAAATCGAGTATGCTCCCGAGGTCGAGCGCGATGCTTTCTATCATCCTGCTATCTCGAGCCCAACACCTGTCCTATGGATTCCAAGAGATGAGATGGGCGTTAGTCGGCAGGAATGCCGCCATTCAAGCAAGGTCATTCCCATGACTGATGACTGCGCTGGCTTCGACGAGAAGGGCAAGATGGTGTGGGATCATGAGACTGCAAGACCTCCCATCTATCAGGAGAAGGTTTACTACTGAATATTGTTTGTGCTTTGAGGATCCTGACACTGGCACGCTCATTTGAGCATGATACCCTTTCGTTGGTTATTGAGCAGTTCGTGCGGTTGGAATGTGAGATACACGAACAGCGGACAGCACTTGATACCACCTTGTTTTGTTTCTTCTTCAGCAGCCTTAACGACAGCAGGGTTCTTGACTCACCGGGTTTAATCCATGAGCAGCCAGAATTAATCAATCCATTATTTCTTCAGCCGCTCAAGCTCTCAATACTTACATCGGTTCTCAAGATATTTGTTCTTATCACTTGCCTTCATCTGTGCCGTGAGCCGGTCATGGTCGACGCAGTGATCTCTCATCTATTTGTTTCCCCTGCATACGTGTCCTGCTATCACAAGTTCGAAGAAAAATAATATATGAAAACATAGAAAAATATAAGTGTGTGAAGGAACTGGAGATGCGCGATCTTTTGGCTTCGTTAGAGATCGGTCCCCGCCTGCTGGACGAAGACACTCAGGGTATTGTGGATGAAGCTGATGTTAACGCTCTCAGTTCTGCTGTCTTTCTTGAAGAAAATAGAAAAGATAGAGAAGAGAGCCTCGAGGAAGCTGCCGTTCAAAGCGTGCTCTATAATCAGGAAACAGATACCTGTAGCACCAGCTCCATCACGGAATACCCCCAGATTAATGTGATAGCCAACGACAACTTCGCTCGTGCCTGGCGCCAGATGGGAGCAGGCGAAGTTGACAGTGTTGATGCCCCAAGAGGCAACAACAGAGATCGACCAACTCCCTTTGTATTTCGCCATGGACGTGCGTCTTTTTCAACCTACAACTTATTGATGGCTCCCATACGCAAGCATTTATGGCCTGCACTCACCTAGGTTCAAAGATCAAGACTCGAACGCAGTCGATGAGGCTCCAGGGGAACCGGGACATCTTTGCGGATCGGGACAGATTACAAGCCTGGCCGCTCGAAAACTACCCTGTAGGGGACGTTGGCCTCGACGCAGGACTTAAGATGGAACGTATCCGAATGAGGAGCAACGGATCCGTACAGGACTTCATCACTCGTTTCGTAACAGTCGTTCCGGATCTGTCTGGGAACGATGCAGCCGTTTGCCACGCCTTCAGGAAGAAACTCACAGCGGGAGATCGTGGACCGCATCCACCAGGCTAGCGCTGGAATGCCTGATACCTTGAATGAGTTCAAGGGAGTAGCGCACCACATTGCACCAAGGAAGGTTGGAATTCAGCAACTCAGCCCTGTTATGCTTGGCATGGACTATAAGTAGCAGTACCAGTACTCCTCCATAGAAAAACAACAAGCCGTCATCAATATTCCAACACTAAAGCTTGCTCCTTTGAGAGCGTCCGCTGGGACGGAACTCAAGGAGACGAGAAACAATGCACCCCCCCCGCGAACGTTGAGACGCGCAGCAGAGAGAAGGCATTCCCTTGTATGTACCCGGGTCGATTCCGTCGAAAGCTTCCGCGACCACGGCGCCGCTCACCTAAAGTGAACACATCTACAGCGTTCACGATTCCGGAGCCCGGAGACTCACCCCGACGAAGAGTGCGATGGGACCGAGATGTACACCGCGCTTAATTCACACGGACGGCACGTTGCAAGGGGCACAACGGCAGATGCCCAGTCAGTTGCTCCTTTCCATCCCGCGGAGAGGAGAAGCCGTTCGACAGTACCAGTCCATCGTCGACTCATTCTGGGGACAAGGGATTTGGGCAAAAGTGAGTCTGGCCGTCCTCGATGAGCCTCGGGTCGGATGGGATCGTCGGAATGGCTGCGCCATCGTGTCGCCATTGGCGCAGATCCTGTGGGATCAACACGGTCGCTGGTTGTCCTGAGTGGTCGCGCCGCTAGAATTCTGTTCGGAAAGGCACACCCCGGGCCACAGATCTCGGGGCAGAGGGGAGGGGGAAATCCCCCCCGGAAGAGAGGAGGGAGGGGGAGGTTGGTTCACTAAAGACTGCGGTCGGGCAGGTACGCTGCCGAGTTGTAATGGTGGAGAACCCTTTGAACGGAGGCCGAGGTTTATCGCCCAAGCAACATAGTTTACAGTACTAGACAGAACAGAGTCCATGGTCTCGCCTGGTATCGACGCGTTATCCCGTTCAAATGCCTAGACCCGAGCGTTGACCCTCCAAACGCCAATATATGCCATCAGTCCGTTACATTTCCTCGACCGCGCAATTAGGATGCAGGACATAGACTACCTTCTCTGCATCCCTAGAGCTTCCTTCATCACCGTCGAGACCCTCCCCGCGTATCTGCATGAAGATGTTGTCCTGTTTTGTTGATCAGCATTGGACTCCTTGGGATTATCAGAAGTCGATGGACATACCTTCACCATCCGCTTGATGACTTTTCGTGCCAACTCTTTCTCCTCTTCCGCCTCCTCCACGCTGTTGAGCTCGTCTTCTTTCTGCTCGAGATACCAGGTTACGAGCTCTTCGTGCTCTACACCCTCGCCCGTCGTCATTTCATCCTCGTTCACCCTCCGCACCAGCAGGTTGAGTATGGCCATGTACTTGTCATAGGTGATTCTCGTTCTTCGGCTTTGCGGGGCAGGCGTCTGCGATGCTCGCCCAGCTGCGCCGTCCGGCCGGTCGTCACCGTCTTGGTCGTCTTCGTCGCCGTCTGCCATTGGAGAGTCGCCGTCTCGGTCAGGGCCGTCGGCATGCCCGTTGGCGGTGCCATTGTTGAGAACTTCGACTTCGTCATCCTCAACCTCTACATCATCCTTCTCAACGCTGATGATGCTCTGGCGGAGGAGGTTGAAAGCCTCTCTGACAAAGTTGGGCGACACATCATCCACGCAATTGGCTTTTGCAATGGCTTCGCTCAGACGAATCATACTCTCTAATTGCCTCACAGTGATGCGGTAGCTGTTCCTTCCGATACCGCCTTGGGCGTCATCAGCTCGAAGCTCTTTATACTTTTCCACCAGCAGCGATTTGGCTTCAGGAGTAAATTCTGGCTTGAACGTCCTCGCGAAGCGGATGTAGCGCTGCAGCTGCTCGGTAGTGAATTCGGGCTGCACGGCGTCATCTCGCAACATGTGAATATTAACGATGTGTTCTGCAAGATGCCGATCGACGCTCTCGTTGCACTCGTCTAGGATCACGAAGAATAAGTCGAAACGACTCATGATTGGTGCGCTCATATTGATGTTCGCCCTCAGCGTGGTCTTCCGATTGTACCGTCCTCCCACTGGATTTGCAGCAGCGAGAATACTCGTCCTCGCGTTTAAGGTCGCTTGGATGCCAGCTTTGGCAATCGAGATCGTCTGTTGTTCCATAGCTTCGTGGATAGCTACTTGGTCGCCAATGTCCATCTTGTCAAATTCATCGATAGCGCAAATGCCGTTGTCCGCAAGCATGAGAGCACCAGCTTCAATGGTGAACTCGCCAGTCTCCTCATCCTTGACCACCGCTGCTGTGAGACCAGCTGCGGAGGAGGCCTTACCAGATGTGTAAACTGCGCGAGGAAGGAAAGAGCAGATGTATCTAGAGCCCGATCAGCCTCAAGCTTCAGGGATCCAGGATGTTCGCAGGACTTACTTGAGGAATTGACTCTTGCTAGTACTAGGGTCTCCAACAATACAGATGTTCAAGTCTCCTCTCAATTGCATGCCCTCGGGAGTGACTTTGCTGACACCGCCCATGAGCTGAAGTAGCAGACCTTTCTTGACTATCTCATGACCGTAGACCATCGGCGCCAGGGAGTTTACCAGCCTCGAGTAGATGTGATCGCTATGCACCATGTGCTTCAGATCCTCGATTTCGGAGGATGTCAATGATTGGAGATACGCATCCTGGGCGTGATCGCCCGAGTCCTGAGGGTCGATGCTGGCAGTTTGGTTCAAGGAGGCTAGAATGTTCCCAGCTTGCCCGTTGAGTTGTTGGTTGGCTGCCTGTCCAGGTGTCGAAGTATCTGGTGTTACCATGCATGATAGGAATGCCATTCTATACGTTAGATCGCGGACTCCCAGGGCTTTGAGACCTGTGACTCCACTTCCCCCTGCGTCGCCTCCTCTCGGTGCGTTTCGGTTGTCTCTTGTGGCCTCTGGCCGAACACCGGGAAGTCCAAGCTGGCTCACATCAGGCACCACGATCAGCGTCCCAGTAAAGACGCACTTTTCTCCCGCTTTCGCTCTGTCCACGATCTCTCCTCGTAAAATGACATCCATCGTTCGAGGCATGCTTCCTGTGGGTATTTCCGAACTGTTTTCTTGTATTCTGACCTTCTGCCAATCCACGAATGTGCTTTGTCGAATGTCTAGACGCCATCCTTGGCGGTTGCCACATGTCAAGTTGGGGCATTGTGTGGGCTCGGTGTATCTGAAAGTCTGCTCGACGTTGGAGATCACTGTTCTGCACCCCTCACAGATGAAAGTGGCAAGGTAGAGCTCCGGCCGTACTTCTGAGGTCCTCGTCACGGTCCCTGAGATGGATAGCAGCTTGCCGACGGAGGCAGTTCGTAGCTGCCGTATCCTTGAGATCAGAGGTAGATTGTAGAACGCCAATGTAAACAGCTTATCCGTCTGCTGATTCGTGGTCCTTGAACCTTGGGTCTCGGCCTGACTGACCCCATTGCCGGCAACGGATGTTCCAGTCTGCGACGAAGCGCTTGTGGGCTGTCTGTGTTCCTTAAAGTACCGTGACTCGTACTTCGCGATCAGATTGTGCAAAGCCCGGGTGAGGAAGGGAAGGTATCGGTAGTAGTCGTTTGCGATGGCATTTGCCAGAGTCTGATTCTGCAAAGACAGGAGATGTTGGAAATCAACGTAGAGGGTGGAAAGGTTATAGATTCGGAGACCGTGAATTTGGGCAACGTAGTATTTATCGCTTGTGACCGCGCTTGATGGTGGAGCGCCGGATAATGTGATATCCTCGATGAACCTGGAAATATTAGCTGTGCTATGTCTATTCGGCTGTCGAGACGTACTGGTCAAGGAAGCTCTCAAATTCCTCAGCGACTTTCTCGCCCACTCTGTCCACTACCTTGGGCACAGCTCGTGCCATAGGATCTCGAGGCCTATTCCGATCCGTGCCTCGCACACCGACAATCTCATCGTCTGGGAAACCTTCAACATCGCTGAGCGCTCCATTGCTCTCTGATGGTGGTATTGACGACCGCTGGGCGCTTCGGCTTCGACCGTTGGACACTTTTGGGGCACCATTCTTACGGGAGCCTGCTGCGAGGTCGAGATCTGGATTGTCAGAAGTTAGAAGACCGTCGACAATTGAAGACATATTTGCGAGGGTTGCAGTGCTGGGAAAACGTAGGGTTTGACGGTGTTTTTTACAATTAAGTGAACAATGCGCGGTAGGACGCGTTCCTAACGCGCTCACGCGTATCTAAAGTGGTTCTCCTTTCTCGGATTAGCGTGCTCAAGATAAGCCTTTATCGTACTCTATAAGGCTGAAAGACTTATCTGGTCTTGGCGCTTCTGGAGAAAGCAATGAGCCCGATTAGTACTACTACAGAACTCCATGCCTCCACGGCATTGGACTCTCAGGGCATGCTACAACCTTCTAGACTACCATCATGAACATTTCAACTCCAAGGCAGCATGATCAGCATTCGCAGGAGCAGGACAATCGTGCTCCCGATCCTACTATTTAGCCTGATATGGCTCGTCTTCAGAGGCCATCTCAGATGGCTACACCACCCTTTCACGACAGCTATCAACGGCACATCGGCTGATCAAGTCCCTCCCTCGCCCTTCCAGTCAGGTCTCATCGATTTCTGGGACACCGCCTCCCGCGCCCTAGTCGAAGCGAAGCCCGACTGCTCCCTTCCAACTGACCCAATCGAAGCACCTCTCAACGAATTCGCCAGCCTCAAGAAAGGTTTCGACTTTCGCCCGGACCTGCTGAAGATATCGCAACAAGATGTCGACAAAATGCGAGCCGCCCATGCGCGCTTCGTGGCTCAAATCCCGGAGCTTGCGCAAAAGCTACCATACGCAACGGGCACACAAGGTATTGTCGTTGCCGCGTCCGGCGCTCTGCTGCCGGTGTTTCTGGTATCTTTGAAAATGCTGCGGCGTACAGGATCAACTTTGCCCGTTGAGGTCTTCATGGAGTCGAAGAACAATTATGAGAAGGAGATCTGCGAGATAGTGCTACCACCCATGAACGCAACGTGCATGATCTTTTCTGAGATTCTGGAAGCTGTGCCCCACAGGCTCAAGATGTCGAGATACCAATTGAAGGCTTTGGCGCTGGGTTTTTCTTCATTTGACGACGTGCTCTTGCTCGATGCCGACAACCTGCCCGTTGAGCAGCCCGAGAATCTTCTGAACTCCGAGCCCTACTTGTCGAAAGGCTTCGTCAGCTGGCCTGACTACGTACGTATACGTGGCCTACCCAGTATCTTCTTCCCAAGCTGACCATGTTCAAGTGGGCCAACACCGCCTCCCCCAAATTCTACGAGATCTCCATGCAGCCCGTACCTCCAACCTCGGAACGGGCAGCTTCCGAAGCCGGTCAGCTGCTCCTATCAAAAGGCAAGCACGCATCGCTCTTACTCCTGATACTCTACTACAACTACTACGGACCCAATCACTACTACAAACTCCTCTCCCAAAGCCCAGCCGGCGAACGAGACAGAGAAACAGACAAGGAGACATATCTAGCAGCAGCCATGAGTCTAAATGCGTCTTTCCACACTGTCACTACAAACATCGAAACACTGGGATACACGCAAGTCCACGACAATCGATTCAAGGGTGCCGGAATGGTCCAGCATAATTCCGAAGACGACTACAGCAAAAACATCCTCCACAACAAGGAAATCAAAGAGGTCAGGCCGTCATTCTTGCACGCCAACACATACAGACTGGATGCGTCGGAAATGCACGACATCTTCAATAGCGAACTCAGGAGCCAGAGGATGTGGGGCGAAACGAAAGGGATGATCGGGAAGTTCGGACGGGACGTGGAAAAGCAAGTTTGGGCAGAAACACTCTACACGGGGTGTCATCTGGAGCATGCTTTCAGTGCTTGGGTGAACAAGACGCATGTGTGCAAGAGGATTGGGAGGGTGTATAAGTTTTTGTATAACTGAGCATGTTTGCATGATACGACGACGAATGGCATTTACACTTCTAGTATTCGAGATGACCGAGGGGACGTTGACCTCACATACTGCTTTCTCAGCTAAGACCTTTCGCAAGAATCAGGCATTCGATGTGCAGAAACAGTCCGAGCAGCGCGCTTCCAACATCCAAATTAGTCTCTGATCTATCTGGAGAGATCCACAGCCCCCCAGCCATCGCAGCTTTCGGCCGTCAAAACAGGTCAGCCGTGCAGGAGAGTATCGGTCAATATCCATCCAGATGGCCTGTCCCCTTGGTACTATCGCTCGGTGACCTGAAGAGCCGTAAGATCATGTCAACGCAGAATCTTCGCAATGTTAGCTATTAGTTCACACTCTTAAACAAGTCACATATGCATTGGACCGATTTCGCCGAATGAATTCTATCGAAGTTATGGAAAGCTCAAGGTCGTAAGTGTCGTAGCGGCAGATGAAAGTACGGAGCAAGCCAGGCGTCGCCACGGTTGACTACCGCCATGAAGCTGAGTATGTGGCCACGAGGGCCGCAACAAAGCTTGCAACGTCGTTGAGTCGGTGCGGCGAACGCGACGGAATGGGGGATGGTGCTGCGAAAGCGCGGCAGAAAGTGCGAACGCTGGGGGAGAAGGCGCCGGAAAAGCATGCTATGTTGTGGTAAGAAGCTGGAAAGAAAACAGATTCGCCCATCTCGCCAGGCGTCAAAATCCTCGCCAGGCCGCAAGGATAAGGGGCACGCCATCAAGTCTCGCCACGTTTCTCAAAGAGGCTGTCGAGCTTTTCGTCATCATCCAGATGAATGAACGGCCTCTGATTCTTATCGAGCTTGACCTCCCCGAACAAGCGCAGAATATCGTAGGTGGTGAGCTTTGACATGACAGACTTGTCGTCCATTGCCTGACCTATCAGTGCGCTCTTCTTCAACTGCATCTCCATGAGCTTGCCGTCCGCTGAATCGTCGACGACTATTCTCGAGATGAAAGTCTCTGACTCTTGGCCGATGCGGAACACGCGACAGAAGGCTTGCTGCTCCATGCAGCTGTTGAACCAAAGATCAATGCAGACAACCTTCGAAGCCATCGTCAAGTTCAAGCCAATGCCACCGCACTTAAGAGAGGCAATCATGATCTTCATATCATCGTCCTTTGCGAATTTCGTGATCACCTTGTCGCGGGCTTTGTGTGACATCTTTCCATGGTAGGTGCAGTATTTCCACTTCTTTTTCTGACAGACTTGCTCCAGGATCTGCATGATCATGTGGAACTGACTGAAGATAATAATCTTTTTATCCGGCTCTTCTTCCAACCACTTCTCGACTTGCGTTCGCGCGGCGGTGATTTTAGCTGACATCACAAGCTTGTTCTCATAGGTAACCCACTCCATGTTGACTTTCTTAGGTCTTCTCTTGCAGCCAGCCATTTCATTGAGCAGCCAATGGTCGTCATATTCCAATTCTTTGAGGCCGGCGCAAGATTCGGCTCCAGTGAAGACCACACCGCACTCCAGACAAGCCGTCTCATCTTGGTCTTTCGTGGATGCTGTGTTGGCTATGCCTTGAAGACATTCTTTGCAATAGACGTGCAGGCAGCTTGTAACAATGGCGCTCTCAGGTGGTTCCCCACACGAATGGCAATGAGTACGAGTCCTAAGTTCAACCCAATTGGAATTCGCTCTCAAAGTCTTGAGGTAGCTGCCGAACTTGGCTGCAAGCTTGCCAGGGTGCTCTTGTTCAGACTCTTCAGGCTGTTCTACCACTTCCGGCTTGGCCTTGATCATACGTCTCAGGGCTTCTAGCAAGTTTCGATCGTTCTTGTTCTCTATAGTCGCGCCGCAAATGAGTGCTTGTTCCATGTTGTCGATGCTTTCAAGGTCCAAAATCTCTTCTAAAACCTCCTGGACGAGGAACGTGTGAGCACACAGTTGTCGTAATCGGAGGAAAGCAACCTGGCAAGTTATCAATATCAGAGAATCAACAGCGAGGTTTTGAAATCATACCAAACCAAGGCCTGGATGCTTCTCGAGCTTTCCGTCTAAGGAGGCTCTATTGTTGTTAGATAGCAGATCATCAATAGGAGATAAGGAATGCTTACTTGTTCAAGACACGGACGAATTTTTTGAAAACGCATCGATAGATGGCTTTCTCCACTGGGCTGAACTCGATGTTGATCGTCCTCTGATTGTGCTTTGGCAACTTCACAATTGGCGCTCCGAGTATGGTGTCTTTGAGTGTCCTTCTGCACATAATCTGATCCAGAAGACAATGCAATCGGGAGTTGCAATCATCGCTGCCCGGCTTACAGTAATTTTCCTGAAAGTCGCCGAAAGAGCCGGTGTATGGGACGCGCAAGAACTTGAAGTACGGATAGAGCTCATCTACTCTGTTCATGATTGGGGTTGCACTTAGAGCCCAGCGATGCTTTGCCATCAAAGCTCTGCATGCAATTGAGGTCTGGGTCTCGTGATTTTTGATAGCTTGAGATTCTGGTCATTTTTATTAATATGTGAAGTTGATCTTGGAACGCGATACTGACCATCGAGTACTATTGATGAAATCAGCTTCGTCAACCCGAGATGCAAGAGCGATATTGGAGAAGCTTACCAACTCTGTGAAAATGGACTTGGTGGAGTACATCTCTCTCTTTGTTCCATTGCTTCTCCCACCAGGCTTTCAACTCCTCCTCGTCGCGGATGTCTTCAGGTACATCAAGTTTTGGGTATGATTTCACTACCTTTGCAAAAGTCAGCTTGCTCATCGAATAAACAGAAATCACGGCTCTACCTCTTGGTACGTCGTAAGACTAGATAGGTTAGCAATTTTCATACATCCCGGGCAGACACTTACATGACTTCTTGTTCCTGCATGACACGAACTGTAGCCTTGCCGGAAATTTTGGTCGCTGAGTAATGCTTCAACACAAGGTCCAAATGACCGTCTTCAGTGTGCGTCTCTAATTCTCGCTCCCCTACCTCAAGTAAGATCATTATCAACTGGAACAAATTCAAGCTAGAACTTACACTGTACCAACAACGCTGGAGTGCATACTATCAAAGTAGCTCTGTGTTTCTCGCCGGGAGGTGGCGGGTTGGCTAGCATTGTTGAAGAGGTATTAATTAACGCTCCTCGCAGGCGGAACTAGCAGGGGACGAGGAGAAATATCCAAATGATAGCAACGAGGGCTATTTATTACCTATTAAATTGGCAATCGTAATAATAGTCTTACCAAGACCCATAGCGTCCGCCTTCGGAGTTTCAGAGTCAGTGAATCTTCCTTGAGATAATTAAGAGGCAGTAGACTTACTAATATGCCACCCAATGGCTCCTCGCCGCCGGTCTCTCGATTCTTCATAAAAGCTACTCCTTGTACTTGATGATGGTGGAGCGATGACTTCATGCCCTTAAGTTTCCAGCCGTTTGCGCCATCTGCCTTGCAAGCCCCTTTGATATTTCTACCAAGGGTCACAGTCGATTTCAAGATATGGTTCTTTTCGGCCACGGCATCTTTTTTCGTCGTTCCAAGAGGGACACTGGCAACAAGCGCGGCGAGTGCTTTCTGCTTGTGGGTGTGCCCAGAAACAGGCAGTGCTTCTCGATTGAGGTTCGCATCTGCGTCTTCGTAGACATTGCTGTTTAGAAGACTATTCGAATCGTTCAGGTATCCACGTTCGTTAGGCGTGCGTCTTATTCTCTTCGAACCTTCCTTCTTACCAGCTTTGGCATTTCTACCAGATTTGCCCTTGCCTTTCTTTCCCGACTTTTTAGCTTTTTCTTCTTCGATCTTGCGGATAACGCCTTGAACTCCCGCCATCATGTTGAATTCTTGCTCCTGATCTAGTTCGTGCTGAGTTCGTTTACGGCTGTTGTTTGGCTTGTGGTGCTTTGGGGTCCGAGAATCCGAGATCTCATTTTCCGCATTGGGATCATCAGCTGCGCGTCTCTTCGGACGAGAAGTTCTCGCTGATGAAGGCGATACAAAGAGACCGTCGTCAGAATTGTCGTCGTCGCTGTAGCCGCGAGCATCTTCATATTCAGCCTTGAGCCTCGCGAGTCGGAGATTCTCCGCCTTTTCGGCTTTTACAAATTTGATGTCATCATCCAGTGTATTGATGTTCTTTCGGACTTTGGAATTGTAGCTCTTTCTGAGAGCTCGAAAGTTTCTGCCAGTGTCTTCGTCCGAGATATATTCAGTGTTCATCCAGGCGGACCCGTTGTCGTCAACAGAAAGATCTGACCGCTTCGATACTTGAAGCCCAAGTCCATTAAGCACTCCTTGATACGCCGAGGGTTCGGGGATATCATGGTTATGTCGATGAGCCCGGAGATAGGCTTCCTGTGCTCGCCTGGCTCCTAAAAGGTCGATGGGTGGACGCCTGCCTTTCGGGTTTATTCCTTTCAGGAATGACTTCCCGAGATTAAGCTTCGAAGTAGCACTTGGCTCACTGTCGGAATCAAGCTCAATCACACGATCACCCATATTCGCCCAAAGAAACTCGACCTCATCGTCCTCCTTCTTGATGGGCACTGAACTTCCATCTGAATGCAGCATCAGAGTGTCGTGATCCTCATCACTATCGGAGATGGAGATGATATCATCTGGTATGCTGGTCCAAGTTAAAGGATCTTCGTTGTCCTCCTTTTTGATGGGCACTGAGCTTCCATCTGAATGCAGCATCAGAGTGTCGTGATCCTCATCACTATCGGAGATGGAGATGATATCATCTGGCATGCTGGTCCAAGTTAAAGGATCTTCGTTGTCCTCCTTTTTGATGAGGGTTTCATCACCCGTATCAGAGAGCTCAAGGACGCGATTGCAGATGAAGCCGTTCGGCGACGAAAGTTCGTCCGGGGGGATTTTCTTCGCAGATACATGCTGTGCGAGCATGGGGTTTGGTGTGCCCTTCTCGCACTTGACTAGCACACTGCTGCGCTTCGACTTCTCTGGCTCCGCCGTATCGTTCTCTTTGACTGCAGGCTTGACAGTCACCACGTCACGGGGCTCTGAGGCAAAGACCTTGCATGGCTGTGGCGTCAAACCAGGCAGAATGTCCGCGGCAGTATCTTTGCTCTGGGCTAGTGCTTCTATCTTGGAATTTTCCGTGAAAATATCTGACACGGCTTCGTTGTCAAGTCCTGGTGTAGATTGGACGAGTTCTTCCTGGGATTCCGGCATTGGTAGATCGAGATCTTCAATGTGAACTTGGACACCGAGCAGATCATCGTAACTGTCAGCTTCTTGCAGGTGAGATACGTTTGGGGAAGCCCCATCAAATGGGTCGCCATTTTCAGAGATCATGGTGGATCAAAGGTCGGACGACTGTAGAGCAGAGTCAGCGGAGAAGACATTGAATAGGGTGATAGAGTGGTTGTCGTGCTCAGAAGTGAGATACACATACCAAGACAAGTGAGCTCAGGCAAAGCAGTACAATGCTCTAAGATCGAATCGTGAATTGATTTAATATGAAGTCGTGCCTAGAAGAGTGACAAGGGTAAGGTCGATATATGCAAAGCAAAGTGAGAGTAGAAAGGCGATGAAACTGGGAAGCGGGCAATTGTCGAAGCAGCAGCAAAGTTGCAGCAAGCGGATGGCACGAAAACCGGTGATGGTTCAGGTGAGTTTGAAATGCGTGCACCCGTGAAATGTTCTGAAAAACAGAGAAGGCGTTGGTAGGAGGTGCAGGAATGATGATGAGACGTAATGTGGAAGTGAGATATCTAGGTGGAAGAAGGTTTCGAGTACTTACAAGTCTTGGTAGACGTAGAACGCCTGGAAGCTTCGTGCAAGAAATGAACGAGTTGAGAGTGTGTAATATATGTGCTGTAGAAGATGAGGACTTCCAATTCTTGATAACTTAGAAGGCTTGGGAGCTTCGTGCAAGAAGTAAGTAAGATGAGAGTGTGTGATGTGTCTGCAGAAAAATCGGAGGACTTCCAAGCTTCGGTAGATGATTAATGAAGACAGACTGGAGTAAGGCTATGGAACGGCAGTCTCTCGGAAAGACAACCGTGAACGGTAACAGGTAGATTGAGGAAAAAGGCTGAAGAAACGCGAATAGATTGTTCTGAATATGTGTAAGAGTGTGACTGAGCGGTACTCGAAAGATAAACGTAGGATTTAGGAGAGTTGTAGAAAAGGTGAAGGTCGAGAGGTGTACAGGAGGGTCGCTCGAGAGATTGCTGAAAACTTATAAACGAAGGCGGGAAGGAAAGATTCTGAAGGAGGAAGTGATTGGATGTCCGAGAGGAGGAAGTGGGAGGTCTGATGGAGGAGGAAGACCTGAGCGGACAAGAGGAAGTGGTTCGATGCCGCGACAAGTTGGGAGCCCAGATGAAGGGATGAGTTGCAGCGTCGAAGAAGATAAGCCTTCGCAATGAGTGCAAGAGAAGATGAAGATTCTCAGTCCGCTCCAATGGGTAGGTTGAAGGGGCAGCAGGTCCTCAAGTGACTGTACTGGCTAGGAGGTGTACCTGCTACTGGACGAGGTGGATGCTGCAGGCCACAATGCAGGCACCAAGAGCTATGCAATGAGAACCGCGGACTGGACTTCCCACCGTCGACATTGACCTTGTGGCTGTCAAATAGCACGGTAGCTTGGGTTTGTATACTCTGGCGGACACACCTTCGAAGTTGAGGCAGCGTAATTCAGCCATGGCTGAAGGCGAGGTCGAGCACGATGCCATGGTCCCGCTGTTGGCCATTCGAAATACTCAGTCCGGCGTTGCAGCGATACCTCTATCTTAGGACCTTCTCGGCAAGTAGACCCGATCACCATTCTTTCTGTCGCTGGTAGAGTAAGAGGACTCTAGGGGCGATGATCCTACGGCAGCACCGATGCCGACCATATATTCGAGGTTGATGCCGGTTGGCTAATCTTTCCTCAAAGGTAAACACCGAGGATGGGAAGGGTCGATCGGAAGATGAGCACAGCTCAGCCCTAATCCTAGCCCTAAACATAGGGGGTATGACGGAATCGGCTCGGCAATATAATGTTCCGGCCCCCCAAAAATGTAGAGTCTGAGTACTGAGGCTAATTTCTATGCGACTTTTTGACTCGTGGATAGCATTGTTCGATCTTCTATGGCTGTATCAAGGGATGAGCTTTGGCTTTGGTATTAGCCTAGATTTTACCACGGTTGTGTTGGCGTCCGCTGGAACAATCCTCCCATTTGCTCCCGCGGATTGCAAAAATTTCTTTTGGGGGCATCATCAAACTAGGAAAAGCTATACAACTGCGAGATCTCGGGATTCGAGATAGCCAGCGTCAATTTCCACCTCAGGACTCCTTCGGCAATTCTTCCATCAACCACGTAGTATAGTAACACCTCCGTTGAGAGAGAGACTGAACCAAGGGTTTCAACCAGAAGCACCGCTTGCTGTTCCACCATCCTGGTTACCTTCCTCTTCAATAATTTTCGTCTTCATCTGCGGCTTTTTCTCCCCCCTTTCCACCTTCTTATCCTTCGACATCAAGCTTCCCGGTAGCGCCAACGTTGGTATGCTACTCTCATTGAATGGCGTTTCTGGCCCTTTCCACGGCGTCTTTGCGCCCATAAACGGCGTACTGGGGACCGATGTCGAAACTTTACGCAGAACCTCTGTGTAAAACGTCTCCAATGCCTCTACATCCGTGCAAAAAGTCTCAAAGTCCTTCTGGATGGCTTCAGGTGTTGTAAATGCCGTCGCAGCTCCAGACCGCGTGAAGCCAGTTGAACTTGTTGCGGCAGCAATCGTTTTCGGAGCTTTGCTAGCCCCTACCGTGGCGGGCGGTATGTTCAATGTGGGATGGACAGAAGGAGAATTGTATGGGGAGGAATGTGGAGAAGGCGGATGTTTGTTACGGTGGGGGCTGGAGCGGAAGATGCCCATGCTACGATCTTGTCCAGCGTCTCCCGGAATTTCCGATTTGGCTGCATCCTGATAGGATGAGTCGGATGCATTACGATTGTTGTACAACCTATTCGCTAGGAGCAAGAAGTCGCCGTCGTCCGTGATCTGTGCAATGATCGTGCCTGAGCGATGAATGTATTGCGGGTAGCGATAATCAGGCTTGCCCCACGAATATGTGACATTGACGTCTGCTGGAAAGTCAGAGGCGGCCTCGAAGTCAAGTACAAAGCTGAATCGTTTCAAGATCGCTATTTGGTAGAGGTGCTTCTCAGGTCGAGGTTGAGGAAAGAAGGTGGTGGTGTCGGCGAAGAAGCTTTGTGGCTGTCTTGAGGGTGGTTGTTGTGCGAGTTTCACTAGATAAGGTGCTCGAAATGGATGCATGCTGCTGATTGAACAAGCTTCTCCGAGTGGTACTTCTACGAGACGTAGACCGAATCTGTCGACGGATGTCGCCCAAGAGATGACGGCATCTTGGATGAGCTTTGGCGTTGTATTCATCCACTCGACTCGAATATGATAGCAATTGTCGGGATTGTGCAGTCTATCGTAGTGCAGGTTGATCAATTCCGGTCTGTATGATCGCTTACGATGGTCCACATCATATAGTAACGATTTGCTGAGTGCGACACCTAGATGTTTCTTCTTTCCGGTGGGCGCGACTGGGTCTGCATCTGAGTTTGAAATACTCGTTGAGCTTGCGCGAGAGCGGCTCGTCGTAGGGAGCTCTTTAGGAGCGTCTTCCGACATCGGAGTGGAGGGCACAGATACTTTGCCTCGTCCGAACCAACCTCGAGACTCTGGTCGAGGCGCACGATACTGATCCGCAATTTGATAGAAGTAGTTCCCGTCGCGAAAGTTATGGCGTTGTTCAACATGCTGGAACATGCCGCTCTTCATGAGCTCATTACCAAGCTCAACAGCTTCATCTCGGGTATCCACATCTCTGAAGTTCTGAAGCAGCCATGTGGTCAATTCGAAGCCAATGAAACAGTTGTAATGGAGCCTCAAATGCCATCTTCGATCCAGCATGCGAACCCCTTTCTCAGTCTGTATCGTTTCGGCAAGAGACGCAATGTTGAGGTTTGAACGCTGGTACAGGTCAGACTCGGGCAGCAATTGCACTGGTCTCCCGGTGGCATCCCCTTCCGCAACATTCTCTAGCTCGGCAGCAACGATGGCGGAAGAATTCCTTGTTTGGTACAAGATGTCCAAAGGGTTTGTATCTTTGCGGTTTCGCAAATGCATGTGGAAGCGGCGCTCCTCTGGAGGAATGTATCGAAACTTCTGCCATACTTGGCTAAGCTTCCTGATTCCCTCTAGCCTAATCTCTTCTTCGTTATCCTCATTCATGATGCGCAGCGGACGGCGCGTGTTCGAAGGAGGATCTACCGGGATCAGTACGAATCGAGCGCGCCACGGCCGTAGGATCTCCACAAAATCTTTCGCTTGAGGTCTCTCATGGCCAAAGATGAAGTTGTCAATCATCTTCCAGTCAAAGTTCCCGCGCTGTGGACCCATGGATATATCCTGGACGTCATAAGTTTTGGCCAGCATAGAACAAATGGCAGGTCTATACAGCATAGACTCAGCCTCGGCGTTTTTGCTTGCAACAGCACCGTGACGAATGAGCTGGGTGACTTCGACCTCGTTTTCGCCGGACCGTTTCAGCTTCTGAATACTGCTACCTCGTGACAGAAAAATCACAGCGCCAATCTCAGCCAGCACTTGCCCATCGAAGATGTTGAGAGACTGCGAGGCAGGCACCTCCGTACTCTCCGCAACGCGTGGACCCACAACAATTTGGAAGCCGCGTGAAATGCGGAAGCCGAGCATTTCGGTGATCAGCGATCGAGGCATCTCTGATAGATCCGCATTCTCTGGGATTTCGACTTTGTAATCGCTCTTTTGATACTCCCCCGTAAGCTGCTCGGCGGAAGGGAACTCCTCCGTGGTGAGTGGGACCGCAGCAGGAGAGCACAGAGATTTCCACTTGATCTGTGAGGTTGGTAGAGGACGTGGGAAAATGTGCTGCCATCTCCCAAGCCGACTTGCCACTGCTGTCTTTGTCTTCGAAGGATTGGAGGGGTTCAACATCGTTAACCAAGGGGCCAGTGTGGTACCAGGCGACAGGATTGCTGGTAGCGTGGGAGAATCGTCGATGCGCTCATAGTCTGACGTAGATCTCGTGGAGTCCTCTTCCCGAAGGTCTTGCAATGCTTTAAGTCTGTCAGTTGGTTGACCGGCTGCCTTATGCTCATGAATATTTCGGGCACCTGTGCTCTTGTATCCGCCTTCGTTGCTCACACGTATGGCGGTCGGCTTTCTGATTGGGATTGGTCTTGAAGTCTGCTGCGGCTCAGAGTCGGAGGATTGTGGCAAGTCTTGATCTTTTGGAGTGGCTTCGGGAGGATTAGAGCTACTGCCCGAGGTCGTGCTGATGTGCGCCTTTCTTGGCAGCTTCATTGAGGGGGGGTTATGCTTGATCGGGAATGGTGACTTGAAGCCTTGACTTATGAGAGACGTGGGAACGTTGTAGCCGGCAGATTGTTCAGTGCTCGTAGTTGCAATCGCCTTTGCTCTGGCGAAATCGAACCCTTGAGGCCCAAAATTGATCTGACGCGGTTTCGTATTCAGAGTAGGACGAGCTTTTTGTTTGCTGCTTCCAGAGTTAGCATCGTTTCCTTTCCCGCCCGCTTTCTTCCGCAATGCACGGCGCTCCAGCGTTGCTCCACTGGGGAGGCTTTCTTCATCAGAGCTATGCTTGGGCCTGCCAATAGAACCCTGACGGGTGCCAGCGGAAGTGCCAAGCAAAGACGGACTGTAATGGTGACTCATGGATATGTTCCGTGTAGATATTGCCTTTCGAGCTCTTTTTCTCGCCACCAGAGGATGGCGAAAGAGCAAGTCATCATATTCATTCATCCACTGGAACATGGGACTGATACTTTTTTGATTGCCGGATCGACCAGACACAATGGAAGAGGAGAGCTTCGGTGTACGACCGCCCGATCTATCACTCTGCGAACCAAAGACTTCGGAGGTTGGATGTACGCTCGCCGGTCTTGGGGATCCAAAAACGCTTGTAGAGGATAGAATTCTGGATTGACTGACAGAGGAGCTGAAACTCTGAGATAGGGTTGGGATCGAGATGTCGCTAATGGCGTTTTCCATGACGCCCATCATTTGCAATTCGTACATTTTCACTCTCGGTACGAAAGTCTTATGCCTCGGTGCATCGAAACTTGACTTGTTCTTCGCTTTAATCGGAGCGGCGATTGCCCTGAGGTCCTCGTCCAATGGTGCGGTCCAGAATGAAATGTCGACCCAGTGTGGGATGCCATAGCTCCACGGGTGCCCGGATGATCCGCCCAGTGTTTCCTTTATCTGATGTGGCCGCTCATGCGTCACTGACGACGTCAGTGTTGTCACTTGACCCGCGCCGCCTGAAAAACTTCCTGTTGGTGTATCTTGGTCTTCGGTGACGTGAGGTGTCCGTCCAGCAGTTAAATCACTCAACTCGGAACGAGGCGGTCGATACTTGAACAAAGGCACAGAATGTAGTGGCATCTTCGACAAGCAGACCAGATCGATACCAATACCATTATCAATTAGGCTTTCGCTGGTGGCAACCAAGAGGCCGTAGTCCACTTCGAACAGACCCGCGCTCGGGGTCAACACTACAATAGAGACCCCAGTCCTTACAAGATCACGGTCAATGTAATCGGAGGAGAATTGGGATGATGCTAGATTTATTGCTTCAAGAACATTCCCGTGCGTCGCCGCAGACGGACGGCCAGCGATTACATGACTAGGTAGATTAGCCAATGCCGAAGAGATGTCCGCCCCGAGTGGTAAGTGATCTCCCGCATCAGGCTTCCGGATGGAAATGTCTCGAAGGAATACCTTGTACTCTCTTTTTAATTGATTAAGGATGTCAGCCCATTCTCCGCTTGCCATATCACTGGCTACGACTCGGTAGAAGTCTTTCGCGTCACTATTATCTCCATTATCTCGTTTGTGTAGTCTTTCTTGGCTGAGGTCTGCGTTGGTTGAGTTGATAGCCGGCCTATCTTCGTATATCATCCTCGTGAATAGTACTATGCTCACGAGATGCTTGACTTTCAGTTGTTGCCATCTCCCAAAGAGCTCAGGAAGGAAGCCATTGATGACTTTGTCGAACATAATCTCTCCAGTACCATCGGCATCAAAATCCCACATTTCTTTCGACATCTGGACGAATAAAACATATCGAGCAGACTCGCTGCGGAAGATGGGTTTGGTGGATGCATGGAAAAAAGCAGACGGCACTTTCCGGCCCTTCACAAATATCGTTTTAATGCTAGCTTTGATGCTCTCCATGAAAACGATCCTTTGACCTCTGAAGATGCAGCGGTTAGCCAACTCGGCGGAGACCAGGCGCCACATGTCCCCACGGGCAAGGTATTGATCTCGAAAGACGATCTCCACATGGGAAGCGTAGCAGGATGCCTCATCCGCTGTTGACACTAACACCTGGCTCCCTTTCTCAAAGCCGGATGCATGTCCGATTCGACGCGAAATCGAAATCTGCACATTTGGCTGTTTCAAGAGCATCTCCTCACTGATAGGTTTTACACTGAAAATGTGATGCCGACCCAAGTCCACATTCTCTGGTTGGACATCCGCAGCAGCAGTAGGCTTTTGCATGGTATTCTGTGGCTTCCCACCATGGATGATGGTCTCAACATTCCCCTTCAAAGCTGTCAGCTGCATCAAAGTCCCGGCCTTCACCTCGTTACCGTGGAAAAGCGCCGAATTTATGACGACGTCTTCCGTGGACAAATTCTCATCGTGTACTGATAGGCTACACAACAGCCGCACTGAGACTCCAGATTCCGCTTTCGGGGCTGTGGATCCTATATGTGCTCCAGGCGCAGTATCATCTGCATGGCCTGCGCCATGAAATGTGGTGGAGCTACCCGTGCTCATGTGTCGAAGATGTGAGGCACGGAGCGGACGAGAAAGATCCTGGTTTGCCATATTCTGTAACCGTTGAATGAAAATGGGTTTGATGATTCCCTTATCACGGCGGCTGCTCTAGCAAGATGAAATGTCTCATGGTCAGGCGACCTCGTTTCACAGTAGTTACAGGAGTGTGCAACTTGGGCAACTAGACCCATGCCACTTCAAACCGAAACGAGACCGTTTTGTAGGGCAACCGCGTACCCCGTTTGCCTCGCACGTCGCAAGATCACCTAGGTAGATAGGATAGCCGTTGGACCCTGCATTATCGCCTTGCATGGGAGAGTCACATCCGAATGTCACGCTGTCCTTGATAGGCTCATCAACAACAACCCGGCATTGCTGCGGCAACATGCCAGCAAACGCGCGGAAAAGAAAATCGTGATGGTGTGAGGGATATGTCGTGAGTCTGTGCCGCAGTAAGCTGCGCGACAACAGTGATGGTGGTGATATCAGGAGAAGGTCGTCTGTGTAACCTCATAGAGTCCCGATCGTCGGCAGATTGTTATGGAAGAATACCTATGCTTCCTCGGAAGCATACGGTATTGGCGGGCGGCAGCGCACGGAGACCCCCAAGGGACTGTGCGAGAATACCAGGTATCAGGGAGACTTGTAGAAGTTTGAGAAGTGGTAGGTGATGAAGATCCTTAGAGTACTTCAGTGAATCCCATGACGCTGCATATTTCATCAACCATCATAGACATTTGATGCATTTTCCAAGCTCACCTTCTCGCTCTCTTACAAGTACAGTACTCTACTCTTATTCATCCTTACAGTATTCAGCACTACGTACGGAGGGAAAAACCGCAAGCCAAATCGGCATCTGATAAATATCAAATATTTGAATATCCTAATATCACTATTTTACTAAAGCACGTCAATGCTATAAACGAGGTATATATATAAAAGTATATATAACGATATATACGCGTAAGGACATACAGCTATATATAAAGAGTATATTTACGAATACGACGTTAATACAAACGATTAATCTATAAAAAAAGAATCTAAGACTTATATATATATAAAGTTCTTAATATAGCTATAAGAGTAATCCTCTCATATTCTCTATATTAAAATATTTATAAAAAAGCTAAGCATTAATATAATAACGATATAGACTTAAATACTATTTTAACGAAGCAATATTATAACTAATTATTACTATTATTACTAAGATCTCTGCTTTACTATTAATTATCTATAGAAATAAGCTATATTAAAGAATTTAATTTTAAAAGTCTTAGAAATACACATTATATATAAGTAATATATAAAATTTAAAAACCTTAATTATTACCGAGGTTAAGAGTATTATTATAACGCTATAAAAGAGATGCTAAATTATAAGAAAACATTTATATTAGCTATTAAAAAGAACTTTATTAAAAAATCACGATACTTAAAAAAAAATTTGACCCAAAGATTACAAAAACCTACGAAAGCTATAATAAAACCGAATTAATTCTTTATAATATTAAGACAGACTAAGAGGATAAAAAGATAATTAAAGTAAAAAATAGTATAATCTAAATTGAAAAAAAGGCGTATAACGGTAACCAAAAAATCTTTATTAAATCTACTATGCGATATCGTTTCGTAGATATTATAAAGTTTATATTTTAAAATTATTTCTTATATAATAAGAAGAGGTCGTATTATATTTAAAAAGTCGAAACTATAGCTAAAAAGAAAGAATATACCGCGAATCCGCTTAAATTAATAATACTCAAAAGCTGAGATTAAAGAAGCTTAGGAATTTAAGACCGATATACGACGAATAGATTTACAGAATCTTTCTGATAAGAAACTCGAGTAAAAGTTTACTACTAAGATTAAGAAAGTTATTATTAAGAAAAGAAGAAGAGAATTAATAATATCGCTATTAGAAAAAGGATATACGTTTATATTTCTTATACTTCTCCTTCTTATTAGATATAAATTCTTATTTTAAAGCTTCTAAAATTCGCTTAAAAGTATAAATAAAAGCGACTTAATATAATAGTTATAAAAGATAAGATCTAATCTATATATTAAAGTATTAGAAAGTAATTTATATATTAATAAATATTATTTAAATAATCTAATACGATAACTCTTCGAATCTTAATATAATCGAGCTTTATTAATTATAGATAAAGCGTTAAATTACTAAAAAGATATATTAAGAACTCGTAAAGATATCGAGAAATAATACTATATTGCTAAAATTATAAGCTTATATAAAAGAGGATTTAGAAGTAAATAAAGCGAATATCGAGATATATTACGAAGGTTATTTATCTTAAAAGCGATAATAAGTATAGAAAGATTATAAAAGAGATAATATATAGCTCTATAACCTATAGAGCGAGTAAATAAGTATATATATAGCTATATAAAGCATCGTTACTAGAAAAATAAAGCTATTTAAAAAAGATTAGATTTATTAAAATATTAAGCATGCTAAGAGATTTACGTATGTATAGAACTTTAATATTACTCCGTACGGAGGTCGACACTAAAAGTCTAAATATGTCAAAAAGGGTTTAGGTAAGGCTAAGTCTGATATACTTCAAATTTCATAAATAGCATTATTATTCTTTATTTTAATAAGTATTAGTACTCTATATAATAGCGACGTAGTATATATATATAAAGTATATATATACGAAGTATAAATATCAAGTATATATATAATAGCGATATTAATAAATATATAATAGTAATAATAGTAATAATATTAAAGTATTAATTATAGCGTAAAGAAATAAAAAGAGTATAAAGACTTTTAATATATAAGTCTTTTTATATAATATAATAAATAGAAATCTCTTACTATTCCTATTTTAATTATATTTTATTAATATATTTAATATTTAAAGTATTAATTATATAATAAAACTCGAATCTAAGTATTTACTAAGTCTTATTAACTATAATTATAATTAAAACGTTATATTACTCGAAAAGATATATTAAGAACTTATAAGAAAGTCGAAAGATAATAACTATACTATTAAAATTATAAGCTATTTAAAGAGAATTTAGAAGTAAATATATCTGTAAATCTAAAAAGTTTCTTCCCATAATTCCGCCGGGTTCGCATTATAAGTACGATTTAGTACGATTTAGTCTATTAAGTAGACTTTATCTATATTTAACTCTTTCGCTAGTTTAATAACTATCTTAACTCTTTCGTCAATTCTATCAATTTAGTAACTTCAAAAAAATTTGCAACTTCAAAATTTTACGTAATATACTCTAATATACTCTACTAGTAAGTATTATTCTATATATATATAGTATTAATATATATCATTATTAATATATATATTATTATACGCTATATTAAAGCATTATCCACGCGACTAATTTTATTAAATCATTTAATTCCGTAGCCAAATTTGAGTTAATATTGATACTGTCGTTATAGAACCTTGCCGTCGCAACGTCGATCATTAAAACTTTCTTTTTCGTGCGTATTGCTACTAAACTGATAGAACTGGCGGAAAAGATTAGGATAGTTACTAAACCGGCGGAATTTTGGTTGATTTTTAAGATAATTGCTAAACCGGCGGAATTTTGGCTGATTTTGAGATAGTTACTGAACCGGCGGAATTCTTAATTTCAGCCCTATTCGCAAGATCAGCAATTGAAATTTAGTAGGAACTTTCAGATTTGCAGATGTAGAGTAAATATCGAGATATATTACGGAGATAATACGTCTTAAAGATAATAATAAGTATAGAAAGATCGTAGAAGATAATATACGATTATACGACTCCGAGCGAGTTAATAAGTATATACGCAATTATATAAAGCATTATCGTTAAATAAATGTAACTATATAGAAAGTCCAAGAATGCCAAGAGTGCCAAGTATTTTAGCGCTGTCCAGGACTTTTGATGCCGACCTCCGTATAGGTGACGAGTAATCTTATTTTCGGGAAAGCTTACTTTACTTTACCTTACTTTACTCTAGCCGACTCGTGTCCGGGAATTCACTCTTCAGTAAGGTACTAGTAAAGTACAGTAAAGTACAGTAAAGTATAGTAAAGTACAGTAGTACGGAGAAGTGCCTGAGAGCCTAAGCTTGAGCCTTAAATCTGCGCTGTGACGACCCTGATTCCCGACAACATTATTTGCCACTCGCTCACAAACAAATCAAACAATCAAGGCAGCCTGTAACGAAGTAAGGCCTTCTTGGCACCCTTGGCTCTTGGCGATTCCTATTGCCTTGCTGGCGAGGCAAAGCCTTCCCCTTTCCTTTCCTTTCACGCTTCATCAACTTCATCACTCTCTCTCACCAGCCCAGTCTTCTTTTGCGCTTCCGGTGCTGAAGCATTCTTCTTACCAAGCGCAACTTCTTACTTCTTACATCTCGCTTCAATATCAGCCCTAAACCCCAGCTGCCAGAGACCGACGGATCCGGAACCTTGTTGTCTTCGCAGCCACATATTCCCCATCTCAAGGCTGTGTGCCTGCGGCCCAGCTGACGACCACCCGTCTAGAGAAACGTAAGGCTACCAAAATCCCCTCACCTCATACTTGTCAATACTGATCTTGCGCCCCACCAGAATCATAACAACCTTCCCAACGCTCTCTCGCGCTTCAGCACATTGACTCCCACCGTCCACTCCAGGTTATGCGTAAGTGCCACTGCCAAGCCCCAGACTCGCTGAACAATGGCTGGCAATGTCTGATCTATACTGATGCTTCACAACCCAGACAAATATCGCGCAGCTGCCAAACAAGCAGCCTGGTATAGCGAGGAAGATGGTCCTACAAATTACAACCCCTTTGGCAAAACCAGAACACGAACCAAGGATCCAAATCAAGCGGACGAGGAGAACACATTGCGACCTCCTCCTACAAATCGCTCGGAGAGCCAGCTCACTCCTTCCATCGAGCTCCAGCGAAGATCACAGAATGTAAACGCACTTCAGCCGCCCAAACATGCAGAAACAATGCCCTCTTCTTTCCAGTCTTCTTCTGGAAAGTCGCCTGTGGGAGGTGCATCTGCAGTGAAAGATTTTAGTCGAGACCACGAGCCGAGTCAGGATTCTGGGACAACAGAGAGTTCTACCGTGGTCGATTCAGAAGCCAAGTCCGATGAGAAAGATGGAAAGCCAAGACGGAGATTCACAAAGAGATTTCCGTTCGTGAGCAGACCCAAGGAAGAGGAGGACGGGGAGAAAGCTGAGGAAGTGAAGAAGACGCGAACACGCTCGGGGATGTGGGCGAAAGAAACGCAGACTTTCACAGTTGCATCTCAACTGAAGGCTACTCTATTCAACTCCTGGATCAATGTCTTGTTGGTTTTCGTTCCCATCGGCATCGCCGTCAATTTCGCAAACGTTCCCAAGGTCGGAGTCTTCGTGATCAACTTTATTGCCATCATCCCTCTTGCCGCTATGCTGAGCTATGCAACGGAGGAGATCGCTCTACGGACTGGGGAGACGATTGGGGGTTTGTTGAATGCAACATTCGGGTAAGAAATTACACAATCGGTCATACACAGCCGTCACTGATTGAACAATAGCAATGCTGTCGAATTGATTGTGTCCATTATTGCGTTAATCAAGGGCGAAGTGGATATTGTGCAGGAATCCCTGATCGGCAGCATGTTGTCGAATCTTCTCCTCGTCATGGGAATGTGCTTTTTCTTCGGAGGCATCAATCGTGTCGAGCAGCATTTCAACATCACAGTTGCGCAGACAGCTTCAAGCTTGCTATCTCTAGCTGTTGGGAGCTTGATCATTCCTGCGGCTTTTCAGGCGTGGGCGGATGGGCTTCGTAAGTTCCCATCACGGAGCTGGTCCGTCTATTTGCTAACACCCTGTTTCCAATCAAAGAGTCTCTGAAATCAGAGAGAATTACCCAGCTTTCGCGCGGAACCGCCATCCTACTCCTACTGGTTTACGCAGCCTATCTCTTCTTCCAGCTGAAGACTCACGCGTCAATGTATAACGCACCCAGCACAAAGGTCGAAAAGCGGCGGACCAGAGTAGAGGAAGGGGACTCCATTAGAGGATTGGCCAACATAGGCGCGGGTATCTCGGCTTCTATGGGCGGGTCAGCCACCCAGGAGACGCCAATGCGAGAACCAGAAGAGAAAGAACTTCCTCAATTGAGCAAATGGGTGGCTCTTTTCACCCTTGCCGCTTCGACTGCGCTTGTCGCCATCTGCGCCGAATTCATGGTTGATAGCATCAATGCCATCACTCAGGGTGGGCAGGTCTCCAGAACCTTTGTGGGGCTGATCCTCCTTCCCATCGTGGGGAACGCAGCGGAGCACGCAACAGCAGTGACGGTAGCTTGCAAAGATAAGATGGACCTAGCCATCGGAGTCGCGATCGGATCAAGCATGCAGATCGCTCTACTTGTCATTCCTTTCACCGTGGTTTTGGGCTGGATCATGGGTAATGCAAACATGAACCTTGCCTTCGATGGCTTCCAGATTGCCGTGCTTTTTGTTGCTGTTTTGCTGGTCAACTACCTCATTCAGGATGGAAAATCACATTGGTCAGTCTTCGAGTTTGATCTGTCCAATTCAGTCTTCTGACAAGGTCATAGGCTCGAGGGCGTCCTTCTCCAGGTGTTGTATATGATCATTGCTCTAGCAGCCTGGTAAGCCTTTTCACTTCCTCTGCCTTGCAATATTCACTAAAGTCAACAAGGTTTTATCCTGCCGACGACCCAAACACTCTCAATACCAGATGAGATCAGCTTGGACGAGAAGGTGTGCACTACAACGACACAATGCACTGGGATGGCATCATATTGTAGTTGCGGCTGCTCAGACTTGGGGCGTTTCTGTTGATATAAGGCCAGCTAGCACAATCCTGACCGCGCGGTCGCTTCGAGGCGTGTTGGACGCGAAATCACCTGCTCTGATGTTGCCACATCGCCGCAGCTCAATAGTCTTGAGAAGCAAACTTCTCTGACAGCCTCTCTCTCCTCTCCTCGGTCAAATGGTTTCCATTTGAGCACCTTTGATGCACCACTCAACGTGCTCCAGGCCAGGACTTGTGCGAGCCTTTCGAGTGGTTCTTCTATTCTTGACACCATCGCACACTCACCCCATGTGCTGCACGCAGATTCGCAAGGGGTGGTAACAAAGCCGCAAAGTAATCCATGGGGCGGCGAGCTTCTCTGCGGCCTTTAACACACAAGAAGGCCTTACGGCGCGTGGCGTACGGCGCAGATCATCATGGTTAGCTCTTTGGCGAGACGATTGTGGTCGATAAACGAGGCGTGTCTGCCGGTCTTGTATAAAATATATCCCTACAAGTTATGGGATGGGACTTTTCGGAATTAGAAGATAGATACAACTTGCGAAGATCATGGAAAGGGTGAAACAAGAGAACGAGAGTTGATTCTAGGATTAATCCACTGTGGGTAGACTTGTACTAGTATGTGAGTCCAACCTGCCCTAACATCCCACGGGAAGAGTTCTCGAAATCTGTTGAGCCGGAAAATTGGGACAGAAATGGAAGAGTCTGCAACCTGCCCACGGTCCGAAAGGCCCAGTCCATTTCCACACACCAATCCCAAAGCCCATTCTCATTCTATCATTCCATGTCGTAACGGTGGAGCGGGACCCGGGCCACAATCCTTGGCAGCGGCCATGTGCTCACGTGGCCTTACACTTCGTACTTAGGTCCCATCATGTTCTTCCCATCCCCTTTCGTGACCTTGAGCGCCTTCAAATCGATCCCGTCGATGACGCGCGCGTTGACCGGCAGTTTCCCCACCATAGACTCCAACTCTTTCCCTCCGGGATGCTCGAACTGGTTCATGATCGGGACACCACATGTCGAACAGAAAGCGTGCCCGCCCACTTTACGCCCGAATCGGTAGACGGTGAGATGGTCTCCGCCCCGGAGCTCGACGTCTTTTTCGGAGGGGTAGACCCAGAGGTCGGCGTTCTGTTCGCCGTTATGGACCCGTTCATGATCACGACGGTTGGGGAATGAGGGGACGTACCCGGGAGCAAATGCTGCAGTTGCACGACAGCACTCCGATGTCCTCGAGCGCTTCGCTCCGGAGATCGTACGAGACCTTGCCGCAGTGGCAACTCCCTCGGTAGCACTTGGTGGATCCGTTGAGATCCGATTCCTCCGGACCGTTCGGAGGTGTATAGTGTGGCTCGAGACCGGCACCGTCGTACGGCTTGATTTCCAGTTTTTCTTCATCAAAGTCTCGGAATGTGCGGACCTGCCGTCTTTGTCAATCCTCGGGTTCGAAATTTTTATCCGATGGAAATGGTCCCTTCTCACATTGACAGCAATGGATGGACCTTCGACGTGTCTCTGGCCCATCACTGGCGTTCCACAATTCGGACAGAACTTGATTGCATTAGCGTTTGATATCAAGAATCCAAATTCGATGTGGAGCGTGAGCACTGCAGCCGCACCTTGTGGGACATGGTCTTCTTTCCAAACTGATAGTCCTTCAATGTACCGTCACCCTTTTCCACTACGAACAGATCATTGGACGAGGGCAAGGCCCAGAGGTAGCCTTTCTGTACCGGCCTTCAATCAGCACGCCATTCTACCATTCACGACAAGCCAAAAAAATGGAACATGGAAAAATGAAAAGACCTTTGAACAAATGCTACAATTGCACGCCAAGACCTGTTTCAGCTCGGGGAGCCGGACGGAGAACTTGAAAGCGCCGCAGTGACAATTGCCATGATAGGTCTCAAGTCCCTGTTCTGCCATGTTTGGAATCTGTTCTCTGCGTCCACGGCTTTTGCTATATGATTTATTCTGTCAAGAATACGTTGATGCAACCCTTATATTAATAATCAAGCGAATCGCTGGAGCCTGAAGTGAGTCATTCCTCCAATCCTCACCGCTCGTTAGCGTGAGCCGTGCAGGACGGAAAACTCTATATTTCTTGGCATTGAGAAGAACATGGCGCACCCGTTTTTATACAAGGCAGAGTACGAGTAAAGCAATATAAGAGATGCATGTTTTGATGATGATCCGAAACTTGGATCGTGAAATGTTTTCAAATCACTGAATCGGATTGGGTAGTGCGGAAGCTGTCATTTGTTGAGGGTTGTAAAAGCTGAATGCTAGAATGTTGCCATCGTTTAATAAGAAAGTTGTCGCAAAAGTCGTGTATAATTGAGAGAAGCTCATGATTCTACCTGTAAATCCGCAAGGCGAACTGTTAGGAAAAGTGGCAAATTTAAGACCTCTCTTATTTTCACGTTTTTGCATAATATTTGAATGTTCATATTCGAAAAACGTACTTTTAAGGCTAATCTGCCCTTACACAAGTGAGTTCTTTGATAGAGCGAGGACACCAATAGATTAACCGATATTCGGCTAAGTGAAGGATTTATTGGTGTCCTCGCTCTATCAAAAACTCACTTCGGACAGCACGGTATGTGCACGACGACAAGAGCCAATGATGTTCTCACAACTCATTTTGACTGCCTGACGTTAGCCGCCATCCCTCCATTTCGTCAAGAAAGACTGTCGTTGTGCCATTACTGAATACCGGGAGCAATTGGTCTCGAATAGAAAATTGGAAAGACGGACGACGAGCCTGTGCGCAAGGAACAGAACAGAACAGGATACGATCGTAATGTTATCAGTTGAATCATCTGCGAGCAGTAGCGACACTGGAAAACTGGCACATACGAAATTCCTTGAGCGTACAAATCACAAATCAGAGCCCTTGGACCATAACGAAACACCGTAGGGGTGAGCGGAGATAAGTTGTTCCTTACCGCTCCTCCCGGGGTAGAGTACGGTAAAAAGGGGCGGGATTTTCTCAATGCCAAGACTTCCAAACGCTAGGAGCGAGGGGAGTAACAGCTGCCGAGAATCGGGTCATCAGGGCGTCAGGTTGCAGCAACTACTCCGACAATCCTTCACCGCTTATTTCTGTGCGACTGCACCACAATTCATTCTCAGCAGCCATTCTGTCCTTACTGTCTACCCTCTTCATCTCCTTCCGTACTATCACAGCGACTTCATTAATTCGAAGCATTCAGCACACCTCTGCAAGCTCGAGCGTTCAGTCAATGCATCGCAAAGAGCGGACCTCGGCGGATAATATCGAGCTTCATGACATGGCCTGCGCGGGGATGCGAGACTTGCCAGTGTGGTCACATTATTCATAACAACCCGGGATAACACATTAATACCGAAAAATCATGTTCTTGCAGTCTTCTGTCTCCGGTCTCAGACAGCTCTTCTCCACCGCGCCCTCACCCCACACCCCGAGAGGCCAACGTCAGTTGGAGTCGGTCACTGAAGAAGCGCATACCTACGACCTACTCTACCCCGAAGGCGAGGCATTACGGCAAGGACAACACTATGCCTATCCTCTCAGGCAAGGGGATCCTTCAACCTCTGCCGCCGTAGCAAATAGCTCAGATGATCGAGGTGGTTTGGATATACAGAGTCCTCGAGACGTCCGAATCATTATAGCTCAGGATGCAAACGCTCTCTCATCACAGCCTCGGGTCCTCTACGACTCCCACCCTCCACCACCAATACCTCAAGCGCGCAATGCTACATTTCCAGAAGCGTCTAAAAATGGCCCTCGAAAGGGTGGCTCTTTCACAGGAGGAGAGAGAAGCAATGAGAACGTGAAAGAGTCACACACCGCTCCACATACTCGACAGTCTTCTTTCTCCCAAACAGCGCAGTCTATATTCACGTCACCAACATCGCCCCTCTCCCCCGTGAGTGAGCTTGGTAGCCTGTTCAGCAACGCTGGAAGACGCAATCATACTCAGCGGCCTGCGACCAGTGATGGCGAGACTGCGCAGAGCAAGATTGCGAGAAAAGTCCGAGAAGAGACGGATGCTTTGCTGGATTGCATGTTTGGCGCTACAGGGTTCCCGTCTATTTCCAGCACGAAGCTCCATGTCGGACCACCCAAAGCACTGGACGTCGAGAGTGATAAGAATACAAATCTAGCGGCAAGAGACGTGTCATTTTCGGGTGCGTTCCCAAAAAGGAGGACTCCTCTGACTCGATCAACGACAGCTGCAGACCTTCAATCGTTATCGACCACGGCCGAGTCTCGAGATGCAGATCCACAGCCTCCGCGTCCTACCAGCTCTTCAATACTGATCACTCGACTTTTCTCTATCGACCCTAAGGAATCCGCCCATCACACTCAAGGACCTGACGAGCCAGCGAAATCAGTCCGCGGTCAGCCACGTCATGAAAGCGATGACGTCGCAGCTCACCGTAGAACCAAAGCGAAGCAGCTGAAGACTCCAACATATGCGGTAGCTGTCCTTCTTCAAATGCCAATACATAGGCAACGGCCACCTACCCCGTCTATGCAATACCTCTCCCCACAAAGGTCGAGTCCCATGGGCTTCGCTGCGATCAATACTCATTCGTGGCCACGGGATGGCGCTCAGGTCACTGGCATCGCCTTCGACTCCAACCGCGACATTGAATATGTCATTGCCCACTGGACTATTTTGATTCGAGCTCTGTCTTCTCTGGAAATTGTCGCTCGTTGCAAAATCAGCGATGCATTAGTGAGGCAGGAACTCCCGTACTTGGAAATGCTGTTCACTGAGAAGTCAAAGGCTTCCGAGCCAGGACCAGGCATCAAGCCGAGTATGCTGAAGCCGCCAACGCAGCGAACGTTGCAGCTTCCTGCTGGGGCATTGCAACAATGCTCAATAGTCCAGAATTTCACTGATTTGATTGGGAAACGGATAGGTCTTGCTTTGAAGACTCGCAGAGTTGTTGCAGGCCAGCCCAGATGGGGTATCTGGAGAGAGGAGGGTCGTTTGGTCGGGGCCTGCGTTGGAGGGCGAGATCAGAACTTCTTTCTCTTCAACTTGCTCACCGCCTTCCTTGGATCTCACACCGAGTGGTTGGAGTCTCTGGGCCCGAGTCGATACAGACGTCGACACGCAAAGCATTCGAATGACGTCAACGGTGAAGTCAGCGCGATACAACATCGTACCGTCATAGTGTCGCAAGACAAAATGACCGCCCGCCGACTGATATTCTTGCTGTCTGCGTTCCTGCCCGGCATTCACAGGAGGCTCACTGCCGATGGGCAGAATCAGTCTAATCAGTCCGATGCGAGCTGGTCAAACGCTGGATACTCTCAGTCTCCCCCTTCAGGCGTACTGATGCAACGAAGACAGTCCTTGCGTAGGACGATGAACAGAAGGAATGGGGAAAACCCTCCCGCCGTCAGCGCCACGTCCCATGCAAGATCTGTCAGTTTCTCTGGATCAGATGTGACACCAGGTGATGATGCCGTGGCTGAGGGCCTGAGTATCCAACATCGAAGCCGAAGAACGTCGGATGCGCGGTCGATCAGGAGCGCTCTACCTATATCGTCCAATGCCTCAGCGACACGGAAAAGCAGCACAACCACGACTGCGACCGTGACACCCGAAGCTGTAATCGATCCTACCGTCATCCCCGCCACTCACTTTTCAAGTTATTCAACAGACCCTCGAATTGGCACTACAGCAGAGCCAAGACCAGAAAGCAGTGGAACCTGTGCCTCCCTGTCGTTGAAGCGTACTCTATCCCGGTCGGAAAGCAATGAGCATGGCAACGCAAGCTCTGATTCTCAGTCAGGAAGTCGATGGGGCAGTGTGATCAGTGGATTCTGGAGTGGTCGGCGTGCTTCATCTACCGAGGACAGTGATCTCTTGGCTTCATCCCAGGAGGGTCTTGGGATCTCAGGGGTGCCCAATGAGCTACACAGTCAAGGTTCAATGAGCAAGCTGGCTCAGATGGTGGAGGAGATCGATACGAATGGCAAAGCTCAGCGTCCATTAGAAAGCAACACCGCAACACCTCCAAGCCCTGCTAGCGCAAGGCGTTTGTACTTTACGAGCGGGATAGTCGATAAGGCTTCGCCCCCGAAGAACATACCGGAAAAACGAAGCCTTGATCGCTTTCCTCTCAAGCTTTCGATCGATCAAGACGATGGCGTGGTTGACGTGGACTTGCCCCCAAATTTCCCGTACTCTTCTTCTTTCCCATCTATCATGAGCTCTCCTCCGGGTGCCCCTACCGCCGCCAGCAGCTTCAACGACCGTCAGTCATTGCATGGGCGAACCTCTGCTCACGATTCTTCACACAGAGGCGCGGAATCAGCCGTCGATGTTGCTGGCTGGTTGCGGAGGTACCACCAGGACTTTGCACTTCAAGCAGTCCGTCCTTATGACACCCTCAAGGAGGACGTGAAGCGTTCAATGAGAACCGAGCCGACGCCCGCTATTGCCACTCCCCCAATGAGTGAAGCTGGTGATGCGGCTAGTGAATGGACGGAGATTTGCACAACGCTAATTGCAGACACGACCAATTTCACCGTCACTCGGCTTTGTCTCCGACGAAAGAATGCAACATCACCTCATCATCAAGCCAATGCGTTGCTGGAGAGTAGCACCATCGGCGATGCCTCAGAGGAAGAAATTGTAGAAGAGCCAATCATGGACATGGACCCTACCCTCATTGACGCCGTCGAGCGTGTTCTTGCTCAAAGCGGTCAGTCGTCCCGCGCTGCGTCTCGACCTCCATCGCCGTCCCGCCATACTCCCAACGAAGATATCCCTGGATTGGAGATTCATCGAAGCGAATGCAAGAAGATGGTTTTGGGTGCCCTAGAGCAAGTGGCCAAAAGCGTCAGTGCCGAGCTGTCTACCCGATCCCGCGTTGAGAAGAATGTTGGGGGATCGCACAGAGGAAGAGAGAATTTGCCCGCGGACAGTACTCTGAGAGAGGGAGTGCGAAAGTGGCTGAATGAGGTGGGAAGGGAAGGGGCATGACTTGAGAGCTTCTATTTTCAATGTGGCGGCCTATGCGAGTGAGCGTATGGGACATACTTTATTTCAACATTGCATCACTTATGGCATGGTGGCTGCTCTTTTATGCTGCGATTTAGCGGGTCATTGGAAGTGATACCCCTTTGACGATTTTCCTTTTCTTTTGTTAGATACCCCAGGGCAGGGAAGCTTCATAGAAACGATACGGACAACAACACAGCATGCATTTTGCAAATGAAGACACCACGCTGGGACCATTTGGTGCTTTTTAATCAGCAGTTCTGCCCGATGTTTGATGATGTCCTCTTTTCCTTAGACCTTTGAATTTTGCCCAATACAGAAGGGAGTACCCACACCCCCTGACTGTACCGACCCCGGACCAATCAACAGCACAACGGCCTACGGGAAACGTGTCGGCGAAAGAACACGGCCTCGCTACCGGGGAAGAGCGCCACCAACACCTCCTCCGTGCCCATTCCGGAAAAGACGGTGGGATGTGCGGGTGCCTGGATTTGTTCCTTAGATGTATTCACTTCGTCTCCGGAATAATCTTCGTTGGAACAGCATGTCACCCTTGTGCTTTCGCAACATGTTGAGACATTGGAGGAATTGGACCCCCCCAGCCCCGGCCCCGGCCCCTTTTTCCCTTTTCTTTGATCGGTCGCTCTTTCTGAACGAACGTATCGGATGGGAACGAGCCCTTGTGGCCGGCAAAGATCAGGTCGAGAACGGCTCGCTTTGATTCGATGCGATGCGATTCGAAGCGACGCTTGGCGTTTCTGTCTGTAGAGTAGTTGTTGCGGTGGGAAATTGTTCAAGTGAGATGTTGTGCTAATGGGAAAGGGTTGGTTTCTGGGACGATTGCTATTTATTGTGGACGGCAAACTTTGTGCTTTGATTCCGTGCACTTCTTGGGATGGAGATGGTGACCGGGTAGGCAAGCATCTGCGAATGATTTTTGATGAATCAGGTGTCTTTGTGCTTATGTATCTGACTGTGCATGACAATCATTGCATTCGGGAATAAAATGCTCGTTCGCAAATGTTTTTTGTACTATGCAGCGGCAATGTCAACCTCAGCAACGCCCAATCCACCATCGAGGAATCCATCAGCCAAGAAGAGAAAGTATGACCAGCTTGACCTGCTACCGCCACCATTACCGCCCAATGGCTCCGTTCTTTACATCGCGCTGTACGCACTGCCACCTGCCAAGCGTCGTTGTGGAGTGCTGAATTATCGCTGGACTTGTCTCCTGGCACCTGACGACAAGCCAGAAACTCACGGAAGACAGTATCTCATCCGCGAGATGAGCCCGAAGATCGATCCTCGTGATGGGCCTGGAAGTAGCAAAGGGCTCGGAATACCAGGCCGAGGGTTCGAAGAGCCAGGCCTGGAGCAGCAACGCAGGCGCGTCGAAAGGTTCCTCGCGTCCACCCCGTCCGAAGATCCAGACCATGCCCAGGAGACGGCTGCATGGGAATTCGAGATCCAGGACGTCTGCGTGCAATCATCCGGAGAGGCACGCGTCAGGATACAGCTGCCGCGGGTCCCGGACGTAGAGTCGTTCGAAGCTCTCATCAAAGACGCATTTCTTGGATCTGATGGAACCAGAGGGGTTGACTGGAACCCTGTCATGTGGATGGGAGTTGCGGGGACTGCACTGGCAGAAGCTGGAGATGTGCTTGGCGTAGGAGGGCTGAGGCCGGAGCCGGTAGGTTGGGAGGCGGTGCAAAAGACGGTGATGGAGTTCGTCACGGCGCAGGAGAGGCAGGGGAGGTTGGATGAGAGGAATCTGACACTTCGGGTGCCGACTTGGGGACTCGTGGAGAGGCAGCTGTTGGTCTCATGAAGGAGATTCATAAAATAGCAATTGGAAACGGCCAACCAACCTTCGAAGAATGATAGGATTTGTATATAGAAGCGAATAAGGAGAACCGCTTTAGGCGTCGTAACCAACACACGCTACCACTAGTACTCATTCGGCCTAGTCATTGGTATAGAAGGCCTTCTCGTACATAGATATCCTTCTTCCTTAGACATCATTAAGACTATCACATCTAATGATAGGTCTCATTATAGCAGTAACTGCATACCCAGGTATTTACCAACATGATCAGTGTACTTCAATACTAGTACACAGATTAGCAAGGCCATACTCTGAAGGAAGTCGTCCCGATATCGCCGCGGTACTTCACACGATTCTATGTTACTCAATCGATTCCGCTCATTATAACGATTCGATTAAATAAAACTACAATTTCTATAATTCCTATAACTCCTACCCAGCAGAGAAAACACTCAGAAAATACCAAATACCACCAAGCTTCACATCACATTAACATATAACACACACCCAAAATGGACTCCAAGGACAAGAAACCTGATTCTTCAGAGACACCGCCAGGCATTATAACTAAGCGTGAGTTAGAGGAACTATAAGGAGCCAAGCCACTAGATACCCAAGAGGAGCTCGAGGAATTCATCCGTTGGAGGATATAACAATACACAATATACAAATTTAGAACACTCTCAACGTCTTTGCGACGACTTCTTAATACGTTAGAGAGGACTTCGAGGTTCTTAGCAAGGACGTTATTACCAGCCTACGAGATTGCCTATGGGTTAATAAAGTCTATATTAAGAAAGGAAGAGAACTCTCGATGGCTAAAGAATTAGCGGATATAATTAAGGAAGAGATCCCATAGCCACCAGACGACGAAGATCGTCCTCCACCAAAGCACCAACAATATTACCCTGCTCAGCAGCAGCCAATTCAGACACAACAGACATCACATAGAATACAAATACTAGTGATTAGTCTCATAGCAAGTAACTGCAGTACCAAGTACTTACCAACACTGATCAGTGTACTTCAATACTAGTACACAGATTAGCAAGGCCATACTCTGAAGGAAATCCGTCCCGATATCGCCGCGGTACTTCACACGGTTCTATGTTACTCAATCGATTCCGCTCATTATAACGATTCGATTGAAAGAACTACAATTTCTACAATTCCTATAACTTCTACCCAGCAGAGAAAACACCCAGAAAACACCAAAACCATCCATTACTATCCTCAGCAACAGCAACCTCTGGGACAACCACTTCCCTCCCTCCTCAACTACCTTTACAAACGGAGAATACCGCTCAGATTCTCCCTCCCCAGTCCAGAACTATGGCCCAAACTACCAACCAATTATCGAGGATACCACTCCAGTCCACCCTCCCCCACCCCAAGCGACGGCCCTCCACATCATCCTCAGAAACAGCCAATGCAGCCAATTCAGCAACAACATTACCCTCCTCAGCAACAGCCAGTTCAGCCACAGCAGCCCTACCAACCAATTATCGAGGATACCACTCCAGTCCACCCTCCCCCACCCCAAGCGACGGCCCTCCACGTCAGCCTCAACAACAGCTAATGCAGTCAATACAGGAACAACAGCCTTATCGACCGGAGAACACTATTCCTCTCCCCCCGCAACCGCCTTATCAACCAGAGAATCCTACTCCGATTCTCCCCCCAACCCCAAACTATGGCCCAGATTACCGAGTCCCACACCTACTACCCTCGCCCTACTAAGTCATTTAAGACTTCGAGATTAAGGAACAGGCCGTTGCAGAGGATTCTTGAAGAGTATTACGAAGAAGAGTATTACAAGTAATAGCCCTGTTAACACGAGCCAACTCTCTGCGGTTTTACATCCGCGTACTATATCGACCCTCAAAGAGCCTACTTTCTCGCTCAGCACCGCTCGAATTCAGTATACTTCAAATCTCGCTCCACCTTTCGCCTCCCAGCATGGTTATTTTCTCGCTCCACTTTTCGCCTCCCAGCATGGTCATTTTCGCGCCTCTTGGCTCGCCTCTTCGCTCGGCTATATTCGTGATACGGAGAAGCGGAAGGCTATAGGCCAAGGATAGGTGCATAAAGTATATGGACGGTGTATTCTTGATGTAGCTGTCTAGGGATTTGATTATAAGGGTCCATCTTTCTCTCATTGCTATTAGAAATACGCCTAGCATGACCGGATCTACGCCCACTGCAGCAAAGGGAGCAATTGCAGCCATGGAGAGCATTGCGGAGAAGGATTCGAAGAAGTAATGTTTTGATAGCATGCGAATAGCCTCATCTTTTTCGGTTTTTGCCAGTGTCGGTAACTCAACACTCGCTACCACTAGTACTCATTCGGCCTAGTCATTGGTATATGAAGGCCTTCTCTGTACATAGGATTCTTCTTCCTTAGACATCATTAAGACTACCACATCTAATGATAGGTCTCATTATAGCAGTAACTGCATACCCAGGTATTTACCAACATTAGGCCTTAGTCCTACACCAATTGGGAGAGTAATTGTTCAAAGCGATGTAAGGTTCCGAATGGGAAGAGTACTACAATCTCATCATGATGCATGACACCCAGCTGGCTGAAGGCCCACGTTTGAGACCGGGGAAAACTTGACACATGTCGGTAAGATTGCTTCTAGTCAGCTCGACCTTTTGAGTAAGGCAGGACTAAACACGAAAGGCAAACAAAAGCAAGCCGACCGAGACCTGCGATACGACTCAAACCCATCGCCATGGTGTAAAAAGCTGGGGAATTGGGCTCCGAGGTCAACAGAAGCAGGGCCAATCCTCCATACGAAAGCCATCATGAAGGGAGATGACACCATATGCCCGTGAGTACTGCCATACTGGAAGCTTTGGCCGTACGGGTGTCGGTGGTGTCGAACCGCTAGCCTGCACATATATGATTGATTTGTTTGTGCCCAACTCATACAACGTTCCAACTCAGACAACTTTCAGGAATGAGTACTATACACGACGAGGAATCTTGCTGTTCTTTGTGTGCTTCTAGGTTGTGAAACTCGTAAACTTGTAAGAGACCCGTCGAGATGGCCGCCAGTCGGTTCTGCTGGCGCGGAAACCTTCAAAAGTACGAAGAAGTTTAAGGTAAGCGCTGCCCAGCGCTAGCCTTTTCCCCAGCCACCGTGCCACCGCATCTCTTCCTCTTCCTCTTCGAGCGCAATCTTTCTCCATCCCGTACCCATTCCCTACTCTGTATTTCCTTTTCTTGCCCGTGTGCGTGGATCTGCTACATATCTTCTCTCTTTAACATAGAGCGCACTGGTGACTGGACAACTGGAAGCGGACCCAGCGGACCTAGCGGCTGCCATCATGAGGTATTTCGATGACGGGGATCTAACGGATGGCCTAGTATGATGTTCTATGATACAATGCTATGGGATTCTTCGCTAACCATAAGTCTCCTTCATAGCAACTCACGCCTAAACATTTTCCCGTGGAACACGTTGAAGGCGATTACCACGTTGTCTGGACATACTGCAAAGGAAAGAGGCGAACGCTGGATTGGAGCTCACAAATAGACCTCTCAAACTGGGAGCTGAAATTTCAAAAATTACCAGCCGAGGAAGGAGGCGTTGGTAGGCACTTCAATGTCTCTCTCAATTTCGGCAGCCTCGAGCTCGAATACATTATGGATTACCAAGATAAGATCGTCAACCGTCTCGACCTGGCTACAAACAAAGCACCTGGCGAAGGCTCTGTGGAGAATGAAGCCATGATCACTTTTAGTGAAGTGCGCGACGAGTCTGGCTATCCGTACCTCCGCTTCAGTTTCTCTACCAACGAGCATAACCCGGATGACGACATGGTGAATATAGAATTCGTGGCGAAGAGAACGGACGAGACGGGCGTACATCAGCTGGGATTGACGAAAAATGAGAAGCTGAGACTAGGATACGCTGTCTGGGACGATGGCACATTCGAGCCGGAAAACTCCGACGAAGAGGTCATCGGTCAGAGCGCGGATAGTCTGAACAAACAGCTCCAACGGCATATCGAGGCTTCGGTAAAGATACACGCAAAGCTGGTCACAATGAGAAACAACGTCGACAAGCAAGTAGCTAATGCGACAAACGGAATGCAGCAAGCCTTGAACCAAGCATGGCGCTCAGCTTCCCATCCCGATACTAACCTCCAACCATCATTCGATCCCTCCTCAGCCGGAATGTCACCGCCGCCCGCTCGGCGGAAGAGAGGCGAAGTCGCGACGGCCGAAGCACTCGAAATACCACCACTATCCCAGCGTAGGAAGAAGGGCAGCGGACCCGAACGCACACCCATGTCGATGGAAGATGATGAATTACCGAACGGTACCGCGAGACCTGCCGGGTATAAGCGGAAACGGGGTGAAAAGGCACCGGGGAAGAACAAAGGTGGAAGGCCTCCTAAACGAAAAAGTATGCGGACATCTGTATGAGCAGAGACAAAAGTGGAAAGGATGGGCGCTAAGTAGTCTTCTTCTCCTTAGGTGATATCAACACTGTTGCCCAGTACCTTGTTGACATAGCCGGAGCCGGCTCACAAGGCTCAGGAGGCTAGAAGAAATTCGTCGGATGGTTAGAATTCAACAGCATGAGTTTCAGGGCGGTATATTCATTCGACTGTAATTATTTTCATCCCAGCAAGCGAGCGTCTCACGCATGAATATCCATCCCAGGAGTCGAGTCCAGCGCAAAACCATTCAAGACGCCGACATTAGCCCTCCTGGTAAATGATGACCATGCTCTGAGGATGTGACAGTACAGTGCTCTTTGTTTTACGTCGATGAACTCATCATGCCTCATCGATATGGAATTCCAGCAACTCATCACCTATGCTTTTCTAATCGCCTTGTCTCGTACCAGCGAGCAAGTTGTAAGGGTTCACCCTCTAAGCATTATATCGTTTAAAACAGGATCGGGTATATCAGCCCAAATCTACCTTGCTCTTGGTATCGTCTCCGGTGGGGCGGCGCAGATGTGACTCCATCCCAATCGATTCCAGATGTTCCTAACACGAGATTTTCTTTTCTACGTTTGCTATTCTGCCCCGACACATCTTCCAATATTGTTCTATATTTCCTCCCTCATCGGCCTTACACTCCTTGGATCCTCCTTCATCAACTCCTTCCACTCCTCACCCTCCACTCGCTCTTCCTGCTACCCCTCTCCCGTATCATCTCCTCTTCCTCCTTCCCATCCTTTCAACCATCTCCCAAACCACTCAGCACTGACCTCCGCACATTTCCCCTCCGCCTCCATAGAAAATAAGAACCACCCCAACACCATCGTACCAGCGCCAATAGGAATCGAACCTGTTACGAATTGAATACCCTCTAACCTCGACCGTAACCACAGATACGTACCCCCCGCACGACAAAAGATAACCACTCCTGCTGCTGCTGCTGCACTTAAGCCAAATCAGATATAATCGGGATTCGAACCCACGACCCTGGGGGAAGATGCAACGGCAACGCTGCAGTATTGGCGCTGCCGGGAAATCAGAAACATCGCAATACCATTGTATCAGCGCTAGTAGGAATCGAACCTGTTACGAATGGAATACCTTTTACCTTCCTTCACCGCCGAATGCCCCGCTTTGAATTTCAACCTCGATCACCTCCCCAGCTGCGACGACGACGTTGCTTCCTACGCTAGTGCCGGTGGGTGACATTTTCTCCGCTTGCGGTGTTGGGAGTCTGGATTCAGGGGACGTGGATGGGTAGGGAGGGAGGTGGGAGATTCTAGCCGAAATGACCTCGACCCTTCTACGGGATCGACCCGGCCATTTCTCCGCCCCTCATGCCCATCCCAGCCTAGAGCGTACTGTGGACCCTCCCCAGCGAGACCTTCCCCTTCGCTAACCGCCAGGCCCAAAGTCCCAGCGTGATGCCCACGTCGAAGAGATCGAAGACCAGCGCTCCGCCGAAGATGATGGCGTAGAAGGTCCACGCGCGCTCTTCCGACAGCCGGACCTTGGTGACGACGATGGCCCAGGGGAGGATCCAGAGGAAGTTGGACCCGAGGGCTTGGTAGAGGTACCAGCGGGGACTGGTGGCGAGGAGGATGGCGGCGAGTTGGTATTGGACCGCGTAGAAGATGTAGCACCAGTCGATGTTCTGGATGGATGGATGTTTAGTGGAGGGGTTGGGAGAGGGTGAGAGGGAGGGAGGGAGCCGACCTTCCACATTTTCTTGGTTATCGCTGCGACTTCGGTGGAGTCGGAGAGATAGTACGCGAAGGATTCCATGCCCCATAGTGAAAGGCAGATACAGACCGGGACTTCGACGACGAGGGCAATGACGCAAGAGATGAATGCTGGGTGCATGATGTCTGTCGCCGAGCGGAGGGTTAGCAGGGGACCAAAAGCCACGACGAAAGATGGGAAAACCATACCCAAAAGGTCCCGTCTGGAGGCTTTGGGCTTTCGCAACCCAACCCCCACGCGTGCTCGCCATTGGCCCCAGTTGTGGCCAACGAATGCTAGCGTCGATGCTTCCAAAGCTTGGACTGGCACCATGACCAGCCCCCAGCGGATCGTGTTGAACACACCCCACGCAGTGCCATAGTTCTCGCCGAGGGAAATGATCCTGCTGACGAGCCACAGGTACAGCGAGTTTCGGATTGCGGACTCCGTGAAAGTGTAGACTGATGGACGGGCGAGGACTTTGAAGGCTCTGACACCGGGCCTTATCGTTTCATCGGAGTCTTCACTGGACTTTCGGTGCATCTTTGTCGCAATGTAGATAAAGTACACAAGCCCAGCAACGGCGGAGCTCATGTCACAAGCGAGCCTGATGAGGGCTTGATCAATGATCGTTGGCGTCCATGATCCCACATGGAACTTGGAGATGATCAGCAGGTCGAGCATGATGTTGATGACGAAACTCGTCGAGCTGATCAACAACGGTACATCCGGATTATCCAAAGCCCGTGTGCAGTCCGATACAGCGACTTGCATGGCAGAAGACAGTGCCGAGACCGAAGAGATGCGAACGTATGTTATGGATGCCTCTCTGACTTGCGCTGGGACGAAGGCGGCGGCAAGCTGATTGGAAGCCGCGATGAATACTATGGTCATGATGGCTCCTAGCACGGTCTGGAAGAGAATGAGGGTGTATGATAGGCCGAGTCGAGAGGACATGGTCCTGGTGGCCTTGTCTCCGATGACGAGCCAAGCGGCTCTTGGAAGGCCGTCGTTGAGGACGTTTGCCACGGTGCCGATGTAGGTGTAGACATCGGTGGTGACCACTTGGGTTGGGTCGATGTTTGCGATCCATAGCTTGCTGAGCGTGCTGTATAATGCTGGGAGGAGGAAGGCGCATAGATTGAAAATCAACGAGCCTTGATATCTGGAAAGACAAGTTAGAGATCGATAACATTGGAAAACCACATGCGTGCATCAGGCAAGCTGTTACAGAGAGTGGCGGTCGTGATGGGCATATCTTTATTCAACAAATCATGGTCAAAACCGCTCAAAGCTGACATTGACGTGCGGGGACAGCTCAGGCCAAGTACTTGGCATAAAGAGGATCTGGGTTTCATTGCTGAAATCAATAGTTGTTTATGGGTTTGCGCCGCTGTCAATACGGAATCTTCGGGCAACATGCTTGGAATTGCATCAGAGGTAAATAAATCGAACTCACGTTTCTCTACTTAGATAGCGGCCATGAAATGTTTTCAGCCTCTGAAAAGCTGACTTGTCCTTGGCAACTTCTTCCGCAGATTGATCGATGGGAGATGCGTATGTCTCAGTGTCGTTGTCTTTGGCTGGCAGCATTGTGTACTTGCCTCGAACGAGAGTCGAGAGTTGGGTACCCATTCTCCATCCGAGACGCCAGATTTTATATTCCAGTTGCCACTATCAGCTTGAAGTGGGGAAATCTCCCAGTGTTCTCATCGTGCTTCAATTCCTATGCACGAGACCGATTCTGTCCCGCTGAGTGGCAGTCGGATTACGTTTTGCGGTAAAGCGTTCTCTCTCCTAGGGCTGCACGCATCTTGGAGCAGTGCTGGAGGTGGCCGAAGCAGCCTCGGAACCCACGCGAAAAACCGTTACACATGCAAGTCTCGGGCCTACATGCGCTCGAGCAAGAATAGCTGTGCCTTCTCCAGTCTGTGGCTCCAGTGATTCTGTGATTTTTGGTGGAGCGGACTTTGGATCCGTGGGTCAATTGTGGGGCCTCCAAAAAAGTAACGGTTTGCCCCCCTTTTTTTTCCCAAAAAAAAAAAAAAAAAAAATTTTTTTTTTTTTTTTTTTTTTTTTTAGGGGGTTTTTTTTTTCTCTCAACACAGAGAATTGATTTGGTTTCCATCTCTCCGAGAGGTGACTTTTCTGACAGCGGCGTCTCCCGGTTTGCGCTAGGCCGGAAATCGTTAGATCTCGTCTGGCGTACTCAACCGGTATCAGATTGTCAGTCGGTATATTCTCGTCTGATTTGATAGAACGACTGTTCGTGGTCCAGTCTATTGATCTCTTCTTTTGCAGGTGCCTTCTGTCACGGCAATTTAAATCAGCTTCCTCCTGTCTTGTGAATGTTCCATCTGGCTGTGCCAACCATGAATTTGAACAACAAGCCCTCCTACCCAAACCCCGACTCAACCCTTCCTTTCTGGAGAATAGAACCTCATGAGTTGGACAGTTACCTAGCGAAAATCTGCCAACCGAATGTGACCTCGTGATCATTGGAGCAGGATATGCTGGCACAGCCACTGCTTATCATCTGTATGATGGCAACCCATCGCCTCCATCAATCGTGCTGTTAGAAGCCCGTCAAGCATGTTCAGGAGCCACAGCGAGGAATGGTAGGTTGTGTTGGTCCACTAGCGATGAGCAGCTGATGAAGACGAGCATTAAGGCGGCCATCTAAGACCAGAAGTCTACTTCGCTATGTCCGACAACATCGAAAAGTACGGCCTGGAAGCTGCTGCTGAGATCTCCAACCACGAAGTTGCTCACATCCAAGCAATCAAGAAGCTGATCGAAAAAGAGCACATTGACTGCGACTTTACTCTGACCCGGACCTTTGACGTTTTCCTGGACGAAGAACTCGCCAACCAGTCCAAAGAAGCGTACGATAGCATGGTAAAGAGAGGCTTGACTTCTATTCAAGACGCGCACTTTACACCAGCAAAGTATGCGGAACGAGTATCCGGAGTCAAAGACGCCAAAGGCTGCTTCAGCTTCACTGCGGCGCATCTCTGGCCTTACAAGTTCATCATGCATCTTCTCGGCCTCGCAATTGCCAAAGGGCTCAATTTGCAGACCCATACGCCTGTAACGCATGTAACTTCGACGCCGGACGACGGCGAGCGCTACGCCGTCACCACTCCCAGAGGAATCATCACAGCTAAGAAGGTAGTCTTTGCCTCGAATGGCTTCACGGCCGGCATTCTTCCCGAGTACTTGCAGAAGATCGTGCCTTGTCGAGGAATATGCAGCCGTATTGTGACGCCTGATCCAAACAAGGCGCCTTATCTGAACAATACGTATAGCTTGCGGACTGGCCATGACATGTACGACTATCTGATTCCGCGGGTGGACGGGAGTATTATAGTTGGCGGCGCCAAAGCCACGATGTCGAACGACAAAAGCGTGTGGTATGACAACACTAATGATAATGAGCTGATTGAGCCTGCAAAGGAATACTTCGATGAATACATGCAACGACGATTTGTCGGGTGGGAAGAAAGTGGAGCCTATGTGGACAAAGTGTGGACTGGGAGTAAGTCAATCTAAAGCCTTCCCTGATTGAATAATTGTTTTGATGGATCCCTATCTTGTGCTGAATCGAATGTTTATTGCAGTAATGGGCTACACCTCCGACCTCCAACCGCATGTCGGTCCAATCCCCGCAAAGCCAAATCAATACATCGTGGCCGGCTTCAATGGCCACGGCATGCCCATCATCTTCCTCGCCGCCAAGGGCGTTGCGGAGATGATCAGAAACGACAAGACGTTTGAGCAGACTGGGCTCCCGAGAGTATACAGAACGACCGAGGAAAGGCTGCACACCGACAGATATGTCATTTTCAACAAGGCTCATTAGGGAGCTGTCCCTTGAACGACGGTTGGTAACAGGCTATCATTACGTTCGGTGAGTTTACTAAGAGTTCACCTGGGATTGGAACTGTTTTCCCCCGGCAGAAGTCGATCAACAACCCATTTGATTGGCATGCGGTATACACCCCGCCGAAACTCATATCCTCAAAAGCTCCCCTGGCCTCTTCTGTCCCAAATGCTCCATCACATCCTCTAACAGCCTCTCCCCTTCCTGCCGCTGGCACCACGCAACATACACCATCCACCTCCGGCGCCCCAACAGACCCAGAAACAACCTCTTGATCTTGCGCAACCATTGCTGCATCGTCTTTTTGTGCTCCGGCATATTCAGCTATAAGGTGGTCCAGACGGGGAGGATTGTGATCACGCGACTGGAGAGGGTACCCTGGTGGTCGGGTTCATGGATCCAGACTATAGCCTTGTTTGATGAGCTAAGGGTGAAAGCCTCGTACAATCATGGTGTCGGTGAGAGGGAGCTACGGTGGGCTGTTCTTGGATCGATTATCGTAGTGGACGCGAGATTGTGAACATGAGAGAGAGAGAGAGGGGCCAGACATCACAGACGCGATGATGAGAGAGATAGATAGATCAGATAATGTATCTCATACTCCACTCATCTAGATACATATGTCCTTCGGGCTTTCCAAAAGAAGCTGCCCCTGCCACACACACCCACCAATGCGGAACAACCATCCCGAACTCCCACATAGTCAGCCGCCCACGCACAGCGTCCAAGACGAATACTCGGTCGGGACTATAAACCCGACATCAACAATCCTGATCGCCCCGGAAGGTATCCGTACCCCGCGGTCCATCAATCCGCGCGCCATATGTACGAGTGCTCGGAGTAGACTGGAGGGAGGGAGGGAGTATCCATCCAACGCGGCTCTCTTCTCTGTCGTGGCGTGGCGTGGAGAGGCTGCGCGATGATGAGTCGTGGTTTAGGTAGGTAGGTAGGTATATGGATGGAGGAGCTGGGGACTGTGATGATGAGAAGCAAAGATGGAAAGAAAAAGGAAAAACACATTAGGGTTACCTTAGAGTGCTCTGGGTGAGTAGATGGGCTGGATTTTGGGGGGTTTGGAATACTTGCACCGTGAAGAGTATTAAGGCGGAGCATGAAGGGGGGTACGAATGGATGGATGGATGGATGGATGGATGGATGGATGGATGGATGGATGGATGGATGGATGGATGGATGGATGGATGGATGGATGGATGGATGGATGGATGGATGGATGGATGGATGGATGAATGATTGATTGAAGGATGAATTGACACAGTGCCGAGAAACTGAAGAGTTGCGAAACATCTGCGTCTAAATAAACGGTACATGAGTGGCACTCCTTGTCCATGCCAAAAGAGTCCGTGATCTATCGGCCCGCCGTGGTCCGGTTACAATGTCAAGATTCTCGCCCCCAATCCGGCGTCTTCGGCGACAACGCTTCCTCAGGCTTCGGCAGCTCTCCAGCAACATCCTGTGCATAGTGCCAGTGGAAAGCCCCATCCGAGTTCCCACCAGCGATCGCCAGAGCCGTCCACGCTTGGTCCCTACTCAACCCTTGCGCCATCAATCCCGCCATAGTTGCATCCGGAAACGTCTCCTTTATAGCCCCCGCGTACTCAAGTTTGCTGCTCCAGACTCTTTTCCGCAGGGTGCGGCCGAACTTGTCCTGGTTCATTCCGATTGCATCGACTGATATGACGGAACGTGCAGGATCGCGAAAGCGTTGCTCGACGCAGTAGCCGTAGACGTTGAAGAAGGCTTGTATGGTGGTCGAATCCATGAAGCCCTCGAGGGCAAGATTGACGATTTCGAGACCTTGTGCTAAAAAATTTTGGTCGGTGGCATCGTTCTCTTCTTCGCGGGATCGCCCCCGGCGCAAAATTTCCGGATGTATGGGGATCCCAAGCATGGTTGCCCAAGCATTGAAGATGACATGCAGTCCACAGGTATTGATACCCACCTGTTGAGGGACTCGGTTCCAGATGCAGGGTCTGTATAAGACCTGAATCCCAGGTCCAGCCGAACCAAGCCAGCGAGAATGATTGATGATTTCTTCAGCGCTTAGCGCAATCTGTTCCTCTGTTACCGTTCCCCTTCTACTGTCAAATATTCGTAATTGAACTGTCATCGGACGGGCGTCAACCAACTCAGCCACACAGAGCAGAAGATGGCCAGCAGGGTGGATTCTCTCTTGGCCCTTGACTTGATCCTCAAGCGCTTCAGATGTTGTGGAAGAAAAGAACAACGGCATGATGAATCTGCTCCACCCTCCAACTGCGCCAACTTCTTCCTGTTTACCCCCAGGCGAGAAAATGTCCATCCCAGCATAAGTGAAATCGAAGTCTGCACGCCTGAGACGCTTGAGACTTTCCCAAATGGGCGCTATGCCAAGTATTACCTCGTAATCGGCCATGTTTGAGGGGTCCCTTATGATTGTAGCGTCTTTCAGCGCGCCTTTGGTAGTCCGGGGGTTCTTCGCTCTCAAGGCTTTGTGACTAGCGAGACCTCGGACCAAGCTTTCCTTCCAGGTTCCTGGGGTTTGAAGAGAAGCCGGTGGTGGTGGAGGTGTGTCCGCAGAACCCGAGGAACTACCTGAATCACCGGAAGCGTCTGAAGAACCTGAGGAACTATCTGAACCACCGCAGATGTCTGAAGAACCTGCAGCTGAACCTTGACCAGGAAGTGGCAATGTGAGTCCGGTCGCGACCTCAGGAGCATGCCCTGATTGCTGGGTCGTGGCGCATCCTGGTGGTACGGATACAGCGCCCCAAATCCTTGCATGATCTCGATTAGCAGCCTGTTCCTGCGTGTGCATATCATCAACGATCTCATTGAAAGCCTTTTCATTCAATGCTACAGTCTGCATGTACCGAAGTTTGTTCGGCAAATCCGGGTTCTGTTTCTGGGTTTGCTGAAGCCGAGACAAAGGCTCACCGATTGCAAACTTGTAATGCTGCATCCAGGCTCGGATAGTCAAGCTGTCAAGCTGCCCTCGAAGCGCTAGGCCAATCATTCGTCTTATGTCTTCATAAGACGCTTTTGCTAATGCTCCTTTTCGCGTCGTAGCCAGTGGAATTTCAAGCATGTAAGCCCATGCATTCAAAACGGTATGCTCCCCGCACCTGTTCACTGACTGTCCAAGTACGTCCACCCAGTCTTCCTCATTCGGATCGAAGGAAGGCCAGATGTCGCCAAGCCACCCTGCATTTCTGACAATATTTCTTGCGACACGTCGAATCAATCCTTTGTCTAAAAGTCCTTCGGCGCTATCCATAAATCTCAATCGCACGAGAGCTTTCTTCATCTGAATATCCTTGATGGTATTGGGCCCATCCCTATTGACCTTCTCGGCAATGGCTAGTACGAAGTGGCCGATGTCACCCTTGTACCTTTTATTCTCCATATTTTGATCCTCGAGTGAGAGCGGGGGCTTATTCTTGTTGCCAGGATCTTTCTGCTGTGCTTTTTTGGCTGCAACAACGTTCTCTTGGTTCTTCTGCTCTTCGCCTCGTTGAAACACGCTGAATACGGGCTCTAGGGGCTCTGCTGTATCTTCGCCTAATTCAGGGGACAGGGCTTCTAACTCCTTGCTGAAGATCAAGGGCATGAGGAAAGGATTAGTCCCTTTGATAGCATGCATCCCGACCATTCGCATGCTCCGCGCGAAGGAAAATAGATCTGAATTAGCATATGCAAAATCAATATTCGCATTCATCAGGCCGAGCCAAACGGCGCCAATGGCAAGTATGACGTCGATGTCGCGCATTTCGTCGTCTCTTTGCTGGTGCGGTGGATGGAGATCTGTTATTGAAGATGTGTACTTAATAGGCCTTTCTTCACATAACTCTACGCGGCGACGATATTCATCGAGCCAACTTTTCGACTCTGGAAACACTTGCGAATTGTGCGAAGGGTCTGGCATCTATGAGCTTACAGATCCTATACTAGCCTACGCAGGCTTCTGATGTCGCAGGGCTTACCGGTAGCGCCTTTGAAGGCCTTTCTAAATGATTCTCCGTCGCTGTGCTCAGACTGGCGTTTGCGTTTGTGACTCTGCAGAAATCATTAGCTTTCTTCAAGCGCCCAGGGGACATAGCATGGATCCTCTTACTGGTATATAGTCCAAGGCAGCAGCCGTGCGCCACCAAAAGATAGAAAAGTGTCCATGTTCGAGTACCGCAAAGTCTGGAAGAGGTCCAGCTCTCGTGGTAGGGCCCACATCTATGCCGTTAATGGAGAAAATATCCAAGCCATTGTTCACAACGAAGTATTCAACCTCGCCGGTTTTGGAGTTCCTGACGCGGCGAGCCTCGAGACTCTTGCCAGCTTTGGAACTTTCGCTTGTCGTGGATGAAGGATCGCTCGAGTCGATGGAGTCGACAAAATTATCCCCAACAACGTAAGTCCGACGATTGGCTGCAGCTGAAGGGTCAACAAACAGAGGAAGCTCCAATTCGTCATCACCACTAGGTCCAAAGCAGTAGAATTGCAACTTCGAGTCGTCGTGTTTGCTTTCTTTGCTAGAGTCGGAATTTATGCTAGGGAACTCGCGTTCCTTGAGGACGCAAAATTGGCCGTTGCTACCATCATTCGTGAGAGCACCACCTGCCAATAGGCGCTCTCTTAGGGTTGACGCTTCGGCAACGACTTGGTCGAATACAATACACGTGCTTTCGGGGAGAAGCCCCTTGAAAAAATCATGCTGGTTCTGGTAAGATGGATATGCGAACGGAGAGCCAAATCGCGATGAGCTGAGGGCGAGATTGTCTTTGATCGTTCTGGGCGAGTCCGGGCTGGTCCTTTTGCCCGATCCAAATCTGCCCGTCACAGTGTCTTGTCCCCTGTAACTCTTAGCTTTACTTTTGCCCGACGTATTTGCAGAGTCTGCAGACGGTTCCTTGATTTTGTCTTTCTCAGACCGTCTGATTGACCCGTCCTCGGAATATCCTTCTGGCCCATCCCTAATCACTGGTGTGGCTTCATGGACGGGTACGTCTGCTGAGTCTCGTGTGGGAGGATTCTGCCCTGCTTTACTACGTGTCATTTTTGCCAAATATTGCTTGTTCTCTTCCCCCTTCCAGTGTCGCACGAACAACAGTACTTCTGAAGCTGAACAGAACTTCGTAGAGGAGAGAAGTGGATCGGGTTTGATAGTAGCCGCGTGGTCGGAGAGCCCCCTTTGAAAGAAGATTGTCTTTTGCCCCCCATTTCATCCGCCGCAAACAGCCATGCAATCACGGGCGCTACGCGGCCGCACACAGATATTGTCCTTTGTGCACCCATCGTGGTCGTAAGTTTTCTTTCTCTCGTGGCTAGGGCCATGGTAAGATCTTGGAAGACAATGCCAAATATTTGGCGCGAGCTCCTTGAAGAAAACTCTCTGTGTGTGCCAAGAGATTCCGCATTTAGGCATGTGAGGAATGCAAGCCCCAATGTAGGTCATCGGGAACTTCTAAAAACAGCAGCAATAGGCCAATTTATAGCATTGGAACATCCGTGGTTGTTTACTGAAGTTGCTCCGCTCCGTTCGATGACTCCGCTATCACTGTCCGAAAGCTTGCATGTACTGTCATTCAGATTACCGCGTGATCGGACCATTGCTAAGGATTTTGCAGAAGACAGCCTCAAGTCTTATCATTACGTACCTGCTGAAGGGGTCTGTCGGAGATAAAATTCGTTCAAGGGCAGGCCGCGAATGATTCCAATCATCACAATGTACCGCCGAGCACAGCACGCACGTCGAAGCCGAGGATTGCAACATTGTTTTGTCCCCTACTCATCCAGTATACCGATCCACAGCAACGAAAAGCTTCGAATTATCCACCTTGCACTTTCGCCATTCTCTGATATCGCCACCACAACCTAGATCAGCTCGTACATCATCAGTGCTGATATCCGCTCTCATGCTGGTGATGATGTGCGCTGCGTATTCGCAGGATGAAGTATCGTCACCCAGTACCATCTGATCGTTTTGGCGGATGCACGAGACTTCCGATGATGATTCTGTCGGGATTGGAGTAAGCTGTGTGTAGATCTCTTCGCCCTCGGTCCTAGTGGTCGGCTGCTGACGGTCTGTGGAATCTCGCAACTGAGAAGGAGCCTCGGCTTCTGCATCTTGGATTCCATGAGATGATGCTCCAGCCACGGATTTTCCCCCTTTTGAAGCTCCCGCACGTTCTTGCTGGTTCCCATCCAGATTCGCCCTCATCCTCTCATTCTCCCTCCTCAATTTCTCCCCTTCTTCCTTCAATCTCCTGTTCTCCTCCTTGAGCCTCTTATTATCCTCCGCCACCCCTCTAGCTGCAAGCTGTATATCCACACTAGCTCTGACTCCCGCCTGTTCACACTTTGTAAGCTTATGCTCCAATTCTTGCAGATATTCTTTCCGGCGGGCTCGGGAACGGCGTTGGTTCTCGCGGATGCGGGCAGCGGAGGGGGCGGGGTTGGAGGTGGGGTTGGAGGCAGAGGCAATTGTTAAGGGATGATGTTGATCCATGGAGGATGAGGGGGTGGGAGCCATGGTGTTGGCAGGCGAGTGGGATTCGTGGAAGCTTGAATCGGCTAGAGCATCCGCAGTCCTTTCTTGTATGCTGTATGTTGTATGTTGTATCGGCCAAAACTTCGGCAAATGATTTCACTAATTTTTGAAAGGTGGCAGTCTTGGCGCTTGCCTCTCGTCAGCCATTGTCATGAATCCAGAGCAGATGGTTCTTGATTTGGTAAGGCAATGAAGGTGAAGTAACGATATTGGAGGGTTTCATCCCACTACGAGTGCGGTTGTCAATGGCATCAAGCTCATACAGATACATAATTCTAGGGCCGTGAGCTCTTCTCTGAATCGAATGGCCGGCCTGTTAAGGCTTGTACCCCTCGAAAGACTCCAACAGATACGCAGTGATGCCTTTCTCTATGAAGCAAAAGCGGGTTGAACACCAACTTTGGCCTGGAAAGAACGGACGACTATCTTCAATTCTCTGAATCGAATGGCCGGCCTGTTAAGGCTTGTACCCCTCGAAAGACTCCAACAGATACGCAGTGATGCCTTTCTCTATGAAGCAAAAGCGGGTTGAACACCAACTTTGGCCTGGAAAGAACGGACGACTACCTTCATTCCCGCCTGCGGTTTCGACCAATTGACTCCCATCAAGCTCTCATCCTCAGTCACAATAAGCAGCGCATCAGCAGCCGCATTGCGGACCTTGGGATATGGGTGCAAAAGCATACTGCATAGCTTTTCTTGAACCTCTGTCCTCACCCTGGGCACTGCCATCATGCCCGCATATATCTTAACAGCTGCTTCGATCTTCTGGACATTGCCGGATTTGAAATGCGCCTTTCGCACCTCGGTAAAGAGTCTTCTCCATGCGAAATCTCGATCTCGTAGCCGCTGCAGCACGCCTGCTTCAAAGAGGAAGGCAACGAACTCCAAAGTAGACATAGCAAGTCTGTCGTTGAAGATGTTTTCTCGGATGATGTCAGTCAGATATGTGCAGAGCACAGTTAATGTTGCCAGATCCGAAGACTCGGTATAGAATACAAAAGCTGCTCTTGACGCTCCCAGAAGTGACTCAGAGCCTGCTCCTCCTGATGTGACATAGCCTTCTAGAAGTGGCTTCCTGATCCAACCTTGTGTCAAGTGGTGAGAGCATAAGAACAAAAGTTGCAGAAAGTACTCGCTTGTCGATGTTTGCGAGATGTCAGATATTAAGCTTTTACAACAATTAGTACGACGTTACGTAGCAAGACAATACTTTACGTACGTCTGTGGTTTAGAGTCCAAGCTAAAGACTTCCCAGTTGGCTTGCAAGCAATCCCAAGCTCGGAATCGAACCTTGTCCAGCTTCTCCACGGCAAGGCCACAGATCCTCGCTGCTATGTCTTGTCTCTCGCTCATACTTAGGAGTTCCTTCTTCAAGACAACAGCAGTGGCATCAATGGCTTCCAAGCGGATCAAAGAGCCAACGTCACCTCGTTGATCGGTGGTGTAGTCATTCAAGCAGGCATGCAGCGCCTGAGATGATTTCTCAGAGATTACTACGAAAGTCAGCCTGCTTGCCACTGAACCAATGCAAGGATCTCCTACCATTCGATTCGAGCACGCCTGAAGTCAGACTTCTCAGCGCAGTGCATCTAAGGCTTATGCCATGTTCGTTGTTGACCAGGCTTGTCAATGTATCGATGATGAGATTTCGCGATTGCGAAGCTTGAACATGTTGGAAAACCGCGCCGAATGCGGCTGCGACTCCCACCACACTATCTTCTGAAGAACCGGAAGTCGGATCACGGAGAATTTGAGCCCATTGGGTTACAAGTTTCCCCTGAGTGTCAAGGTCTAGGATCCGGAACAAGGCCTTCGCGGCGCTTGTGCTCGCAGCGAGGACAATTCCATCTGATTGATGTAGGCTCATCTCAAGTGCTTCAAGGCATTCATGCAACTCTGTAGGAGACGGATGGTGCAATTTCCCGTGGATCAAGGAGGTGGCGAGGGCTGCAACCAACGAACATATGGCTTCACATGCGAGAGCGGAACGAAGAAGCTTCGTATCCATGGCTACCTCCCCCTCGTATGACCGTGTCTTGGGGCCACTACCACGGTAGAAAATATGCCATAGTTTGGCTATTTCGCCCTCTATTTTGGCCTGAAGACGTGGTCTGTTGCTAAGATCCACATCAGACCAACGGCTTACAACCTCTGACAAAGCAAGTAGTAGGCCATGTCTCTCCTCGATCTTTGGGACCTCGCAGGCGTGCAACCGACGCCGCAAAGTGCTGATGGTTAACGCAATCATTTCAGGACCTCGACTATGGGCTAGTAGCCCGATTGCATGGGCGGCATTGCGCCGACATTCCACGTCACCTGAGCATACACCCCTCCAATCTAGGAGTCCACGGAGGGTAGAATGCCAATAAGTAGGCTCGATCTGCGAGACGCTGATGGCGATCTTGGTCATTGCCCTCGATCTTAAGGCAATCCCATGGTAATCTATCACCTGGACTAGATCTATGCCGTTTTCAATTTCTTCGGGATGTCTGCCAATCATTTCCTGCAAAGCGGCGGAAGCGCCACGACGGATATTTCCAGCTGCATCCAATGTAGCTGCGATGACTAATTCATTTGCGAGGACCTGAAGCGTCGATTCGGGATTCTCGGTGGACTTCGAGCCTGTGGCGCCTGCAGTCGTGATACCCGAAGCAGAGAGAGTGGGTTTTTCTGAAACCTGGCCCTTTGATTCCATGACGCCGTCACAATTTTCCTTTCTAACCGGCTTGTAACTTTTGATTTGCGCTGTAGAATATCGTCTGGCAAGCGCCCATAGGCCAAAGCATGCTGCATCTCTGACGCTGGTCCCAACAGAGTTTCCCAATGACGATCTTTGTTCGAAGCGAAGAGCGACAATGAGTGAAAACATGACCTTACCAATGACAGACTTCGGTGGCATCGAGCCACGGAATATCAGCTGGGATAGTGCAAGGATTAAACCGTGCCAGCTTAAAGCGCTCACGGTTCCCAGATTCAACTCAAAACTTCCAGATGCATCGGCCCCAGTGTGCGCGTCTTCCCACAACGTATCCTCATACAACCTCTCGTCAATCATTTCGATGATCTGTTCTACCATGTCGGGCTCTAGCTCGACGGCAATGACACTTAGAGCTTTGCTTGCTGCGAGCCTCACAGATGTGTCTTTGTCCTCCAGCGCCGTCAGTAAATGATCAATAATGTCTTCAAGCGCACCTTCACCAAGACTTGGACTGAGACCATGGGGGGCCTTGGAGTCTATTTTCATCCCGGCTACAGCCAGTGCCCGTTCAACCTTGATGACTAGTTTGCGTGCAGAAGCTGAGGAATTTGTCCCAGCGGAGGAAGGAGATTGGTCGGATTTGGCGTGCTGGACAGAATTGTATGTCCGCGAGAGGAGCGGCTTGAGGACTCCACTCTCGGCAGAGATGATGAATCCAGCGAGGAAAGATAGAATGCCAATAAAGCCATAGATTGACGTAGGGGCAGCGGCATCGGATTCCGCGCGGACGGATGAGAGAGCCCAGTCAATAAGTATCTTCTGAAGGCCAATCTTTCGCATGTCTGTCCGCACAGCAAGGCGTACCAGCAATGTTCCAGCTGCCTCTCTCGCTTTGCTGGGTAGGCTGAGGTGGTGAGTAGAAACGTGGACGAGACGCTTTGCTATGGGTGGAATGGTTGCAGATAAGTCAATATACAACAGAGAGCCACGAAGCTGTATACCAGCATTATCAGAGGACATGGAGCTGAGATCAAAAGGTGCCAATAAGAGATGAGATAGCCATAGCAACATGATGAAGCTTTCCTCCCAAACCATAAAACCATATTTTGAGGTAGCGTTCTCTTTACTAGAGTACGTATTCCCAGCCCATGACTCAAGTGCGTCAAGCATCGCTTCGAGATATCTTGGCTCGTTGTTCAGGAATTGAGAAATCACCTTTGTTCCTCGAATTTTGCAGAATACGTAAAGAATTTTGGAGATTGCCCTCGGCAGTGGGATTACGCCAGGGCAGGGCTTTCCTTCTTGGTGGTAAATGGCAGCATACTTGGATGCATAATCAATGAAAGCAGAAACCAGAGGTTGGAGAAGACCACTTAGGTGGGGATCTAGCAACTGCGGCCATTCCTGAAACGGCTCTAACTGAAGGGAGGAAGGATAAAGATTAGCAATACATACTCACATGTGGTCATGAGATGAGCGTACCAGCTTGATGAGCTGGTCGGTCTTGGTCCCTCGGACCAGGCCTCGAACACCGCCACTGGCTGCAGGCGGATGTCCAGATTCGGCGGGTATGCCATTGTACAGGAAATGAGGAAGAGAACGGTGTAGCTCAGCAATGAGATCTGCGGAGGCTCGTTGTAGCTTGAGGTCCTCATCGCCGGTAGTATCCATGAAGATGGGAGAAAGGTCAGAGGTGTGGCCACGGAAGCATAGACATCAACGCGAAAGTAGCTTTCTGACTGAAAAGGGGCTTTGGACAAGTTTCCCGTCAAGCGTGTAGGCGCGTGTTTTGAAGCGCGTTGGGCCCAATCAAACGGCGTGTTCCATCCTGTAGAGTACCTGCAAGCTGCAGCCTGTAGGGTGGGACCCTTTCGCTATGGTACCCGTACAAGCAATATTCACGTCGAAGCCAAGACCTTTGCCGCGGTACTCGTAAGTATTGCTAATTGCTATGCCTGGCAATGTGTCAATGACAGAGGAGGATGATAGTGTAGCAGAGTACCTATAGGCCATCAACCTGAAAGTGTGGACCTGTGGTGGAATGGTGGTGTTCGGGGAAAATCTTGGGCCCAGAGGTGCGGCTCAAATGCAACCACCGAGAATTCCCGCCAATAGCACCTCTAGCGCGTCCACCTGGTGCATGATCCTGGTCCTTCATCCGATGGACCGATAGTGACAGGACAGAAAAAGGTCGAATGGAATGCCATTGCTTATCAGGCCATCGCGGATCTTCGAATGATCCATCCTGGATTCCCGTGTGCAGCTTCTACTGCGTCGTACTGCATTCAATATCAGCAGCATGAGGAGAGGATGCATCCTTTCCAACCATCCACTTGCCAGTACCAACCCATCGGGCATTTCCATTACTTAATCAATACTTGAAAAAGGGCCTCCAAGGCACCCTCGCACGTTCCTTCGCGGCTGATCCATCCAGGGATCCGACTGCATCTCCGAGGAGAAGACATGGCGGGGGAAACCAAGATTGAGGACCAATCTGACCACCAAACACCTACGAATGACTTTCCCACCGCTGCCGAATCCAGCCCAAAACCAGGCAAGTCCAAGTCGCACAGCAAAGATAAAGGCTCTCCAGCCTCTGCATCTGCAAAGAGACGATGCGTCAGCACCGCCTGCATAGCTTGTCGTAGGAGGAAATCCAAGGTAGCTTCCTGCTCTACAATCCGTACGCTGTGGGGTCAGTGGATGGCTGACCAAGGATTGGAACGATCAGTGTGATGGTAACACACCAAGCTGTGCTGCTTGCTCCTCCGTTTACGGAACCGAATGTGTCTACGACCCCAACTCAGACCATCGCCGCAAGGGCGTCTACAAGAAAGATATCGATAACCTCAAGACGCGCAATTCCACTTTACAAACACTCATCCAGGCCATCCTCAACTACCCGGAGAACGAGGTACCGGGCTTGGTCAAACAGATAAGGACATGTGAGAGCTTGGACGATGTGGCCGAATCAATACTAGCTAGAGACAACGGCGTCGGAGAGGATGATAGAGTTGACGAAGCGCTCGCGAACGACAATGGCACGCCCTCGGTTGTCCCCAAATTTGAAAAGGAGCTGTCGGGAAAGATGGGCAAGCTGCGGCTGGACAATGGCTCCGTGAGCATCATTGGAGGAACTTCAAACCTGATCTTCGTAGGGTCTGGGACGGATGGGGAAGATGGAAGCAACTCAACCGATGATTCCGAGCAATATGAAGAGCAGGAATATGCCATTACCTCGTGGACAGAGGTCACCTCCGATCCGGACTTAGTTGTCCATCTGCTCAACATGTATTTTGCATGGCACTACACCTACTTCACCACACTTTCGAAAAGCCTCTTCTACCGTGACTTTCAGCGGGGCAGAACTCCCCGCGACATCAAACGAAAGACTGAATACTGCACGCCGCTGTTGGTCAATGCGATGCTCGCATTGGGTTGTCACTTTACATCTTGGCCTCAAGCTAGAGCCGATCCCAAAGATTCCGCGACCGCTGGCGATCACTTCTTCAGGGAAGCCAAGAGACTCATATTGGAGAATGATGAGCATGAAAATCCGAGGCTTGCAACAGTCCAAGCACTCGCTCTCATGTCTGTACGTGAAGCTGGATGTGGGCGCGAGGCTCGGGGATGGGTGTACAGTGGGATGAGCTTTCGAATGGCTTACGACCTAGGACTGAATATTGACTCCGGCTCTAACAACCTTGATGAGTCGGAGATTGATGCTCGCAGGATAACAATATGGGGCTGTTTCTTATTTGACAAGTGAGATTACCTTCCTCGCTGTATTCCGTTGATTCTGACATGCCAGATGTTGGTCGAACTACCTCGGCCGGCAACCTCAGCTGCCACTATCTAGCATCGCGGCCCCGAAATTCGATGTCTTCCCAATGGAGGATGCTGACGAGTGGTCACCTTACCTGGACACTGGGATCGGCAAAACGCATGCCCAACCGTCCCGAACACGCGCTGTCGCTCTTCAGACATCTCAACTATGTGAGATCAGTAGCGATCTACTGCTATACTTCTACCATCCTCATCAGCTGGAGAAGCCACTGGGCAAGCAGGCAGAGCTCAAGAAATTGAGTGAGCTGCACACAAGACTTGAAGCATGGCGGAAAACCCTACCGAAGGAGATGGAGCCAAAAGAGGGCCAGCTGCCGCATGTCCTTGTCATGCAGTAAGCCCGAATGCCGCCTTGCAAAGGAAACAAACTGACATGGCCATAGCATGTTTTTCCAACTTCTATTCATTCACCTGTTCCGCCCGTTTCTCAAATACAAACAAGCGACCTCTCCGCTACCTTCCCACGTTTCCCCACGGAAGTTCTTGACCCATGCCGCCTCCATGATCTCGAAACTCCTCCGCCTTTACAAACGAACCCACGGCCTCCGTCAAATCTGCAACATTGCCGTCTACATATCTCACTCAGCATGTACGGTACACCTTCTCAACCTCCCAGACAAAAATGCCGCACGGGACCTTGTTCACGGTCTAAAGCATCTAGAAGAAATTGGAGAAAGCTGGCTGTGCGCCCGCAGGACATTGGGGATATTACGTACGGTGGCGGGGCGTTGGAATATCGAGCTGCCTGAGGAAGCGGAGAAGACTCTCCAGCGTGCGCAGGAGAGGTTTGGGTTTTTGAACTCACCCGACCGTGATGTTACGCCTAAGGCGGATAATCAAATGCCACCGCCAACGCCGATGCAGCCATTGCCTCCACCTATAGCGAAACCTAAGACCGAACCGAGTGTGAACCACCGTCTCAACCCCGCGAACGGTGTCTCTAATGGCTTCTTCCCGATTACTGCTCCCCTGGCAAGTCCAATGCCTACGCCAGACATGCCGCGTCTTGACGGCATCCTTACCATGCCACCTCAATCAACCAACGATTTCAACAAGTCAAGGCAGCACAGCTACATCATGCCTCAAACGCAACAAGAGATATGGAATCACAGTCAAGCTTCGCAAGCGCCGTCGGTTCAGCAGACATCTCCTACAAGGCTGTTCGGTGGTGTAGATTCACTGATGCAGGATCAGGAATGGTGGCTGAGGGATTCGAATCAAATGTTTGCCAGTTGGAATGAGGTAGAGCAGGAAGCAGCCATGCAAGGCAACACTGGCTTCAACAATGGCACTGGAAATATGGGATATGGGAACAGTATCTACGGCATGGATGGGAGCGGAATGAACGGGTACGGTGGGCAAGTGAACAACTAGCTCTAGAATTTGCTCTATGATGTCAATCATGACTAACGCTGGAATGCGATCACGGTTGGCTATATATAAGCCCGCGATGCTAAAGCTTCATGATTGTTATCTCGGAAAAGAAGCTTCGCACGTTCTCGATTAGACGTCTATACATCAGGAGGAATAAGTCTTGTACTATATATCGCTTCCCTTGCTCTCTTCAGACCCTATGCTAGGCTTCGAACGACATCGAGCAGGTATGAATACACTTCGGATTCTCATGATTTCGCACTGATCTAGGCTTATCATTCTAGATTCATTGTTGGAAAAGGAGACTAAAGCCGCGGCGCTTCATGATGCGGTGTTGGCTAGGCAGATTCAAAATCTTGTTCCTATATAAGACTTACTAATAATCATCATTGAAAGTGGTTGGCGCCAACGATGATAGATATATGAGATACTTCTGTGCACACTTGTTCCTGCACAACGCTGAATCATCAGTAATGTTCCGCCTTTATCACTGCAATGATGGCCCTCCACTTCCCTTCTACTTCTTCTATGCTTTTTGCAATCTTTCAAGATATCTAAAGACTGTTACGTCATCGTCAATCATCGAATTGACATACAGTAACGGAATTCTCTAGTTCTGGTGTGAACACCAAACAGGAGATAATGACCAGCCGGATACCTCATCTCTGTTCAAGGTTCAAGGCAACAGAGGTCCAGCACTTCTGGCTGTCTCAGCAATCGCAACTGGCATCGCCCTCATTTTCACCTTCGTTCCAATCTTTGTCCGGGTAAGAACCGTCAAAAACCTAGGCTGGGATGATATGTGCATAGCCGCTGCCAATGTAAGGGCTGCATACGATCCGGACTCTTTACTCACACAGAGGAAATAACGTTTCCAGATATTGGCTATACTCTTGTTCACGTGTTACGTCTTCGAGGTACATGAAGGCGTTGGAATGCACGAGGAGTTTGTATCGCCTGAGCAGGTGGAGCATATTTCGAAATGGAACCATCTTGACGTGCTTCCAATCGTTCTGTCGGCTGTGTTTACGAGAATCTCTATCTGCTTCTTTCTGAGACGTTTTTTTGCGATTGACAAGACTTGGGGACTGTTTTTCTATTTCATGATAACATTTATTTGGATATCAAACCTACCCTTAGTCGTTGGTATTCTGTTCCTTTGTCGGCCTCTTGACAAGGTCTGGAACCCTTCAATCTCCGGCGAATGCTGGCCGCCTCAGACATTCGTTCATATTGGCTACTGGCAAGGTGGTAAGTGGTACAACTTCAAGCTTGCTCGTCTACCACCATAGCCGGGCTGATTTTGGTTCAGCTACTTCGGTGTTTTGCGATTTGACGCTCGCTCTTCTGCCTATTGTCTTCTTATGGAATGCGCAGGTCAGACTCCGGATCAAAGTTGGAATCTGTATAATCAAGGGAATGGGCATATTGTAAGGCTCTCTTTTGGCAGCAACCCTTCAGCTTTCGCTGATCATTCACCGCAGCACTGCCGTCTGCGCCCTCCTACGGACCGTCTTGCTTGAATTTCTAGCAGACCAAGATTTTACCTGTATGTTCTTTTATCTGGACCCCACGATGAAGCTTGGAAGGATCAATGATTGAGTCTTTTGAGATGGCAGTGTGATTTTGACTATCTGTTCTTTGTAAGGGCTGTGTTCCACCGATAGTATTCACTAATTCTAACTATTTTGTCTGCTAGGATGGAGGAAACGTTAGGAATTATTGCCCCTCGCATCCCCATGCTGAAACCTCTTTTCTGCTTCAGTACACAGAGGTGGAACGGCAAACCACAGAGAAGTTGGTACACCCTGCGACAGAATGCGAAGCACCACTTGAACCCTTCACATCGGACGCCTGATTCTTATCCCATCGAGAGCGCCTTTCGGTTATTCGTGGAAAATGTATTCAAGGCTTCAGGCGATATTAAATCTTCAACCGCCGCAAGTGAACTTAGCAATGCTCCTATAGAAGATGGAGATGATGTCAATGGGACCAGCTGAGGTTCTCCCAGCAACGAATGAGGAGGATCAGTCTCGGCTATCTTGTGCTCGGAGCATGTATAGTCCAGACGAGCAAGTTGTCGCTGACCAGGTCTAAGGTAGAAGCTAAAGGCTGCAAACAAAACATTAATAAGACTAGCTTGGTTGGCCTTTCCGCTACATAGCGCTCGACGGAATTTGAATAGAGCTGTAATGTACGATTTATCAAGAGTACCAGGAATAGATGAACGCGTCCAGCGGGTCAATCTCAGGCAGAGAGCCATCATCGCTTGATCACAAACATCAATTGCAGATATCTCAAAGCTCCGAGTTTCGAAAGAGGACCCACACAAGCGTCACACGTCCCGCCAAAGCATTTTGCCGAACAGAGTTTGACATCTGCCACCAGAGCTGCCGATGGAGGTATCGGACTATTTCTCTTACCCAATACTTCTGGGAAGGCTGTGCGTCTTGCTGGTTGAAGACGATGGTATAAGAGAAGAAATTTAGTCCTCAAATGAGGCAACAGCCCAGCAAGGTAAAAATTCATTGCGCCGTGGACTTGTTTTCAAAGCCCTCAAATGTCACAGCTTGCACTTTTCGTTACCCAACATGTCCAAGAATTCAACGTATTTGCTTGAAGAGATATCAGTAGCTATTTCCAAGACTATGTAGCCTGGAGAAAAAGAATCACAACGACTCGATCCCTAGCTCCATCGATCACCCCCCTCCCAATGACCGACCGTTTCAACTCACCCTGCCTACCAAAAAGCACATCGCTCCAGAAAATTCGCCTCCGACCACCCCTCTCAGAGAAGGCGCGGAAGCGTGCTCCGAATCGCAGAGAGCGGGATCGTGCACCACGTGTTCGTGCGGTAGGACCAGTAGTCCACGGAGCTGCCGCCGTCGGGAGCCACTGACGTGATAAGGGGCGTCCATCCTTGCTCCTCCGTGTCGATGACCATGGCCGCCCCGCTCGCAGGAGGCGCCGGAGGTACCTCGCTGGGATGGCGCACGGTGATTGCGAACGTGCTGTCCTCGCTTGAATCCGGTAGCGCACTTGCCGGAGAGTGCGTGGCCGGAGTGCTGAGTGCTGGTGTGGTCGGGTTCGTTGCTTCAGCAAAGACGTCGGGAGGGGGGATTGACGCGCCGACGGCATTCGTGGGTGTTCGTTTCGGTAGGCGAGGGACTGGCTCCAGGTATTCGTATTGATTTCGGGGTTCGGCTGTCTGCGTGCGGTCCTCCTCGTCCGGTTTTCCCTCTTCTGACTCTCTCCTCGCCCCCTTTTCCCCCTTAGCTGCTTGCTTTGAGGTCCCTCCGAGCGTTCGCGACCTTGTCGGCCTCTCCATCGACTGAGTCGCACGAGCCTTCGTCCGCCTCCCGTCGGCAACATTAACCGCTCCCTGAGCTGCAAACACGCTTTCCTTGTGTTCCTCTTCGCCTTCGGAAGTCATCTCGACCCACCCTATCCACTTGGATTTTTTCTTCTTTGGCGGCGCCTTTCTGACAGCGACACCTTTCTTCGCGCCCACATGCGTCTTATCCGCCACTCCGCGTCCACTCTTGTTTTCACGATTCAAAGTGCCGTTGAAAGCTGTCGCCGCCGTCTTTCCAAGCTTTGGGAACATTGGCGTCTTTGCTCCCCGTCGTTGTTTCCCCAGTTCCGCGCCTTTGGTCGACCTGAGGCCGCACATTGAACAAAGCCAATCACCAGAAGGTTCTTCCGTCACCCCAGCACATTCCCAGTGGTACCATCTCACCGGGCAGTCGTCATTGTCACAACAGATCCAGTTTACAGATGCGTCAGGCGTACCGCAGGTGCATCCGTACACTGCTTCATCGAGAGACGACCTTTCTGAGTCAGACTTCGCTGCCTCTGACGTTGATGGCTGAGGAACCTGTTGTGGGGAAAAGACTTTCAGTCGGTCTGACATGTTCGAAAGCCTGACGTTGATTGATTCGAGGTATGGTCGTCAGGTGGATAATTTCGAAGGCTGAGAAGTTGGAAGATTGCAGTGATGGTGAGGAGGGTAGAAGAAAGTCAGAGTCGATATTTCTGGTACTTATGCACGAACGTGGTGTCACCGAAATTCAGTGTCGAGCAAGATGTGTTCACCAATAACTTGCGAAACTTCAACTTTTCGATAACACGACTTTGAGACATCATCTTTGTAACATTTTTTGCGCAGGAACAAAGCACATATGTGGGCCAGCGGATTTTTGGGGTTTGTGTTGTTAAGGATCGTGGCCTTCTCCAGCCGGTCAGTACTACCTAAATCAGACATATCTTGCAGTAAATCCTGGCGAATGGTAAAGTATTGAGGGGCATTATTGAGGCGAGCTTGTGATTGTCGCTTGCTGACAACCAAGATTCGCAGAGTCGGTCGGCTGGTGGGAAGGGGAAAATTCGTGTGTGGACCTATTATGCAAAAGGCCGCGCACGGCTCCTTACCAGAGTCATCCCAGATACAGGCTACAGAGATACTGTCCTGGCCTTGACTGTCTGCACACTTAAAAGAGCTTGCTGAAAGACGGGTACTGGAAACGCAATATAATTACTGATAGGTCGAATACCATTAGCTATCCTGTCTAGTCAAACTTCTTGGAGAGTCAATGGGAGAAGCAGCGAGCGGATAATTGGATCGATAGATTTGTTTTGAGAGCCATTGCCATATACAAAACACCCGAGGTGACATGGCATGTGAGCGAGAAATTGGCTGGTGCAAATGACAACATGGCAAAGCAATTCCTTGGGTGTTGGAGCAATTATAAGCGCGACTCTCTCCGAATCTGTGGAACAGAAAACACCAGACGGAGTTCTTCTAAACGAACGCTAGGGGAAGATCAATAGAGGATATTTACTCGTGACTCACTTGTTGTCATAAATATAGAACAGTCGCAAATGCGGAGTTCAGTATGTAGCTAATATCAGGTTGCAAAACGACAGATCATCCTCAACACACAGTTCTGTGATCTGGTGTACCCTTCAAATCTACCATTCAAGCGAGATTTGGTAGAAGAGGCCTGGAGGAACCAGAACTGGACCTCTCTGCCTTCGTAGCCGTCAATAAGATGGTCCAATCGATACCATCATTGGCTACACCAAGCACTACATACCACTCGAATGCAATCCTGATCTCTTTACTCAGCTCATCCCTATCCTCAACTTTCAAGACGTCTTCTCACTCGACCCTGACATGTAAGCGTTTCTTCCACACCCTGTACTGGCTTTGATTCTTGGCTTTCCCACCTGGGACGGCTAAAAAAAAAAAAAAAAAAAAAAAAAAAAAAAAAAGGGGGGGGGAGATAAAAAATAAATTATATTTAAAAAAAAAAAAAAAAAATTTTTTGTTTTTTTTAAAAAACATAAAATAAAAGGGGGGAAAGGGGAATTTATGGGTGTTAGCATAAAAAACACGCCGATTTAATAAACGCGACTAAGTTAAACGCCTACAACTTCTAACTCACGATGTCACGGATTCTATCTTCCCGCGTACCTCTCGCACCGGCCGACCAAGCAAGGGTAATCAAGAATTCGGAAAAGACTGAATTAGCCTATCGCACTGCGGCATTACAAGGAGAATCTGACGTGCCGGAAAACGCCAAAGATGAAGTGGACTTCCGCTATGTGTGCTTTGTCAAGTCGTCAAAGACTGGGCATCTCTATGAGCTTGACGGAGACCAAACGGGTCCCGTAGACCACGGTATCCTAAAATTGGGGGTAGTGTTATTTTTTAAGGGGGGGGCCCTTTTTTTTTTTTTCCGGTCGGGAAAATTTTTTTTTTGGGGGTTTTTTTTTTTCCAATATTCTACCCCTTTTTTTTGGCCCCCAAAAATTTTTTTGTATCAAGCGCGCAAGATGCAATGATAGTGACGTTCCTCGGGTTCCAGGTGACTCCCCAAAACCTGGATGCACTCATAACCTCGTCCATCATGGAGAACATCATCTCTTCTATCATCACCGGGAAGCTCAGTGACAAGCAGCCCTATCTATGGTCGTTCGATCAAGACAGCTTGAGCATCACGAGTGTAGATGCAAACATTACCAACTCAGAGAATGGGTGCTACGCTAAAGCCTTAGCGACCAATCAGATCTTTATATATTTTCTTCCTGACGCTACAATTTACCTTCTTCCTTTATATCAGTATATATAACAGAATAAGGTAGGGCTGAACTAGAAAACCTTGAATTTGTATGTGCAGCCAATTATCAATTCGTCAGGTCTACGCTTTTTGGTTAGACACCGCGGGTAAATAAATTAGCGTCCGTAACCATTAGAAATCTACAAAAATCTATGTGCAGAAGTCTTCCCCTCTGAAATAACCAGCTCCCTACGGATGCTGTTACTTCATAATTTCGTAAATTATAAAGCTCAGTGTGCGCTTTCTAACGCTGTAAAAATAATGAAGTTTGGCCTACTATTGGTGGATTAAATGAACATTCAAATATGGTAGTCATGGTAGCCACACCAGACGCGTCCGGGATCGGATAATAATCCTTCCACCTGTTTGTGTAACCATTCTTCTTCCTTCCACCATTCTACCAATTCTACCAATTCCATCAATATGAACACAATCGTCTTCGGTACCCCTCGCCAAAGGTTACTCAACGTTTCAGGCACGTACACCCCTTCTGCCCGCCTCTTAGAGCCCCTACTGACGCCCCCAGGCCACCCCTCGGCGAATCCGCTACTGCTGGCAATCGAGGCCGCAAGCGAGCCCAACAGCTACCTACTACTGCTCATAAACGCGTTGGAAGGCCCTCAAAAAGAGCCCGAACGGATACGTCCTCCCCTACAGATTCCTCCCAAGCCAGCGGTGGTGCACCCAGCGATGCTACCTCCCAAGAGATACCCCCAAGACGCGTCTTCCTCCCCTACCCGTTCTTTATCACCCTATTTTAAAGCCTCTCAACGCGTGTTAGATCCTGAACATCGTCAAGAAGAAGCTCCTGAAAATATGATAATCACACCAGACGCGTCCGGGATCGGATAATAATCCTTCCACCTATTTATATAACCATTCTTCTTCCATCATTCTACCAATTCTACCAATTCCACCAATATGAACACATTTACCCTCGGTACCCTCGCACTCAGTTGAATAAGAGGAGGATCTACAACAGGCGAATGCGGAGAACACTGCGGAGAACATTGCGGAGACAGTCATCAGCAGCAGTGACACAACAGGCCTACTCTCCACGGTCTCACATCAATCCACTCAGCCAGTGCAAGAGAAGTCAATACAGCAGGCGAATGCGGAGAACACTGCGGAGAAACCAAGCGGCAACAAGGCCCCCAGCACCAAGAACACGGCTCAGCTCTCCAAGATCCCACGTCATATGCTCTCCACGGTTCCACATCAAATCATCACTCAGCAAGCGGAGAACACCACTGCAACTTAGCCTGTCATCCCCACTACATTAAGGAGTAAGAGGAGGAACTACAACAGGCAAATGCGGAGAACACTGCGGAGAACACTGCGGAGAACACTGCGGAGAACACTATGGAGAATACTGCGGAGAAACCAAGCGACAACAAGGCCACCTTCGTCAAGAACACGGCTCAGCTCTCCAAGATCCCACGTCATATCAGTTATCCACTCAGTCAGCCACTCAGCTAGCCACTCAGTCTGATACTCTACAAGAGGAGGAGCAAGAGGAGGAACTACAACAGGCAAATGCGGAGAACACTGCGGAGAAACCAAGCGGCAACAAGGCCACCATCGTCAAGAACACGGCTCAGCTCTCCAAGATCCCACGTCATATGCTCTCCACGGTTCCACATCAAATCATCACTCAGCAAGCGGAGAACACCACTCAACTGGCCGTTCCACATCAAATCATCACTCAGCAAGCGGAGAACACCACTGCAACTTGGCCTGTCATCCCCACTACATTGAGGAGCAAGAGGAGGAACTACAACAGGCAAATGCGGAGAACACTGCGGAGAAACTAGAAACCAAGCGGCAACAAGGCCACCATCGTCAAGAACACGGCTCAGCTCTCCAAGATCCCACGTCATATGCTCTCCACGGTTCCACATCAAATCATCACTCAGCAAGCGGAGAACACCACTACAACTTGGCCTGTCATCCCCACTGCATTAATATGGTACATCACTGCAATAACGTCACAAGAGGAGGATCTACTATCACAGTCAATTGGGCCTCTACAGGAGGAACATCGGACGATACATATTTGGACGAATTGAAACCGTCCGATGTCTACAGCTATTTCATTATTCGAAAGATTTCACTGCGGTAGGAGAGATTGTGGGATTCACACTACTAATTGGCACGTTGTCTCCATTTCTTTTCGATATTTCGATACTTCTTGCCATAAGGACATGGCCTTTCTCTGTTTTTTATAGGCAATTAAAATTTTAAAATTTTTTTTTTTTTAAAAAAATATTTTTTTTTTTTTTTAATTAAAATACTACCTATATTTAAATACGAAGCTGTGAAAAGAATATCAAATCCTCGAGATCTACTTTTTTTAAGTTATTTTCTTTCTTCTATAATATAATAATAAAGAAATTCGATAAAGTTATAGAGTTAGTTATACGCTTTCACATAATATAGCGTAGATGAAATTTGATAAAGTATTCGAAAAGATATATATCAAAGACTTAGATATATGTGCACTGTCGAGTTTACGAGAAGAGCCCCTCCGGCAGGAAGCTCCCGAAGGGCCCTCGGAGAGCCCCCGGAGGAAGGGGGGTTAGGGATCTCCCTCTACGGATCACTCCAACACAGTAACTACTACGTAACTCAACTCACTCTAATTATTCGAGAGCTCTTGGGGATTCCCCGAAGGATCAGAGTGATCTTGGGGGTGAATCAAATACCTGCAGTGTTGTGAGTGGTCTTCCCACGGCGTCGACAAGCTTTCCACTACTAGGTACGAGTAGCCCCGCGCTCCAGCACATAAGGTATTTCACATTACGGCAGTAGACGGACTACTCGCCCTCTTCCGTGGGAATACAATTTTAAATGTTGGGTACTTGGCCGTCGACTTTTGCAACACTCAGACAACCAAGGCTGGTACAAGATGGGACTGGTCTCCGAGAAAAGGTCGACTAGATTGAGTGTAGTATCGCGCCATGAGTAGGAGCTGCAACGCCGGGAAGTGGCTTCGCTGCTCGTGGCCCAAAGGAAAAATCTTCCAAACGAAATCAGCAAACACACGCGTTCGGTATGGTGTTCCGTGATTGGTCCAATGAGCAGACTTGGCTGGCTTAGCGCGCGGCGCGAGACAACTCCCGAGCGTTTCGGCTACCAGACCTGACACACTCCATCGTCTCACAGAGACCTTTGGCTTTTCACTCTTCATCGATTTTGATTTTTTTTACAACACGAGGACGTTGTAACCCTCACCTCAGGGGCCCGTAAGCTAGTCATGGCTGCAGCTGCACCACTTCAGTCCGCATCTGCAGCGATGCAGCTGTCAACAGAATCTACAGACTCATCGTGAGTGTCGCAAGGATAATGCCATGAACAGTTGTATCACGGATTTCCAGCGCAGCAAACATTTCAGAGCATCTCCAAGGTTCGTTTTGTTGCTTTCAGCTGCCTTGACGTTCGAAAAAATGATCTAGCGCCCCATCCAACATATTTCTGAAACTCAGCCTATATGGCATCGCTGCGAGGTGCCACAATCCCTTTGTGTCCAACAAAGGATTTGAGAAGGGCGATGGCCCTAGAATCATGTTCGCGCGTGCCGTGCTCCTCTCCCCCAGTCGCTCATAAGTACCACTGTCTCTACCCCAAGTCTTTCCGTTCGCATTACTCGCTGCATACTAGTACTGTCTTTCTTTTTGAAAATCCGCTCTTTCTTGGATCTTTGCTTGCCAAAGAACGTCCGTCATTATGTTCCCCCAAGCGTCTGGAACGCTGCGATCACTCCTCTCCCTCTGCTTCGCCCTTTCCTCCGTCGTTGCTCCAGCCCTCGCCGTCCCAACCCCGGCCGAGCACTCCAGTCCATGGCTGCCCCGCTCCCTCAAATCCCTCTTCGAACCCCGAGACACGAACCCATGCGGAGGCACCGGCTTCGTCCTCAAGAACAAAGCCTCCTACCCCCAAACCTTCACCGTCTTCAATGGGAAATGGTCCATCGTCTCTGATCCCATCAAAACCATCACCCTCGGCGCCCAAGGCTCCCAGGTCGTCACACTCACGCCCGGTTTCGTCGGGCACGTCCAACGCGGCGCCGTCCTCCCCGCCACCTGGGTCGAGCTCAACATGGTCCCGGGCGGATCCGACGGGGACGTCAGTCTCGAAATCGGATGCGACGGCGCCGCCACGGTCCAAGCCACCGGCGCCGGCGACGACCAGACCGTCTGGGGCTTCACGACCAACGTCAACCAACGCTGCACCGGCCCCAAGTGCGCCCCCGCCGACGCGTACTACGTCCCGGGGACCTACGAGGACATCGGCGGCGCGTTGACCAGCGCGACGGACGTGCTGGACATTTCGTCAAAGGCCCCCGTGCAGGCGTTTGAGCAGCAGCAGCTCGCGCAGGCGTACGAGTATCTCCTCGGCGGGACCGGCACGAATCAGGCCATCTCGTCCAACAATTGTCTCATCATCACCTTTTACTGAGGAGCGGTGGGCGAAGCATGCATGCGTGCGGCCTGCGCTGGGGAATCTGCGGCGGACGGGTTGCCGGGAGCTGGGCGCGGTCTGTGTGGTGTGCGCGGGCCATGCCTGTATTATACAGTATTTTTATCTTCGGCTTTCCGTTGCCGGTCACGGGAACGACAACATTCTCTCCATGGTGTTTCACACCCGGCTCTTCACCTTATGTAGATCTCCATCATTAATATAAAAAAAAGTGAAAAAGCATTTCCCGCGCGAGATCCGCATCCTTTCAATTGCACTTGTGATTCCGTGTAATAATGCCTGAGATCATCCAACGGCTTCTTCTTTTCTTTTTTCGCAAACCCGCATCCAGCGGACACGGTAGGCGCAATCCGAACGGTGTGTCGTGCGTTGCTCATCCCGGTCCGGATCCTCGAGGGCGAGTTCGCGTCGGGCGATCATTTGCCATGTCCTTCGAGGTTGGATCGGTCGGTCAGTCTTGAGGGTGCGATTCGGTTCGTCGGGTATTCACATTGCAGTCCGTGATGGAGGGACGTCCGCTCCAGCTGACGGATTGCGGATGGAGGGGGGGGTTTGGTTGCTTGGGCTGTGTGAGGCGTAGTGGGGCATATTGTAGTAGAGCGCTCAGTTTTGCCACCGTTCTGGGAAGGGGGGGTTTCTTCTTCTTCTTCTTCTTCTTCTTCTTCTTCTTCTTCTTCTTCTCCTTCTTCTTCTTCTTCTTCTTCTTCTTCTTCTCCTTCTCCCTCTTCTTCTTCTTCTTCTTCTCCTTCTTCTTCTTCTTCTTCTCCACAATCCACAAAGGCGGATGCAGAAAGGATATGTGCGAGAAGGCTGCGCTCCGCACCGTTCCCTGGGTCTGCCATGTCGTTCTACGTGGAAGAAATCATCCTTTGCTTTTTCTAAGCCACAGCACGACAAGATCATGATAGGTGGGTGAGTGAGATTGAAGAGGAAGGATGGAATTCGAGGTTAAGGCCGAGGAGTTACTAGGATCGTCAACTTTGGCTACCTTAATCCCGACGTAATAAGCGAGAGACCTGGCCTCAGATTTGGTCTAGGCCTGGGTGTCTGGAAGTCAAAGCCTACGCGTAATCTATGCCATTGTGCGGTATATAGATGTCCCGTAGTACTTGGTATGCTTGCGTCAGGTTATATTCTAATAGCGGTTCAATTGTAGCCCTCTTTGCCCTTGATCACCCCATAAGCTCCTCCACCCTTGCCAAACATCTCATTCAGATCATGCACCATAGCCTCAGGCCGCTCATGAGCAGCAAAATGTCCACCGTCTGGATGTTGGCGCTCAAATACAACAGGTCCAAGAATCCTACCCCAGCTTTTCGGAGGGATATCGAGATCCTTCGGATAATAAGCCAGCCCGAGTTTGACGTGCGGAATGTACTCCCCGATCGCAGAGCGATCAGATCCAGTCGCATGTCCCACTTCATAGTAGATCCTCGTGCTAGCAGCTGGCCCAGCGGTCGAGAACCAGTATATCGAGATCCAAGTCAGGATCTCATCGTCAGTCCAAGGGTAATGGTCGGTCCAGTCATGGAGTTTCTCGTAGATCCAAGCAAGTAATGCAACTGGGCTGTCGGCCAAACCATAGCAAAGGGTTTGAGGTTTAGTACGTTGTATTTCATTGTAACCGTATCCTTCTTTCTGGAACCACTGTGTGCGTGCCCAGCCTGCCTTTTCATAGTCGCTGTAGGGTGTCACAGCATGTTGCAATGCCAGCGCTGGAGAGCTAGTGAATGTCGGAGCATGTGTGGGTCTGACATAATTGATATGGCTGGCTGTATTTTTGTCAGCGTGCTCTCAAAGGCGCGGATATCGAGTGTTTGAATGCTGACCTTTGCAGTGTTGCGGATACCGGAAGCCAATTACACGAGTAATGTGACTGCCCCAATCACCTCCTTGAGTTACTAGGGATTGTTAGTCTAATTTCGCTCATACTGCAAACGAGATTACCGTATTGATCATAGCCAAGTTGAAGCATCAGCTTGTGGCAAGTCTCAGCATACTGCTTCAAAGCGAAGCCGCGCTTTTTGACGCCATCGGAGAAGCCAAAGTTGGGCAAAGATGGCGCAACGACATGAAAAGCTGGACCTTTGCCTCCGTCCTGCTTTGCGAGTAGTGGCAGTAGCTTCACGACTTCCAAGAAACTACCAGGCCCTGCACCGTGTCAATAATCCTGCGTCTTAGTCTAGTCGCGTTGAAAGACATACATCCGTGTACGAAAAGCAGTGGTATAGCCTTGGAATTCTCGCTTTTCTGATGAACGAAATGAATTCTCAGAGCCTCGTATCCATCGACTTTGATCTGGGTCTGGAACTGGGGCAGTTTGTTGATTTCCGCCTCCTGATGCTTCCAGTCGAATCCATCCTTCCAGTATGCAGTCAGCCGCTTCACATCAGCCAGCGGAGCTCCATAGTCCCATCCGGCATCATCCAGTTCATCCGGGAATTCTGTCAATTCCAACTTCGCGCGTAATCTCTCCAGTCGATCGTTCGGCACAGCTACCGTGAAGGGCGTTGCTGATGCCATGGGGTCTTTGAAATGATTTTCCGTATATAAGGGTGAGGAGTGGATTCTGGCTCAGAAGTAATGAAAGAGATGTAGAATATCTTTGGGGGATTCAGTGATTGATATATGCAACGCTTCTCTGAGATCTGCAGCCAACAAGTTAATTTTTTTTTGGGAAGATTGAGATCAAATCGCTTAATCGTAGTCCGACTATTCGCTTCGCTTATAGTAGTCCTTAACTCAAAGACGCATTAGTCTTAAAGACGCGAAAATCTATTATTTCTTTTCTAATTCTATATAAATTTTATTCTATAACTTAAATCTTAATAAATATATCTTAATATATATATATTAGCTTTTATAGATTATAATTTAATTTTTAAATATAAGTTTTAATAGTCTTATCGTTTTTTTTTTTTTTATTTTTTTTTTTTTAATAATATTTTTTTTTTTTTTTTTTTTTTTTTTTTTAGCTTTTTTTTTTATTATAATTAGAGATTTATATATTTAATCTACTAATATTTATTCTTCTTCTAAATAATTATTTTAGAAAGTATCTTATATATTCCTTATTATATTCTTTTTTTAATATTTTTATTTTTTTTTTTTTTATTTTTTCTTAAATATTATTAATAACAAAAAGGCCTTTGAAATTAAATTCATAGAGTTAGATTTTTCTAAGTCAAATCGAATTAATTTAACCCAACAATATCTCTTGCCGCTTAGTGAAATTTTTGACGAATAAATGAAATAGCATAAGTAATTAAAATACAATTCGGAAAGAAATTGACGGACGGTTTCAATTCGTCTAAATATGCATCGTTCCGGAGTGATGATCTGATGTGGAACCGTGGAGAGCATATGACGTGGGATCTTGGAGAGCTGAGCCGTGTTCTTGACGATGGTGGCCTTGTTGCCGCTTGGTTTCTCCGCAGTGTTCTCCATAGTGTTCTCCGCAGTGTTCTCCGCATTTGCCTGTTGTAGTTCCTCCTCTTACTCCTTAATGTAGTGGGGATGACAGGCTAAGTTGCGTGGTGTTCTCCGCTTGCTGAGTGATGATTTGATGTGGAACCGTGGAGAGCATATGACGTGGGATCTTGGAGAGCTGAGCCGTGTTCTTGGTGCTGGGGGCCTTGTTGCCGCTTGGTTTCTCCGCAGTGTTCTCCGCATTTGCCTGTTGTAGTTCCTTCTCTTACTCCTTAATGCAGTGGGGATGACAGGCTAAGTTGCAGTGGTGTTCTCCGCTTGCTGAGTGATGATTTGATGTGGAACCGTGGAGAGCATATGACGTGGGATCTTGGAGAGCTGAGCCGTGTTCTTGGTGCTGGGGGCCTTGTTGCCGCTTGGTTTCTCCGCAGTGTTCTCCGCATTCGCCTGTTGTAGATCCTCCTCTTATTCAACTGAGTGCGAGGGTATCGAGGGTAAATGTGTTCATATTGGTGGAATTGGTAGAATTGGTAGAATGGTGGAAGAAGAATGGTTACACAAATAGGTGGAAGGATTATTATCCATCCCGGACGCGTCTCACCGGTGTGATTATCATATTTTTAGAGGCTTCTTCTTAACGATGTTCAGGATCTAACACGCGTTGAGAGGCTTCAAAATAGGGTGATGAAGAACGGGTAGGGGGGAAGACGCGTCTTGGGAGGTAGCATCGCTGGGTTGGAAGGCATCATCGCTGGCTTGAGAGGAGTATGTAGGGGAGGACGTGTTGGGCTCGCTTGCGGCCTCGATTGCCAGCAGTAGCGGATTCGCCGAGGGGTGGCCTGGGGGCGTCAGTAGGGCCTCTAAGAGGCGGGTAAAAGGGGTGTACGTGCCTGAACCGGACGCGTTTGGTGTGACTACAATATTTGAATGTCAGTTTAACCCACCTACCGCTGGCTTGGGAGGAGTATGTAGGGGAGGACGTATCCGTTCGGGCTCTTTTTGAGGGCCTTCCAACGCGTTTATGAGCAGTAGTAGGTAGCTGTTGGGCTCGCTTGCGGCCTCGATTGTCAGTAGTAGCGGATTCGTCGAGGGGTGGCTTGGGGGCGTCAGTAAGGGGCTCTAATTGGGCGAGGGGTACCGAAGACGATTATGTTTATATTGGTGGAATTGGTAGAATTGGTAGAATTGGTAGAATTGGTAGAATTGGTAGAATGGTGGAAGAATAATAAACAGGTGGAAGGATTATTATCCGATCCCGGACGCGTTTGGTGTAACTATTATAACTACTATATTTGAATGTCCATTTAATCCACCAATAGTAGGCCAAACTTCATTATTTTTACAGCGTTAGAAAGCGCACACTGAGCTCTATAATTTACGAAATTATGAAGTAATAGCATCCTTAGGGAGGTAGTTATTTCAGAGTGTAAGACTTCTACACATAGATTTTTGATGAGGGAGATACGGGAGGGCTACCGGGCTGACTCAGCCGGTCTAACTAAAAAGCGTACAGGACCCGAATTGATGATTGGCTGCACATACAAATTCAAGGTTTTCAAGCTCAGCCCTATCTTATTCTATTATATATACTAATCAATCATCAATTCAGGGTCACTACGCTCTTTGGTTAGACCGGCTGAGTCATCGCGGGTAAATAAATTAGCGTCCGCAACCATCAAAAAAATAGGACAGCCGGACAGCCCTGATCAAAAAACAGGTACACATTGTTTGATTTCAGAATAACTTTTTTTTTTCTATTAAAATTTTTTTTTTTTTTTTAAAATTTTAAAGCGCTGTTTGCGCTTTCCGAATTTTTAAGAATTTTGAAATTTGGTCTTATAATTATTAAAGCGCAAGGAATTCAAATATCGCTCACCAAAGTTCGCTCGACAGCCGGACAGCCCGCTCACCAAAGATCGCTCACCAAAGATCGCTCACCTATTTACTCGATAGCCCTGATCAAAAAAATGATTATGAATTTAATTCATAGGCCTTTACTCGTATACTAATAAATTCTTTTATAAATTAGATTAATAGCTATTATATATTTTTAAAATAATAAAAGTCTAAGTAGTAAATAATTCTTTAAATTATTAATTATATTTAATAACGTTTTTAGCTTTATAAAGAGTTCTAATAAGTATAAAAGATATAAACTTATCTAAAGTTATAGCGCAGATATTAGATTTCTAATTTTTCGAGTATTACTTTAGAGTTATAGAGTATAAAATTAATTTTTTAAAAGATCGAATATATAGTACTAGACGTAAAGATTTAGATTCTTATTTAATTAAATACTACGAGAAAGTCGAGTTTATTAAAATCGTTATTTCTAAAATATATAATTAAATCTATAGTCTTTATATAATAGTATTTAAATAATTAAAAGTATTCTATATTTAATAGTTATATAATATATATAGAATATAAGAGAAATATAAATAAGTCGATTTTTAATTATTAGATAAATATATAAAATTCGTAGATATAGTAAGATTCGAAGTCGTTTAGAATTAAGATTCTTTATTTTTTACTTAATAATAATAAAAAAATATATTAAAATATAATAGCTAGTTATATATTAGTCGATTATTTAAATATTTAATAAATAAAATAATTAATATAATATTCGAAGGTAAGTCGTTTTTATTCTATTTATATAGAATATAAATATCTTTTAAAATTACGAATAGAGATATACTTTAGTCTTCGACGCTAATATATTTTATAAATATAATATAATTATAATTATCTAGATCTATAAATTATAGAGATTTATTTTTATTTAAAGTAATAATATAATAAACGATTTTATAGTTAATTTGAAAGTTAATCTTATCTATATTTTAAATATTTTAATATTATATATCTTTCTCTTTATAGCCCTATCGAAATTTCTTATATATTACGCGTATACTTTTAATATTATATATATTCTTATACTCGACATTAAGAGATTTTTACTTTTATTTATAATATTTAAAATATCGTTTTATAAATTATATAGTTTAATCTTTATCGAGTAATTTAAGAGAATAATACGAATTTAAAATAATTTTTAGAATATATTTAAAAATATTTTAAATGTAATCTAGTTAAAGTAAATATTTAATATTATTTAAATAATTAATATAATTATATAGCGATTATTTTTAAGTCGTAATAAGACGTATATAGATAAGTATTTAAGTACTTCTAAAAGCTTATTCTCGAAGTTATCTTTATATTTATCGCGATTTAAGATTATAATACTCTATAACCGCTATAGCGCTGCGAAAATAATTATTCTTATATTTATTAATAATCTTTTAAACGAGTTTCTTTTATTTAGAATAAGATATAGATATAATATAATAGAATAATAGTAAATTATAATATAGAGTATCAAATCGCGAAAAAACGCGTCTTTGAGACTAGTGCGTCTTTGAGTTATAATTAAAATAAAAGAAAAAATAGTTTTTTTTTTTTTTTTTTTTTTTTTTTTTTTTTTTTTTTTTTTTTTTTTTTTTTTTTTTTTTTTTTGTTTTTTTTTTTTTTTGTTTGGGGGTTTATTTTTTTTTTTGCTTTTTTTTGGTTTTTTTTTTTTTTTTTTTTTTTTTTTTTTTGGGTTTTTTATGTTTTTTTTTTTAATTTTTTTTTTTTTGTTAAAAGGGGGAAATAGACTTTTTTTTTTTTTTTTTTTGGGTTCGGGTGAATTACGCTAGTAGGATTCTAATATCACTATATTGCTATTAATTCTATTAAAAATTATTACGACTTAAGTTATATAGCTATAATAATCTAAGAAATAAAATAACTTTTAAAGATTAATAATGCTAGCTTAAATATAATCTACGATAAGTATATTTCTTATTAAAAAGTTATTAAAAATTAAGTAGAACCTCTAGATGTTAAGTTATTAAAAAAACTCTTTAATAGATTAAATATAAAGAACGAAGATAAGATAAATAGTACTCTATAACTATACTCTCTATACATTATATACGTAAAGGGCTAAATCGTATTAGAAATATCTTATTATATAACTTATCGATAGATCTTAGCACGCGAGACTAACTTAGTAGAGTATAATAAGATAATAAAATACGATGAGGCGGAGGTTCATATAGCTTTAGAACTATCTCTTATTAGTTTATACTATCTATAATAACTCTAAGTAATACTTTAGAGAAAGAGAAAGTAGATAGAAATAGTCGATAATTGATAGAAAGAAGATAAAGATAAGAAGATGGCTTAATAGGCGGTAGGTAGTTGAAATATAAAAGAAGAATAATGAAAGAAGTACGATTATATAGTTATTAAATAAGCTTGAAAACAGCTATATTCGAAGAATAATCGGACCGTATACTAATTTTATAAGTGGTTCTATATGATTATATATGCTTACTACGACTATAAGCTTACTTTATAGCTATACTTATCTATACTATCGCTTTTAATAATTCTTATCTTCCGCTATATATAGAGCGACTTAACAGTTTATATAATTATATAAGATACGATATATACGCTTTCTATTAATAGATCTTATATTATAACTTAAAGAATTATCAAAGATACGCTTCTTTAGACTCGATATACGCGATCGAGCGATGGCCATATTACTTTTATGCTTATATTAAATATAATTCTTTTACTACTTTATCTTAACGATAAGATTCTACTATAACTTAATAAGTGTATATTTAATAATTTTATTAAATCGATTAGTATCTAGATAATTAGTATACTTATTAATCTCTATATCCTCTTTAAAGGCGAATAACTCTTTATACAGTCGAATTCTAAAGTCTCTATACTATCTCTTCTTTTAATAAAAGCCTATATAGCTCTTAATCTTAAAGTTATTAATAATGCTATAATTTAGTACTTAATAGAAGATTAATTACCAATTTCTCATAATCTTTCTCTAAGTCTTATACGCCTAGCGATACTAATCGACGATATTTACGAAGTCTATATTATAGTTATAATCATTAATATAATATAAAAATCTCAAGTATCGCCCGAGGCTATTTATTAAATAGCTCTCTTATAGCCTTTATATTAATAAAGATAAGATCTAGTCTTTTTCGCCATTTCTTAATAATATTACTCGCTTTATCTACTATATATATCGTAGATAGCGAGAGTATCGTATTATTATTAATTTAGCTTAGATATAATACGTCGTCTATCGATATAGCTACGAGCGTTCTTTAGAGTAGCTTATAATCTCATTTTTCCCTTATAACCTATAGAATAACTGGAAAATCGACGCTATTATTTATACGAGTCGTTTTATATACTTCAATATCCACAATACATAACTCGTAAAATAATGAAATCGATATGAAGAGGTTATCGAGATAAAGAGTATATATCTTATTAAAGAATAGAGGAGATAGTATAAGCGTAAGCTAATATACTATAGATTCGATAGCTATTAGCATTTCACGTGGTTTTAGCTCGCTAGTCTTCAAAATACGTAAGTAGTATATAAAGTTATATATATACTCAGCCTTATAGAGAGCCTAGAATTTATACCCTCGTTTGATAGGCTTATTTCTTATATTAACGATATGCTTTAATCGTTCGAAAAATTATATTATTATCTTATCGATAGCGATATTACTATTAAGCCTTTAATACTTCTAATAGTAATTTCTAAAAGAAGTTAAAAGAGGCTCTATTTTATGCTATTACTAAAGCTTCTAAGACTTTAATTCTTACTCGATTATTACTTTCACCTCTTCTTCTATAAGCTCCGTAGGCGTATTATCGCTTAAAGAACTAATATAAAAAAATCGCTATAATTAAGTAAATCTATTTTAAGCCATAAATAACTATAAGGTATATACGAAGTCTAGGAGATAGATTAGTATAATTAACTACCTTACTATAATAAGAGAATACGTATTATAAAATATATCCTTATTTTAATAGTCTACGATCTCGCCTTTCTAATAAATATCTATATAAACGAGATACTCTATAAATATCTTAATTTCGACTATATTAATAGCCCATCAAGCTCGCTAATTTATGTTATTTTCTGGAAGCTTCGATTTAATAGAGTCTCGTTCTCGTAATATAATAAGCTACTATATAGCGTATACATTAATATTTCGCGTAATAGTTTTAAATATCTCTTTAGTAAAGAATAGCGAGAATAAGACGAGTGGGCTATTCTAATCAAGATCCGCTAAGATTTAAAGCTTTAAAGCACGCTTTAATTCTTCTTAAAAAGCATTAGTTTTGTGGCTGATATGATGATTGCATTTATCTACTGAGATGCATCACATCCGCCTGCTATGGAAAGCTACCTCCACCATATCCCCGCAGATGTGCAAGACGACACTACGATCAAGTCGTGTCAGCGTATCTTCTACTTCTGGTGCTCGACGTGGGCTTGGAGGCCGACGTAGAGGCCGTAGTCCCTATCATGACTTGACGCGGCAGGGTCGCCCTTGGCGGGAGTGGAGGAGGGGTTGGAAGATGTAGCCTGAGTCAAGTCCGTCAACTCACGAGGTAGTTTCGTAAATGCAGGTAGGTTAGGGAAGGTGGGGTTGTCCGAGGGAGCTGAACAATTGCTTTATGGGATTTCTTGAAGGTCAATCCCTTACAGTGGTCCGTTTCGAAGGAGGGACGCTTCAAGTAAATCTTGCCGACCGAGCCCTCTTGTCCACACAGGAGATGCAAGCCTCTGTACCATAGATAGTACCAGCGTTCGTCAGCATCCCTAAGCACCTTTCCATCGATGTCCACGTCTCCCTTCTTCTGAATTCTTTGGCAGCATGTCCAAAAGGAACACGTAACCCACGGACCATCCCCTTTATATCGAATTCCGCCTTCCAATTCTCGTTCCGTTGCTTCCTGCCCAGCTCTCCAGATTCAATAACAATAGCAACATTCAGGTCATCCAGGCGTACACCTTTCGCAGGGATTTTGTCGATGGATTTATTACCAGGGACCATGAACAGGGTATAGGAGTCGTACTTCGCGAAAGTGGAGTGCGGTTCGTCCACGTGGATGCCGCGATTTTTCATTGCTGGGTTGTACAGTTGGTAGTTGGCCATATCGTACTTCATCATGCCAGAGGATGGCGATTCAGCAACAACCGTTACCTCGCGCTTCTTTTTCGCAGAGCCTATCCCGGACGCCATCTCAGTATCTAACCCCTCCTCCACAGGGGTATGTGCTCTCTTCTTCCCAGCCTTCTTCGAGCTGGCCTTGGACTTGGTCTTGTTTTTGTCGGACGGCATCTCAGAATCCGTATCCTCGTCCTCAGTGTCGGCTGCTCTCTTCTTCCCAGCCTTCTTCGAGCTGGCCTTGGACTTGGTCTTGTTTTTGTCGGACGGCATCTCAGAATCCGTATCCTCGTCCTCAGTGCTGTGCGCTCTCCGCCTCCTATTCTTCTTGGGAATGACGTTGGAATTGGTCTTGTCCTTGGCCTTGGCCTTGAACTTCGTAGTGGAGGACGAGCCTTGATCTTGGGAAACCGGGCTGGGCACCTCATTAAATTTGAAAGCATGTTTCTAACAGACGCGTCAATGCAGCCGGACTGAAAATTGATAGGTTGGAGCCATACCACAAGCCCGGAGTTGCCGGCAGCATCGACGCCCTCGAAAACCTCACCACCAAGAGAACACTTCTCCCCTTCGGCAGAAGACATGGCAGCCGCAGCCTCATCGACTTTGTCCATCATTTCCGATGGGGAAACCTTGGGATCATCCATGATTATCGTTAAGGTTAGTGTAGCCAGGAATCAAGAGAGGCGCGAGGTGGCCTAAGGAGAAAAGGAGTTGAAAGTAAAGGAGAGAATAATTCAAGAAATGGACGACACAGGCTGGTGCTACTGGTCCCCAAAATGATTTGGAAAATTTTAAGGGGGTTTGGGATGGGGGTGGGGCCCCTCAAGTAGGCAGCGGTAACAGTTAATGACGAGCATGCCTTTCAACAATATTGAGATTACCGATCCAATGTTGATGTTTACGTAGTCCATTGTTGAAGTCGATATCTGTCATAGCTATGTGACAGAACCGCACCCGGTTTTATGGATGAGTGATGGCCTGGAAAAAAAATCCCAAGTCTCATATCTCACTTTTCAACATACCGAGACGGTGTTCTATCATCATGTCGCACACAGAGTCAACTTGTCATATAACGCGTCACTACGAGACCCACGCCATCAGTTCATTCCAGGATTCTGGCGAGACTACATTATGGACCCAAAAAAGATGCGAACTACGTATGGCTCAAAATCATAACCACCTCTCATTTCTCTGCAGTCCATGTTACACTCTCCAGCGTGAAGTCACCAGAGCTCTTGACGCTTCTCCACAGCAGCAATGACTTCAGATTTAAAGTGCCGCATTGTAGCCTTCATGGTCTTCACTCTTCTAATAACCCGTATCCTCTCCCGAGACGAAAGAGCCATTGGGAATGCTGGAGGAGCAGCAGTCGATGCGTCGGGCCTTCCACGATGATCCAAACGAACGCTCTTTGCCAACCCGATTCACCACCATCGCATCAGGCTGCTCAAGAGCAGTCAACAACAAGCGCTAAACTGGCAGCAGATGGTTGCTTCACCGAATCAACTGCGTCAAACAATGAAGGAGATATCAACACAACGGATAACCCGAACCATCCTCCCCCAACCGGCTCACCACCATCAAACCAGGACGCCCAAGAGCAGAACAACGACAAGCGCGCAGTTCGTCGCCGGTACCGACCCCCTCGTCTTCGTTCGGCCCCAGCGGCAGGTGCAGGGAGTTGGAACCCTTCAACCACTGCAGGTAACCAGCTGGCCATTACCGCAGATGATCCCAAACGGACCTTTGCCGAGCGACACAGCACCTCCGGATCTGGGCGAGCAGGAGCGGCACAGCGAGCGGCAGGTGGCTCCGCCCCATTGTTCGGCACCAGCGGCCGGCGCGGCGGACGCCGCCTTCGCAAACACTGCGGACAACGGATTATGAAATCGGACCTGTCGTCGGGGTCCATGCCGGCGGGTAGTGATATCTTCAGGTGAGAAATAAATAATAATAATAATAAAGAAGCCGCTGGTGGAGGGGCCAGGGATACCGAATCCAGTAGCGGGTCCTGGTGGAGGCACCGGTGGCGATGCATCAGGAGACCAATTCGTGACGAAGGGCAAGACTAGGAGCAAAGCACGGGTCATCGTGCCACGAGCGGCCCTTTCCACGAGTGGGTCCCCAATAAGCGGCCCCCCCCCCCCCCTTTTTCTTTTCAAGCGCTCCTCCCTCCCACACCCCCCCCCCCTCCCATCAGTGGGGGAGTGGGGAGTGGGAAGGGGGAAGCGGGGAGGGGTTGTATGGGGTGGCCCAGGGCGGGAGTTGGGAAGGGGAGGGATTGTTGGATGGATGGATGGATGGTTGGCGGAATGTATTGAGGTGGGGGTGTTTGAAGCGAGTGTGTGGTGTGTGTGTTGTAGGTGATGTAGATGAGAGTGGGATTAGGGGGGGGGAGTTGGTGTATGCGTTGTATGAATTGGTACGTGGGAAGAGGAGAATGAATGGGTATCGAGACTGGTTACGCAAGAACAAGATCATGATCATGAGAGCATGAGCCAACACGCACGTAAAGGATCTCTCAACACCAGTCGTACACACGTAGACCACCTCCCCTCACGACCAGCGCCACAAGGAGTCAATTCCTCCCATCGCCTCCCCACCAATCTCCCTCCCTTCCCGACAAACTCACATACCCATACAGAAATCTCCCTCAGTACCCATCATCCCGACTGCCGCTTCGACTCCTCCTCCTCCTCCTCGTCCTGCTATCCCGACTCCGACTCCGACTCTTCTGCTTCTGCTTCTTCGCATGCGCATTCCCGCTCAGCGCGCCAATGACCGCGCCGCCCAGCGTCCCGACGCCGGGCCCTAGCAACACGTCGCCGATGATGCCGCCGGCGCCGGCGCCGAGGAAGCTGTCGCGGGACTCGTGCGATGCTTTCTTCCCGTGTTGACGGTGGTGGTGGTGGTGTTTGTGGGGGTGGTCGTCGGAGTAGGAACTTTGTGGTTGCTGTTGGGGTGGGTAGCCGTTTTGTGGTGGGGGGTAGCCGTTCGATTGTTGAGGGTGGTAACCGTTGGATTGTGGGGGAGGTGGTTGGGAGTAGGGGTAGTTTTGGGAATGGGGTTGTTGTTGTTGCTGGCAGTCAGGCGACACATGTCAGCTTTGCGTACGTACTCGTAGGCTTTGCAGTGGAGCGGGAGACAAACCTGAGGTGGGTACGAATGCGAACTGCCATAGTAATGCTGGCTTGGATGATGATGGCTGTTGTACGCCTGCTGCCATGGCGCCCCGGGCTGTGGTGGTACTGGTGGATAGTAATCCCTCTTACTCTCTGGCTGGGGGGAAGGTCGTGGCGGAGGTTGTTGAGCTTGCCCGTAGTTGGCATTGTATGGAGGTGGTGGGGCTTGGTTGCCTTGAGGGTGGGGTGGGAAGTTCTGCGCTCCGGCGTAGTAGTCGTTTGCTGCCATGTTGGAGATTTGTAGTGGTAGGATTATAGTATTGAGAAAAGATGTATAATGTAGCTGATGGATGAACGCTGGTTTATATTATATAGTCTTCAGACTCGAATCTGATGAAATCTATTCATAGATCAGCTGATGGAATTTATCGCCGAGGCAAATGCGATGATGCGATGCACGTCATCGTCATCAGATCGACAGGGTTCTCCATCTCCAACTCCAACTCTGCCAACTTGCCGCTATCCCCTTTCGAGGTATAATGTATGATTACACATTTTCGCCGTATTCGCTCTTATGACTCTTGCTGTTATCATTGATCACGCGAGCAGAAAAGCAAAGTAAAGTAACTTTACAACTCCATGCTCGACGATGATGACGACTTGAACCATGTCAGAAAGTAATGATGCAAAACGCATTCCACCGATATTATTCGCCTCCAACCCTATGACTACATAATTGACTGACATCAAATCTTACAACTTTCCAACACATCAACCCGCTATACCAGTAGAATCATCCCCCTGTCCCGTCCCCAATGTCTCACCTCAAAACCCCACCGACGCCAAAAAGGCATGATACTTCTGAAAGCTCGTTTGCGCCGAATAATGCAAACTGATCATGTGCCCCGTGCCCACGGGGATGAAATACTCACAGGTCTCCGCCTTGGGGAACAAAGCACAAGCCTGCGCCTGCGGACTGCTCGGCCCGTCACCGCAGGTCGCGGCCAGGCAGAAGACGTCGTCGCTGTCGCCCGTGATGATGTACACCGGCGCCGTCGACGCGGGCGCTTCTTTCAGCCCGCCGTCGATGCTCAGCAGCTCGCCCAGCCCCACGACGTCTTCGTCGTCGTAGTCCATTTCGAAGATGCCCTCGTCGTACGAGCCCGGTTTGCCCCACAGGTAGGCGCGGCGGCCGGCTTCGGACGAGGTGACGAGGTAGCCGGGCGCGAAGCCGGCGAAGCGGGGGGCGTAGAGGGTGGCGGGGAAGGGGACCGTTTGCGGGAGGTCGGCGGCGACGGGGATGATGGAGACGCCGTAGCCCGTGAGGATGAAGGCGGAGATGTCGCCTGGGTGGTTGGTGGCTTGGGCGTTGCCGAGGATGGAGCCGTAGGAGTGGCCGACGAAGATGATGCGGTTGAATGTCTTGCCTGGTGACAGGTTTGGAAGTCAGTCCGATTCGCGTCCACAAGATATTTTGTAGCATTTGAGAGGTAGGATGAGGGAGTAGAGGATGATGGCACATACCAGGTACCGCTGTGCCGGCTTTCAGCATGGTGACGAGCTGGTGTGAGACCGCTTCTTCGAGATTAACCTGCTGCTGCAGAATCGGGTCCGGATGTGTCGAGTTTCCCACCCCGATTCTATCAATCGCTAGCGTCGGATAGCCCTGCTTCGACGCATAATCCACTGTCGAGTACTCATTACCATCGTATCCGTTCGGATACCCTAATCCAAACCAATAAAGATTGTTTTCCGTAACGCCAGACATGAAAAGCTGAACCACATCACTGCGATTCGCAATCGTGACCTCGGGCTCGCAATAGCGCGCTGCAACGATGCCGGTGAAGGTTGTTGGGATGAGAGGGTATGCTGTGCCTGCGTCGCCAAGGACGGTTTGAACAAAGGCCGAGACGGCGGCGGGGTTGCTGTAGTTGAGGCCTACGGGAATGGGGAAGACTTCGTTGGAGGCGGTAGCGGTGAGGGGAATGCGGAGGTTGGTGCAGGTTGGGTTTGCAGTGACAAGAGGTGCAGTGAGGAGGGTAGAGAGGATGAGGAGGGTGGTGGTGGTGAGAGGCTTCCAGACGGACAGAATGGAATAGAAGGGAGACATTCTGACTGCAGCAGGATGGGTTTTGATTGTCGGTAGCTCCACTTGTGTTTCGATGAAGCGAGGCCTTCGTACGGACGGATTCTTGGGGATAGACCGACCGTCTTATATAGGCAGCCCAAGCAAATCCCGACGTAGCAACGAAGGAGGCCCGCATGAATGGCTGGAAGAAATCGAAGGCACCAAATTGGAAGGGATCGCTCCTGACTTGATGCCTTTCCCTGTGACATTCTTTCTTTTGCTGACGGTCTCGAGGCGATAACGCAACATATTCTGACTACTAACCGAGAACATAAAAATATCCCTCCTTCAAAAAACTTTAAGACATTTGCTGCAACCCCGAGGAGAAATGACGGATGGATATCAAGTCCTCCATGTCTGATACGATCGATATCCTGGGTGAAAGATAGGCTGGTGTCGCCGGCACTGATATCGAACACGCTACACAGACTAATTCCGAGTAAGGACTCATCTACCGCTGAATGTGCATAGATCACTATGCCTCAAGGAGTCAGCTAATTTTTCACCACCAAGGCTCATTCGAGAAGGTTCAAATATCAACTTCGGATCGGGGCGATCGCAACATGGAGGCGCCGCGGTACCTTTGCCAATCCCGTGTTCGTGATAGGTTCGGCATTCATCTCCGCTGCATTTCCCACCCCCACACACACTCTCCATATCAAACGGCGATGGGTTTTCGCTTCCCACTTTTGATCAATTGAGCCGGCGACCTTCCTATTTAGATAAGGCGAATGGCCTAAGGAACGCCAAAAGGGCCCCATCCTCTTAGTAAAGTCGCTCCGATCTTCCATATTGGGTTACGGCTGCCTGTCAACTATCTTTATCGGTCTGCGGAGATTTTTTGCCACTCTGTTTTGGATGGGTGTGCCCGCATCGCGTTCCTGCTTCTCGTGAAACCCCGGGAGGGCGGCCCCCCCTTTACCTTATCTTTGCGAAATTTACCTTTTCCACATATGTACAACATTACCTACTTTGGGTGCAGGGATCATGGCATTCGTTAGATTTGACATGCGAAGTAGCAGGTCGCCCCTGGCAGGTCATCACCACGCTAACCCTGATTATCTGTGTAGTTCCCCGCACGGAGGATAGGTGTTTGGCATCGCCACAACATCATAGCTTTGGCAGAACGGCCGTTCACCCTTACCTCGTGCTTGGACAAAATCAGAAATCCCACCAGCGACAGCTCAGCTAGCTGTACGGTATAGCCATAAGGCTCGTAAGGTCTTGCAAGATTGACAGTTCGCCTCAGGCCAGATGGACTCGAACTTGACTCTACGACCGTTTCCCAGTGCGACAGGATCTCGTCAGCTTGCATGTTCTAGATGCTTAGATCACCCACACATCTCGGACGAACGGCAATGCTAAAAGATGACAATGCTAAGGCCGGTCAAGGCTTTCAAGCCCAAGATGAGCATTGCCATCCACATCAGGGCTTTGTACCGCCGGTATATTCATCTTTTCGGACTATACCTTGATCGGAACACCACGATGACGGCGTGGCGCTGATTTGGAAGCCATCTCCGTGCATCTCATCGCCTTATCGATGTCTTGTCTGTAGTAGGACAATCATAGGGCTGAGTCTTGCTGCAAAAAGCGCACCAACGTTTCGGCTGATGACGACGGAACGCAAACGCCGTTCATACCACAGATATTAGTTCTGTCGCAGTCATTGAACGTCTGGCAGGGGTCACGTACACAGCAAGATTAGTCACTTTGTACTCAAGGCACTCAAGAGTAGAACGAATACTAAGACAATTCCCGGGCCATGTGCAGGAAGGTGGGGACCCTCCACCACCACCACCACCGCCTCCTGAACACAAATCGGACGCATCCGCATGGAGTATGCTGTCGTATGACAAATATGAGACGATACATCGTACACAGGTGTCGCTGCTAGTGAAGCGGATCAGCGTAAGTGAGCATGGAGTATTCCGCGGGTGGCGAGAGCATACTATCAACGGCTAGGTTGCCTGGAGGATTCTTGATGATGGTCTGCGATCCTCCAGGAAGGTTGTTCTCACAGTTGATTTGATGATTTCCTCCGGACTTTGGGTTCAAGCTAGTTCATAGATCTATATGATAGAGTTTGTGATTGTCCCAATCCGTCTCTAAGTACCACATAGTAACCAGCACTCTATAGAAGTACCATGGCCGCAGAGGCTGTAAGTGATAAAGGATTGGGGGGTTCCATTGATGGATGATTATTACTTACTGCAATCTGCGCACTCGTCTTCATTGCGGAAGTACTTGCGTAGAAGCGGAACGTAGACAATGCCACATTGTAGGAGGTTCTTGTTGTCGGTGGCCGTTGCGAAAGTAATAGGATCTGCGTACGTGCCAATCCACTGATTATGGATTAGAGTTCAGAAGATGTGGTTAACATGACAGCGGACTTACCTCCCGCGATAGGTTTGCCATCTTCTAGTCCTTTCCCGCGGCCGCAATCGAACGTATTGTCCGGTCCGGGAGGGGGACCATTATCTGGCCAGCTGTAGAACGTGAGGCTAACGTCCTCGATGGTGGAACATTGGGCCGCTACGGAGGGTAAGGCTCTCATCCAGCCTGTTATAGCAACGCCAATCAATATGGAGCTTTTCATGTTGAGAGTAGAAGAAGCCCTAAGCTGATGTGGGGCTAGTACAAAGGAGAAGTGAAAATTGAGAAGGCAAGAAGATGCGGAAAGCGATGTGGAATCTCTTATGTTTTCGCCTGCACGATTATGTGTTCTTCTCGGACGGATTTGCTGGCGAATATATCCTGCTGCAACCTTCTATCATACTGTATACGATCAGAAACGGTCTTTCATGAAATACACCCGAGGGGTGTCGCTCAAGAATCAGCTCAATAATCAGGTACACATCGCCAACATCGTAAGATGATGTCATTTTGGACGAAGAACCGCCGACACGATCAATTACAGAATGGCGGTCGGGGCTCTAGTATGTTGTAGTCAACTGTCCTCTGCACGGAGTATCGGCCATCGTAGCCGAACACAGTACTCAATATCGTATAGATAATAAAGAAGACATTGGTACGCGTGTGATTTTATGGGCCAACTCCGGGTGATGTTGTCTTTTGACAAAAAGAAGCAGATGATGAAAATAATACGTACTTTAGAGTAGAGCCAAACAACGCCGGTGACGCCACGGGCAACGGCGCGGGAGATCTGCCCCCTAGAAAAGCGCCCTGGAACGGCTCCTTACTTTAGGTCTAGGCGCCTGCAGCACAGCGTCATCGAGCAACCCCACCAACGCTGAAGATAGGATCAAGTTTTTCGTAAACAACCCTACTGAATTCTCTACTCTTAACGACCACATCCATCAACGACTTGCCGTCCTACTATCAACACTTCCTCCTTAGCGGCCAGAAAATAGTATAAGGGATCATTCTACAAGACAGAGCACAAGACATGGCCGACAAAGAACAAGAAGGAGCAAGCTCCGCGGGGTAGGCATTTCTGTTTACTTCCCCCTCATCCTCTATGCTCTACAGACAAAGCTCACCACGAGTTCCTAACATCTTTCCCGCAGAGGCTATCTCGCATCCGCTAAATCCTACATCCCCGGCATGGGCCAAGTCTCCGACGCTGCATCCGGTGGGGCAGGGAAAGCCCAAGAAGGCCTTGGTGCCGCAGGGTACGCCTCCATCCTCCACCCTCCTACCACGTCAAACTCTCTCTTCATAAAAAAAGCTGATGCCTGATTCTCTGATAGCTCGGCAACCAAAGACGTCACCGGCTACGTCCCAGTTGTGGGCAGCGTTGTCGAAGGCGTCGGCAACACACCCGTCGCTCAGAAAATAGGAGGGAAGGAAGAAGAAAAGGGATATTTGGGCTCGGCATATGACTATGCGGGGAGTGCGCTGAGGACAGTGTATGATGCTGCAGGCAATGTGGTACGCATTTCAGTCCTCAACCCCCCTCACCCCCACCCCCTTTGGTTTTCAACAAAACAGGTTGATTGATTTCTGGGCGCACAGATTGGAACCGTGGAAGAGAAGGCCGGCACCTACCTGCACGGCTCCGAAAACGCCGCCAAAGCCGAGGGGGAAGAAGGCGACCCCACAGCCAAAGGCGAAGCCCGGCAAAAAGACCAGGAAGTCATCGCCAAGAACAAAGCCGAGGGCGCGACGCAGGAGACCGCCGATAAAGCATCGGAAACAGCCGACGGCACCGCGGCCACCGCCAAGGAGACCGCCGGATCCCTGGGCCAAACCGCTTCAGATACCACCGACAAGGTCAAAGAAGGACATAGAGGCGTGGAAGACAATGTCGAATCCGGCGCCAAGGACGCGGTGGGCCAAGTCCGAAACGCCACCGGCACGACGGACGCAACGGAAGATGCGAATAAAGGGCTTGAAGACACAGTGGGCGCTACGAAGGGGACGGCGAGGGGGGTGGAAGACGCGGCGTCCGAGACCGGCGGCAAGGTCGTCGGAGGAGTGGGAAAGGCGAATACGGAGGGGGCGACAGATGCGGCGGGGGGGGTGAAGGATGGAGTGACGGGGACCGTAGGGAGTGTAGGGGAGGGGGCCAAGGGGGTCGCGAGCGGGGGGACCGACACGGTCAAAGGGGGCGTCGGGGCGCTGGGGAGCGGGGCGAAGAGCGCCGGTGGTGCGTTGGGAGGGATGACGGGGTTGGGGGGCCAGTGAGGCGGAAGAACACGGCTGAGGATGTTGATAGGAGATGAGCAATGACCTAGGTACCTTATAGTACCATTAGAATGATATTTCGCTCATGGCATGATCTATCTGTGCACAGGAATTGCAGTAACTTAGATGGCGTACAATACAATCGTCGAAACCATCCCGCTCGAGGAAGAATCTGGAGGACTCATTATCATGGCTACTTTACTTTACTTTACTTTATGCTCCGGAGGTCACGCCTGCATGCTGCCATGCGCAAGAACCGTGGTTGACCGATCCTACTGTACGTTCTTTTGACATCATGACATCACTATGCATGAATGAACGCCTCAGGATAGTTTCTTGAGATCTCATCTGACACCGTCTATTCATTTGTTTATTCATTTATCTATTCCTTCGACCATCAGCTAGATACTTGGAGGATCGTTGGGTTCGTGGGATTCGGTTTGCATTTTCCTGTCCAACAGCGGCACCTGCTTCGAGTTCCAGCATGAAATCCTTCGTGGAGGTCGCCGAGTTCTATGAGCACCTAACCCATCATATCGTCCCAGGGCCCAACAGCTACAGCTACTTCGTTCCCTTCCTGCTTCTCCCACTCGCTTTACTCACACCGCCATCTGTGTTGTCCCGGAGTCAACTGGCTTTCCTGTTTCTGCCTGCCATATTTGCCTGCCAAATCCATTCCTGGTACGCCGCCGGCATCGATGTCATCTCCGTGGACCTGGCCCTCTGGAGCTTCGTCCTCCTGGTATGTCGAGATCCGCGCAAGACACACCGGCGCATATGGATTTCCACACCTTCGGTTTCCGATGAGAAACGCCCGAGCGAAACGGTAGAAGATATCGTTGTCGAAGAAGCGTATCCCGAAAAAATGGCACAGCGGATTCCTTGGGTCTTCACACTGCTAGTATCTCTGCGACTAACGGGATGGAAGATTGGTGATCCTTCTCATGATAAAACCCAGCCACCAGCAAGACTCAGCAGATCAGCCTTTCTGAGGCACGCAGTAAAAACCGTTGTCCAGAGCTATCTCATCCTAGACGCCGCAGCTTTCTACGCTTGGACGGATCCTTACTTCACCACGTCTGGCATGGAAGTCGACCAGCCGTTTCCTCCCCCAAACGCGCAAATGGCAACCTGGCTCGTCACGTTAAGACTGCTGCCTCCACGGTTTCTCAGATCCTGTGTTCTTGCAGGACAAATCTATGCCATGGTGACCGGCATGTTCTATGTCCCCCTAATCCCAATGGTAGGACTGAATGCTGTTGGTATTCTGCCATACGAGTGGAGTCCGCACACATGGCCACTGCCCTTCGGCCGATTTTCAGCTATACCGGAAAGGGGACTTCGCGGTTTATGGGGTGACTGGTGGCATGGTGTAAATCGGCAGTTTACTGCGCCTCCAGGACGATCGTTGGCTCAGGCATTGGGTATCCCAACGAAGTCGATAACGGGGTTTGCGCTGTTAATGATATCGGCGTTTTTCTTTTCCGGTGTCATGCATATGGGGCTGATTCCACCAGAGCCGGAAACGAGTCTGGTGTCTCCGCGCTGGATGAGATTGCATATTGCGGGCTTCTTTTGGGCTCAGATACCAGCCTTTGGCTTGGAGCTCGCGGTGTCGAAGCTCGTTGCTCGCTTCATCCCGCAAGCATTGGACTGGTCAATGACGAGGGCGCTAGTGATAGCCTGGACGGCTGCATGGCTGTGTCTGACTCTACCGCTTATGGCTGTCCCATTCCGGGAGCTGGGTTACTGGCACTATCATCCGGTGCCGGTGAGTCTGCTGCAAGGACTCTCAGGCAAAGGCTTATGGACGTGGACCTGGTGACCCTGATATAGGGCCGGCGAGGGTAATTGTAGCATTGAATAAGCTAAGGACACGGTGTCCCCAGGCTTGTAGAACATAAAGTCCTTACTTGAACTTCTGGTCCTTGCGAATTCGTAATGCACACCCTAGTCCATACCCCCCAGACCATCGCCGTTGGCGTACCCTCGGCTTGATTGTTCTGGAAGTGTTTCACGGTTCGTCCTCTCGCACTTCAGATGTCTTTTGCGTCACTACTCGCGGCCTAGACTGTTCTTCTCCGCTATCTTCACCGTTATAGCCAAAAACCCTTCCAATGATCCCAGGGGGCTTTGGAACAGGACATTCATGTGCCTTCTTCCTCATTATGGCCTTCTCCTCTTCTGAAATGTATAGAGGCATCTGCTTTTCTCTGTCTGCCCCAGCGCTCCCGTCGATTGGAGCATCTGTAGTCCGCCGCCGCCTTCTCCGCCTCCCATCTTCCATAACCTCGAATTCCGAATCTGCAAACTTGACGCGGGGCGCCGGGCATGGTATAATGTGTGGCATGCCGACAACTAGGAAGGAAATGAGGAGGGTAGTGCCGAAGAGGGAAGTTGTGAGGCGGGATCGAGGGTGGAGGTGGGGTGTCATGGCTAAGGGAGTGGAAAAGGGTTTCAAAGCGGAGACTGAGAGCTCATGCTGTTGCCATTGTGAGAAGCCGGCCACTAGATCTTTACAAAGGAGGAAGTGATAAATTTGCATAGGCTCTGTCTGTGATCCAGTTGTCACAGGTTTGGAGGTGTTGATGGAGATTGAGGGAATGAAAGCTTCCTTGACTTCCGTTGGAGCCAAGACCGACAGGGATGTGGCAATATATTGCGCTAGCGGACCTCTGCTCCATCTATTGTGCTTCCTGCACCAATGACCTCTTGACTGGTCTAACATTGCCTATACATCTATTTTGTTTCGATCATGTCCAATTGACAGTTGGATAAGGTCGGCCGGAATCAACAAGCTCTCTCACCGCGTGCCAGCCCCCTCCACTCTTCCCCGTCGATATTTCCTCACTCTTACCCTACCTCGAACGCCTTGCGAGTCTGGACTGGATCCCGTGTACTAGTCATACAAACCGAGGAGCAGTCTTAGTATTTGTCAGCAAAGCGCCTCCATCCATCTAAGCAGCTGACGAGAGAGAGACCTCGCAGTCCCGACTAGCCACGGGCAAGAAGGGCGACGATGAGTGACCTAGACAAGTACTGATCACCCATCCTACTAGTCCACAGGCGCTCTTATTGATAGATGCATACAGGGCCATTTCGGAACTCCGCGCCTGCAAAATCATCCCCGAACCCCAAGTCCGCGAGATTTGCCACAAAGCACGCGAGCTGCTGATCGAAGAAGCCAACGTTGTCCAGGTCGACGCACCTGTCACGATATGCGGAGATATACACGGACAGTTTCATGACCTGATGGAACTGTTCAGGGTAGGAGGAGATGTGCCAGACACCAACTACCTTTTCATGGGGGACTTCGTGGACCGGGGCTTCTACTCGCTCGAGAGTTTTCTGCTATTACTATGTCTCAAGGTCAGATATCCGGATCGGATAACGCTGATAAGAGGGAATCACGAATCACGGCAGATCACGACTGTATATGGATTCTATGATGAATGTCTACGGAAGTATGGGAGTGCGAATGTATGGAGATATTGCTGTGAGGTGTTCGATTATCTGGCTTTAGGGGCGCTGGTACTAGGTACGAGTTCAACACTGGAGCCATCATTTACGGACAAGTCACAAGCAATTGAGCCGGTGGACGATGATGTGGAGATTGAGATCATGAACTCCAGGAACGAGGTGACGGCAAGATTCCCCAGGAGCAGACGACGCTTGTTCGAAAGTGACGGTCTCAACTCCTCTCCTCCTGGAACGCCTTCGAAGACTGGCCCTTCAGGTACTGGAGCTACAAGTGACAGTGGAGGCTCGCATCATAGTGGAGGAGCAGTGCTTTGCGTGCACGGGGGGCTCAGCCCATTGATCGATAGCGTCGACAAGATAAGGCTTTTGGATCGAAAGCAAGAAGTCCCCCATGAAGGTGCCATGTGCGATCTTTTATGGAGTGATCCGGATGAGATCGATAGTTGGGGCCTCTCGCCACGAGGGGCAGGCTTTCTCTTCGGACCAGAAATCGTCAAGCGCTTCAACCATCTAAACGACCTCTCCTTGATAGCAAGAGCACATCAACTCGTAATGGAAGGATTCAAAGAGATGTTTGATTCAAGTATAGTTACAGTCTGGTCAGCACCAAATTACTGCTATCGTTGTGGCAATGTTGCGGCAATCCTGGAGCTGGGCGAGGATACCAGCAACGGCGGAGTCATTGCGAGGAGTAATGGTGACGCCGGAAGGAGTGCTCAGGCGTTCATGCCCAATCTAGCACCTAGGTCAGGTCCTGGAAGAAGGTATAGAGTCTTCGAAGCTGCTCCGCAGGATCCAAGGGGAATGCCGGCAAAAAAGCCGGTGGCTGACTACTTCCTGGTGCGTACTTTGGCTCAGTCGCCTTGCGCACTTGCTGACCTTCCTCCAGTGAGATTCGTAGCGCACTCATGCTGACACAAATATTTCTCCGGCGACATTCGTAGTTGAGCAGGTTCCCTGTTGAAGCCTTGAGATACCCATTTGACGCGCGTCTTCATGCAAAGCAGGCGCCTGATTGTGATACATGGCATGACCTTTTACCAAGGCCGTAGGCTTATGAAGTGCTAGATATTGCATTACCAAAGAGTTGGCATAGCTCCGCATCATTTCAGGTGCACAACTGAGACGCCATGGTTGAGATTGCTCCTGGTAATTGCTTTTCGTCTCATTCGCGTTCTCCGTGTTTACCTTGTTCTACCACTATTACCAGTTGCGATTTTCGTCGATGCTGTTGTCCGGTACTTGCCCGAAATGGAGCAATCAAGGGCGGAATCAAGCGATGCAAGATCCCAAGGATGATTCTCCAGAAGTTCCTTTTCATAGACCATCACACGCTCAAGTCCTTTTTGTTGCTTCATTGGCCAGAGCTGGGACGGTTACTGATTCCTGGACTATCTTTTTTTACTTCGTTTGGGTGCCTCTTGACACTCCCTGGTACATTTCTCCATATTTTACCTGCTTGTCCATCTAACCACCATCTCGGACTCCGTTATGGTCCTCGAACTTGGAGGGTTCATCGAACTCGACAACGAAATCTGTCCGCCACGCACGGCAAGAAATCCACGAAGTGGAAAACTAGCACTGTGCATCGAAAAAGACGAAGTCATTGTATACGAATTGCGGCCTCACAAGGTTTTAGAATTCTGATGCACCAATATCTCTAGTCCCATGGTCACTGTCACCGCTCGTGATATCTCGCGCAACGCCACTGTACAGTTTAAGATCCTCGAGCCCGCACAAATAGTGGACCTTGTAGGGACCAGGCACTGGGAGTATCTTGTGGTACGCTTCAATTCGTCAACTGTTCTACTAGGTATCGATTGCATGCTAATATTGAGCACGGCGTTCTGCAGCGCGAAACAAATAGAACCGCCTCAGGCACTACCAGTGACGGTATGGAGGTGAGGTTCAAGGTTATTGGAGTCGGGATGGGCGTTACACTCGGCCCATTCTTTGGACTTGCGGAAAGACAGGGGTACCCAATCAGTACGTACTTAGCCCGGCGAAGTACTCCTGTTTGACCCCACGACTACGTGCCAATGCGGTTAAGATCAACGCTGAAAATGAGTTTTAGTTCTAAAGATATTCGAGGCTCTGGGTAAATATCAAATCGTAGGTTGCTCCGTCGGCGACTGGTGATATTCGCATTGAAATGGACGCCATGTTATGACCGCTCGCAGCACTTTCCCGTTTGAATATCATTTGACAAGTTGCATATGAAGGCGCCATCACTTGCATGATCTGATAGCCCTATCTTCGCATGTTTTCCATTGACGGTTGCATCCCTTCGCCGCCCGCACCGTTTTCGTACTGCGTTCTGCGGAGGTCGGTAAGCTTCGAGGCAACTTCGCTCCTCCGAGAGACAGCTTTTCCTGACCCATCCTACCTCATTCTCTCTCGCTCTCTTCCTATGCAAACACCCGTTTTGAGTCTAGGCATTTGTTTAGCTTGGAGTTATATATTTCATGGTGCCCTCCATAGATCACTATGCCTCCTATCATCACTGCTGAGCTGTTGAGAGATCTGCCTCGCTGATGTACCATCGCGCCTACCCCTTAGCCCGTTTGAGTACCCATTATCTGCACTGTAGACCGCACCTTCACCATGTCCGAGCGCTTCGTCATCGGACGTATGGATCCTTGCTCCTCGACCATTTTTCTCACCAAGGCTGAGCCGTCCTTCGCCGAAGAGGAGGAAGAGCCACTGGACATCGGATCCTGGCTTACTCTCTACCAAGGAGATGGCCCTCCTCGGACCGCCATACTCTGCTTCGAGCCGAAGACCAAACGGGCAAAGGACATCAAGGAGGGCGATGTCATCCTCAATGATGGCAATCCCTACAGAGTCTTGAACGCTCCGGGTCTACCAGATGCTGACGGCGAGATTTCAATACATGCCTATGATATCTTCGCCGATGAGGTGACCGATTGCATTACAGACGACACCGAAGAGATTACGATAGTCGCGACCTGGCAAACTAGATACTCCGTGGTACGATTTTCGCTCTCAGCGTGGACTGCCGTGGAAGGCTGCTGGTCTGATGCTAACGAGCTGGCCCCGCAGCGAAATGTTCCGCCCGCCGAGGTCATCTCTGGCACTCTGGTCCTGCAGAAGCAGGAAGGTTGGGTCGGAGACAATCCGGAGAGGGTATTCAAGCTTCCTGGGGGCAGATTGGGCCCTTCGCTTCTTTACTTCTTCAACGCTGCAAAATTGTGCCGTATGCCCATTAGTAGGTTTTGCAAAGTGGCAGAGCGTATGCCTTTCAGCTAATGGGAGTCACAGCTCTGTTGATATATGAGGTCATGGGCAGATTTAAACTCGTTGCGTTCGGTGTTGGGGACTGGGAATCGCTTGGGTAGGTTGGGGGATGGGAAGATGCTGTGCTAGGGAGGAATAGGTCAAGCTTTTGCCTCTCAGCTTACTTGGTGGCATGATAGAGATGCGGCCAATCGGGTGATTCCTGGTTAAATATTCAGCTGTCATCGTCACTGTTCCGCGTGCCCGTCCTCCATTTGCTATTGTCGCCGGCGCTGCTTTTCGTTGCTGCTTCACGATATGTAGACCAGGGAACGCTGTGTGACTGCAAGAACTTCCATAACCCTAGGCTTCTCTTTCTGCTCCTTCGCATCCCCCAAAACCCTGCATCGTTCTCCGACCTCTTCACATCAACAGGTGTTGCTCAGAACCGCGGTTGTACAACACACTTCGAAACCCACACCCAGATGTCTCAGCACTCGGTCTCTCTCGAAAGGGACAAACACGATATGGGCGAACAAGCTACGGAGGAAGAAGATACGGAGGAAGAAGAGATGGACAAACCATTGGAACTAGGAGGCTACTTGACCCGCGTGGACAATCAACCTCCCACCACCACACCAACAGAGACTGCCGCAAGGGACCTCTCAGTAGGCCAAGCCATCCTCTTCCGAGGCCAACCCTGCGAGATCGTAGGCAGAACCGACAGCTTGGCCCAAGCCGGTCCCCTAGCCTCGCGACACAAAATCGCACTCGAGATGATCGAGTTGTTCGACAAAGGAGCATTGGACCCGCTAGTCGTCAAAGCTACCGAGAAGCTCAAGCTCGTGCCCATCGCCCGCGTGAGATATACCGTGGTAGGCATCCTCTTTCAACCCCGATGACTCTGGGCCGTGGTGGGAAGGACATCTTCACTGACCCTCTCGACAATCAATCGCAGATCGGTCTCGACGGAGAGGTTATGACGTTGCAGAAACAGCACCTCAGCCCCGCGCGGAGAACCGTGGCCGAGTTCCATATCTCCGGAGGCAAAATCGGCGAGGACCTGGCTGCTTTCTTCGCCCAGTGCGACGACGATGAGGGCAGGCTTGGAATCGGTATCAGTAAGTCGAGAATCTATTGCTTCGTCCAACTTCAAACTACATGGCTGACGGGCGGTGAAGCCCTGCTGATTCTGGAGGCTGTGGGGAAGTTTCAGGTCATTGGGTTCGGGATTGGTGATTGGGAGCGGTTGGCATAGCTGGGGCAGGTCCTCTCCCTGACCAAGCGTCGCTGGCCGGCGGAAGCAGCCGTGTGGCTTTGTTGGTTTTGGATTTAACTCGTGGGACGTCTTTGAATCTGTGGGGTTGAATCAGGACAGCTCAACAATTCAGAGTCTATTTTCTGCTCTAGCTACACTCGAAACCTCCAATCTCGTTCACTCACAGCCTCGAGAGATACTAGAAACCACGCCCTCCGCCCATTCACTCCCCTTAACTAGATCTTCGTCCCCAATGTCCCCCATTCCAGATCCGTAGTCGGCAACGCCGCCGAGAAATCAGGATTGAGATCATGGTCCAAATGCCGATATGCAAAGCATCTGGATCGAACCAGTATCAGACATTGGCAAGTATGGGGCAGTACTTGCTGATTCAACCCCCCGGTGTCCTTCGACCCGGCGTTCTGCAAGCATGTGTGGCCTTTTAGCAAGACAAGGAACGGATCTCGGACCATCGAATCCGTCTTAATACTAATCCAACACCTTCAAATAAAGCTGATTGACATCCTAGTCTTATTCCCTTGTTGAACGTATACCCCATAACACGCTTCGGGGATGGGTAGTGGCCAATGTGCCTTTCTTGGGGGATACATTGGCAAAGCACGAAGATCCCGGAATGGTAACGAGCTAGGAAAAGCGATTGGTGATTATACCTCCAATAACTAGACGTCAAAATCGGAGCTGCCTCTTGCGTTGTTATTGATTGAGAACAAATGAGGACAGCTTCATAAACCAGCACAACGCCTCCAGTCATTTCAGCTTTAACGCTAGAGGTCTTGGCTATCTACACTGACGCAGAATGATTTCAACACAACGATTATCGGTAACGTCACATATCCGAATGAATCACCCGATACCAGAGGGTTCGGGATTCTTGCCCCTTCACTCGAGTGAAGGAAACAAGCACTACTGACAAGGTCCTCCGTGGTTAGAGCTTCTTCGCACATAGATGAGACATCGATCAAAGATTTCAACGGGAGTACAGAAGTGTGATATATCTTTCGTAGCAAGTTTTTCGTCCTTCCTCTCCCTCCCTTCAACATAACCATTCATGAACTCACGCTAAGCAGTGTCTTACATCCAGAAGCGGCGAAAACCCGGAAGGTCAGGAGCGCCAACCTCGGGGTCGCGGGGAACCATTCTTTCGACACGAGGATTCCAGACAAATGGTGAGGGGGACCTTCAAGCGTGGGATTTCAACGCTGAGGTGAATCCGGCTGGTGGGTCGCTGACTGTTTTTGATTTCGCGGGTTTGAGGAGACTGATGGTGTCAGGTGACAGAAGTAAATGGTATGAAGCTGAAGGGTCGAGAAGAAGCTTACCGCGTTTTGACTGGGCATTAGGCAGAACTCTCGATTTGCTGGTTAGGGTCTGATGCGAGGACTGCGATTATGGAGAGTGGAGAGGCGATGTGGAGGGTGGTCTGTGCCATCTTTACAAAGTCTCTAAATGGTTCTCGACAGGTTCCTTCCAAGTCCTCAAAGGTGTCAAAATGTAGTTCTGGAACCGATAGCTGTAGCTTCACACGCAGGCGCGGGCTTGTGTGAAAGACTCACATGGATGGAACTCCGGTACTGAACGCCTCGGCTGTGTGTGGTGAATTTCTGTATCTGTCGAATGGCAGGGTCTTTTAGCAAAATGATTCCGATGCTCGCAACGCTCGCAGGTGAGCTAAAATTGGAAAGACAAGGATACTTTTTCGTACAATATCGTCGCATCCAATCACCTCCGGCAAGCGTCCCCTTGCCATTTTCGTCTTTACACGAGTTATAACCTGAAGGCTTATTCTACTCTCTGTCCCCTTGCTCCCCCTCTGATCCACGCTGTCGGCCGAAAGCTTCAAAATGAGAGTTCCCTCTGTCAGCGTAACGTCAGCCTTTCCAGGCTTGACGCCTGCTCTGTTGGCAAAGTACACAAAAGTACTCTCGTTAGAAATCTTACGGAAGTCAACGCTGACGGAGCCCAGCTCGAGGAGTACATCCGCGCCACCAACCCAGCCCCCAACGGCTCCAAAGACCTATCTGAAGTTCTCAAAGGCGACATCATATGCCTAGAGGGCTCACCGTGCAGAATTTCAGGCGTTAGCTCCACAGGGAGGCTCACAATAATCGAAGGAGCCAGCCTCATTGACGATATGCCATACGCTGCCAGGTTCAACCACTGCTACGGAGTCACCGTAAGCACCTTCTCAGGACAACCAGAACTCTCGCAATGCCTAGTCGTAAGTGTTTATCACCCAGCAGCGGAGTATTGACCAGAGCTAAAGAAAGTGCAACTTAGTACGGAATTCGAGAAAACAGAAGGGGGACTATCATGGAGCTCGCTTTCACCTACCGTGAAGCCGAAACCACGTTTGAGATGCAGATTCCGGACAACGAACTGGGCGAAAGCGCCTATCGACAGTATGAATACACGCTCAGCCGCCCTTCTGTCTGGGCCGTCGTGTTGGTATCGAGCTGGGGCGAGCAGAAGAAGCTTCTTGGGTTCCGGCTGAACGTCGAGCGAACCTGGCATGTTGCGCCCGGATCGAGCCACTGGTGCGAAGACTGCGTTGCTCCGTGTGGGTTTTTGTAGGTCAGTGTGATTCGTGGTACGGGAACGCGGCAATATCGCTGGGGGATGCATGACCCTGTGCTGCGGTACTTGTTGGGAGATTGTTCATAAAGTGCGCGATCATGGGAGACTGATGTGGCTCACTCAATCAAATGCATAGGATTCGGCCCCAGTCCTGACCGACAACCACCCGTAACAGTAATGCTGCCCCCATGAAGGGTCAGGTTTTCAATCGAGAGCCCATAGTTGATGCCATTACGAGTCTCAAACTCATGACCCTGCACTTCTTACTTGGGAAGAGCCCGAGATTAATAGATTTCGCATGATCCAGCGATACAAGCCAAGAATCGCCAGCATTGTCAAGGCAATAACCCCATATATTACTTTCATCCTGAAGCCTGCGCTCATCCTCGAACCCTGAGCTCGATAACAAGCTGTAAAAATGTGGCGTTTTCAAAGACCAAAGGCGATCATCAGTTGCATCGTCAAGGTCGCGACCTTTGAGCCCCGAGACGCTCGTTACAATTGAACCACGCGTGGAGAACCAGGTTCCCGCAGTATACAAGGGAACTCGGCGCGAAGAAAAGAACAATGCCGATGTTGTCTGTGAAGATTAGGACCTGGCAATCAATACGATTAGTGGGAAAGATTGTAAACATGGCTGTTATGGACTCCTCGATCCTTTATTGGGAGCTAGAAGGAACGTAACAATGATCAAGGTTTGAATAAACATGATAAATCAGGGGACTGCGATGCGACTGCTGCCCAAATCATTGGTTTTTTGTTACCATTACCGCAACGTACGCGGAATAGGTCCTATGAGAATTCCAGTTGCTAACAAGATTTCAAGAGTCAGAATAACACTTTCGACGTCGCGACTTTTAATGTTAGACGCATTCTGCACCTTTTTCCGAGCAAAGGATGCTGCGCATGCGCATTCTCCACTCCTGAAGTGAATCGATCAGACACGGCATGACGATTAGGATGATAAGGTCAGGGTGGATGATGTGAGTCTTATGACATTCAGCATGAAAGGTATGGCTAGATCAGTGAGGAACCGGTTCGCTGACGGCAAGAGAGTGGTTGCGCAAGGCGGCTTGGAACTCCAGGCGGGCTAGTCGAGCGGCAATGGGGAACAGGATGGGCTGGAGGGACCGCACGCGTACATAGGGATCGACGAAGTCAGGAATTGGTAGAGCTTTTGGTTCTACTGGGAGCTTGAGGTTAGTCAGGAAAGGAGTATCATGTGGCGAGGGAAAGAGGGGATCGTTGTGCGGGTGCTTAAAAGTGTCTCGGTGGGCGGGGTGGCGGTGGCAGGGGGGTTGGTATGGTCACATTGTGGCCCAGGTGGTTGGTCTTCTCCCTTTCTATTGAGCTATCCTCAGCAAGAAAAAAAGAGCATTCGGTCATTATGTGTAGCTGCCGCTCGCAGCTTCAAAGTTGCAATGCTTCTCAATGGTAGATGCTGAGATTCGAAAGGGAGGACCAGATATCTTTAGTGGCGGTGCATCTGCATCTTATGTGTCCTTGTCTGTGTGGTCTTTACGTGGTCGCATTTCAAGCGCCTCCGATGTTCACAGATGCCTTCCCCGCCAACGATCCCTTTCGCATTGCTCTCTGTGCACCGCAATCACAAGACCGGCCGAGAAGCGCGCCCGACGGTAAGTTACGTCATGGCTAGGTGGTAGTGTCCGGCAGTGGGCAATCCCCTCCTTTGAGTACATATCTGTTGACGGCTATGCCCAGTTTGTGAGCTTGCGACAATGTCGTTTCATTGGATCTCGCTGAATCCCAGGACGTGTCGACAGCCCAGCATTGATAAATAAGGGCTGAAAAGAAAGAGCCAGCCCACCAAGAGCCAACGGCGCGGAACTCATCGAGTTTCGCAGCGTCCCGTATCCGAGGCAGCGCCAAAGTCCAGTCGCCAGGTGCGAGCTTAATGTTGTTCAGTCCAAGCTCCTTCAGTGTCCCTCCATGTCTCTTCAAGAACTCGATCAATTGATCCTCGCCAGTAGTGATTGTGTCAAGTTCAACTATCCTCAGAGATGCCCAGGTAGTGGTCCCAACTATGAAGTCAAGGTCTATACTGTCGGTTTCTTCCGTACAGAAACTCAAGGTCTTGAGATCCTTCGCAGCCGAGAGCAGCTCACACATCTGATGCTTTCGTGAGACTTGGTAGCAGTCATAAACTTGAAATAGGAAAGCGCGGTAATCGAGATACCCCTGACCCGTGTGGAGTGTGATGCGGAAGGAGTCGAGGTGCTTGAATGCGGGTTCTATTCTCCTCATGTATATCCCCTCTAGTAGTTCCAAGAACTCCCAGCTTATCTTGCCACAATCGAGGGACTTGAGCTTGGTTCCTGCGGAGGCGACACCGACAAGTACTGAGCAAAGCTGCATCAAGCCATAAGGACATCTGTGGCCGTCATCTCCTCTTGGTATATAAAGAGTCTCTGCATACGCGCGCTTGAAGGCATTTGATCGCGTGCCTGCTCCGTGTTCGAAGTTCAACGTGACTTCTGCCAGCTTCGGCAGCCGAGCCACAGCTTGCACCACCAGGCCGAAGTTGTACCTATCTTCCTGCGAACGAATCGACATTTGATCCGAACAGACTGCCTGGTAGGATTTGTACCTCTCTAACGTTTCCGCTTTGATTCCCTCCAGCTCACTGCCGCCGACGAGCTGTGGACAGTCGCCTTCATCTTCTTTCCCTACTTCACCAAATGGCCTGCAATCCCCTATGAAAGACATCTCGTCAGTACCTTTCACCCATCCCTCGTAGCATCCCTCGTAGCTCTCATGGTACTCCCCAAAGGTATTGGGATCATATTGGAGACTCTTGACGTGTTGGCTGTAGATAGGGTGTTCGGAAATGGTCCGCAGTCGCTTGAAGCTTTGACTCTGGAACGTGAGGTGGATCTCTGGCAGGAGATGCTCGGCTCCTGCATCAGAAAAGGCTTTGTTGATGAGACGCAGCTGCTTGATGTCGCGAGGTCCATGAGGGTTTGCGTCGCAATTGCGGAGGTTGAACGCGATCATACACTTGACCTCTATTGGAAGGTCGTTCATAGTACGTGTGTGTGAAAGGAGGCTGGTAGTGTGTCCGACTGGTTCATTGAACGGGCCCAAATGTCCTGATGCCTGGAACTCCATGGTGTTTTAACGAAGGTTGACTCAGACCGATGAAAGTTTGAACGTGGGACAGTAGATCAATTCAATAACACTCAGTACGGCTAGCGGATCGCGTTTAACACCTGACTTTTACCCGGCTGGCTTAGTCAGCTTTGTTGACATCTCCGTATTACAGCCAATCACTCTATGAGACACTCTTTAACTCTCGAGATGTCGTTTTCACGAGACTATACACCCCAGAAGTCTTAGGAACTTGCATTTTGTCTAGAAGTATCAAGATATATCATGAATTCAGCCTACAAGGGTCGTTAAAAACTCGGATATCACCTCGTGAGGTAGTAATTCATACCCCTTCCTGAAACATACCCTCTGGGTGCATTATCGGGGCAGTCCGGGGGCAAGTGTGAATTACTACCTCACGAGGTGACACATTAGGCTACCAGTTGTCTCACTTTACATAACATCGCTTCTATTCCTTCGTTAGTTGTCCCATTCATGAAAAACACGCATCACATGCACACATAGGGGCCCACATAGAGTGTAGATAGTGGTTGGGCCGTTTCACGCCGGGGATAGTAAGCCTGAATAGGCCTAAATAGAGGCCCGAACAGGCATATTTCTCATACCCCAGCGCAAGAAAACTCCCATATCTATGGCATAGACCTGGAGTGAAAGAATAGCTAGCTATGTACAGGTGTGGGCGGTTGGGACAAAACATATGTAATGGCTCTGAAAGAGACGATATCGAATGAAGAGCAATTGACAGGTGCAAAACAGGTGGCTACCTAGCTCGTACTGGACACCTGTCTCCGACCCATTGCCCTGAAACAGGGGCATATCATGTGACCCACTAACCCCCAGTCCCATCGTGGCGAATCGAGAAATATTCATAAATGCATCAGTGAAATCGAGATCGGATTACAGGACTTAAAACCTCACGGTACTCTTCATGATCAAGGCAACCAACTCAGCACTAGCGCACATCTTCCTCTGAACTGCATTCGGCTCACCCCGACTATATCATCTGTGCCGGTCGTGCTCAAAAGAACAAGGTCGAACCAGGAGGTGTTGAACACTGTAAGGCTCCGTGTAAGCATTGCAGGCTCTTCGAAGCGTCGAGCCGCCTCACAATTATTCATCACGGCTCCGCAGTCCTTTGCGGTGGCCCCTATGGTTGCGTAGGTAATGAACTTTCTTTGTGGACGCAGCAGGATAGGAACACGGCTGATCGATATTACCGCAAGGAGGGGGAGAGCTAATACAACGGCGATATTGATCTGATTCATTCTTAGAGATATGTAAAGAATTAACAGTCTCAAGTTGGAGGAAAATTGGTGCAATCGAGACTGCTACGGGAGGGTGAGACAGGCAGACTTGATTGGTTTGAATTCCCACGTCAGATAGCTACCCGTGACATGCAACTAACAGATGTTCCGGGACATCAATAAGTAAGAGAAGCAGGAGCTACAGAGACGCGGGTCATCAAGCTTGATTCAAAAGCGTACTCGGGCCCGGGCTCTGTTTGTATCCGCTGGGACAGCAACAGCCGACGTCCTCATCACTGTCTTCCTGATCGTTGAACTTTCATACTTCCCTGTTCTCTCAGAGCACGGAATAGTTGCAGATTTCAAGATTAACAGAATCTGAACATGAAGAGCGAACATGTAACGCGCTCGAGATAATAGCCAAATGAAATTTAAAGTTCAAAGCCTTTTCTTTTGTCGTCTTTGAGAAGAAAAAGGCGGTGGTAGAGGACAGGGCGCTTCAGCTGAAGTCAATCTGTAGTCAATGTAATCTATCGCTCAAGCGATACCGGCAACAGTCTAGGTTACAGCTACTTGATTCGGGCACATCCCATCACTGTTCGAAGCCGGGCGTATATCTCCCCCACAAGCTAGATTGCAGTAGCATTGTGGAGGTCCATGCTCAATCTGTGGCAACAGCTCGCCGGGGAGCTGGATACGTTGAGGCACGCATGCACTCGTTGTGGGAGACGGGACTGGAGGCGCGGGTGGCGCAACGCACTTGATGCTCAGACTCGGCGCTTCGGTGTATATGGGTGCGGTGAGATCGGCGGTGAAGGTCGGAAGGGTCGCGGTTCCGACGGTGACGGGCTCGGAGAGGGTGAGGGTTGCCGTCGCGGTTGCAGACAGCGACGCCGGGCAGGAGCCGAGGAAGAGCAGGTTGTGGGAGCATTCGCAGAATGGTGGGCCCCAGGTTGGGGAGCCCGGGGTGAAGATGATGAGGGTGCATTTTATGTCGGTTGTGGGTGCTGTTGCTTTTGGGGGAAGGGTGGTGAGGGTTGTGGAGGCTACCTGGTTGGGGCAGTCCGAGTAGGATTTCTGAGCTTTGCGGTGGTTCCAGGTTTTGTCGGAACATTAGCAGACGAAGGAGTTGGGGTCGGTGGCGGAGAAGAAACTTGGGTACAGGAGGGTGGGGATGGCGTGGATGTTGCTGATAAGGAGCTGGTTGGTGTTGAATGTGCTGGCGAGGCGACGACCGGGGTAATGGGGGTGATTGGTGCTGCGAATGTTGGACACCAGTAGCTTGTGGTGCCTGGGGCGAGTATGGTCGTTGAAAAACCCGCTATCAGTGTGCCGCAGGTGCAGTATTTCGGTGCTGTAGCTGTGGAGGTCTTTGGTTATATGGTACTCGTTTCACTAATGGCGGCAGCTTACCTCGTCAAGACACACGTCGAGTTCATTGGAGCGGACGGTTTAGGCCGACTAGTCATGGACGAAGCCGCAAGATGCACGTTGTCGATATATGAGAATATCTGGGTAGCGACGGATGAGAAAAAGCTGTCTCTAGACGCGTTTGCCATTGTGGTGGGTTTTTGGGAAATGATAACTGGCTTGCGGAGGGTGGTGGGGTAGGGAAGCTGGTCCCAATTGCCTTCATTTCGTCAACGAGAGTATTGAGAACCATGTTGCAGACTGTGCTGGCTCCGATTGATGGTATCTTGATGACGGTTGAACTTGTGCAACAAGCGCCGGACATTGTTGCGGAGACGATGAGAGAGTGGAGGTCCGCGATGGAGAGTGAGTGGTTGTAGATTCGGAAAGGCAATTCGGATTTGATGGGGTTGAGGCTGTGTTACTCGGGTGTTGATCCTGGTCCGGTTCACCTTCCGACGACCCTTTGGGCGGTTTCGGTGTCGGGGCTTCCATAATCTCGACACCTATTCCTCCTCCGTCGGGCCCAAGACCACAGATGAATTGAAGCAAGATTGAACGCATGCCCCTACTGTCATGCCCTCTAAAGACAGCAGTGTTGGACGTTAAGATACTTGACCTTATGGTCAAATGAGAGCAAAGGTCCTTGCACTCAAGCAGGAAGGTATTAATTGGAGCATGACATGGCTCTGTGGGGCTGGAATATATTACATCCAAAGACGTACACTACTAGGGAAGGATAGAGGGACAGACAGATTTGGTGCACCAATGGAATCCATGATCACAGCAATAGCCGTTGGACAATATTCTTCAGTACCCTTAGCACGTGAAAAGAACCGATTCTATTCGACACCGCCTATTCTGGTTTATCTACCGGCTGCTTCTGCTTTACCATTTGGCAGTGAAGCGGAGCCTCAAAGTAGGTTTCAGAGTTCCACCATGTTCCATGTATAGGAGATAATTGGAGAATTTGTTGGCGTGGGAAAAGCCAACCGGGTACACCCAGAGCTACGTCAGAGAACAACAAAAAAGGCTTCGTGGGTCTTGAATCTTGATCTTCCTCTGAGCTAGGTCTTAATCATATATCTCAACATTTATACTACCATGATGAAGTATCCAGGGCAATGGACAATCATTGTTGCGGCCATGACGACTCTGATACGCTGCTTTTATGCGTTCGTCTTAAGTCCCGCCTGTGATCCATATGAGGAAGATATCAGCGTGGCATTGGGAGACGCCATCTATGCTGTTAGGCATGCTCTAAGTCTTGTCTCACAGTGAGCACGTGGTCTCCTGTCTCTAGGCTCACGATCCAGATCCAATGCTAACTCCGATAATTCCAACAGCCGGGTGTTCTCGTCGCTCTTTGTCCCGCCAAAATGGTCGAACGGTAAGTTGGTTTGGCCTGCTTCCAATTCTATTCCCTGGGATTCTATCTGAAGGTGGCGAGGACACCGAAGCAGTGACTGCTCTGATCCGTTCGTGCTTTCTCCACTACTCCCACGCAATTCTGATCTTTGGTTTTGAACGCACCGTCAGTGTTGCCCTCCGTTTATCACTCGACCCCAATAGTGACGCTGACCATTAATGAAGTAAATCGGGGACTTTCCAGCTGACCAATCAGTTCGACACCACCATCTATCCCGATATCGTTACCGCGTGGGGTGACGCGGAACTTTCAGATCCAACCCTCCCTTCGGATTATACACTGCTTTTCACATGCAATCCGAGCTCGTTCATGAAACTGACAGAGGGCTGGTGGGATACGGAGACTGTGGAGTACATGTGAACCCATAGGACCAAATGTGTGGGCGTCATGATGAAGAGTAAGAGGTGGTCCTGGAACATTTGCTGGCGTCTTGCGGGACAGTGGATGATTGTTGGGCATATCTACAAGGTCTCACAAGAGGAGATCGCAGAATCACTGGCACGGGTCCTGCAGCGCTAGCAGCATGCGAGGCGTGACCCTGACCACTGAAACATGCAGGCCATGCAGCTCTTTTGCCGTGCCCCACCACTCACCGGCTAAGAGTTACGTGTTCTACTTTTGGTCCCGGTTTCAGTGGTGGCCGATGAAGGCAAGAAGATTATCACAAACGGCCGCTCAAACCCTCGGCAGGCTAATTTTCCCGCTTCGTTGTGGCATGCAGGTGGTCAAAGCGCTGCATGCAGGAACGGAGAACTGCGATAAGCTGATAGGCTTGGCTTGGCTGGCAGATCGATGTCATTTTTCTCACTACACATCACGAACGTCTACGATAAAGCCCAAGACCTTGAGGTCCAATCATTAGAGTTCCTATGAATGCGAACGAAGAATAGAACCCGCCTCATTACAGAACTTTCGCAGTCATCGCGGAGGCAACGCCGAGATACCCTCAAGCAAAGCTTCGATTCTCATACACTTTTTTAGCCTAAACAGCTGCCACACTGAAAGACATCCGTCACACCTCCGCGCCCCAAGTCAAACATAGTCTTACGGCGATGTCACGCTCGGCACGCTACCCTCTCTGAAATCTGTGCTGGAACTTGATGAACCGCCGTCTACGAGTCTCAATGAAATGACCACTGCAATCTGTCTGGAATCATCCATGTAAATCACATCGAACAAATCTGCCATTCCCAAGCAAGCGCACTCCCACAGCCTCTCCGCGAAGCTGTGGACGAAACTCCAGGGGATTGAGTCGCCAATGGAGGAGAACCCCAAGTAAAAATTTCCTTCTTGGATGGCGAAATTGTCCGTTCGAGGTTCTGCTTGCCAAGCTCCGGCAGCTTTGATAGCGATGGAGCTGTAAAAGTCCTCGAGGGCTCTGGCGGCGCTGGCGACTGGCGTTATAAGACCAACGGTTGTGAAGGTCATCAGTCTCATCTTAATATTGAATGGAGTGGTGAAACTAGGAGGTGTGCGCTTCTCGAATAGGCTTGCTCTGGCTCTTGAGAAGAGCGCTCGTGTATCCCGTCCATGGTTGCGAGGGTCCCGTACGTCTTGCAATTGTGGTGGTTTAGGGATTGAAAAGTATCCACTGGGTGGCTCGGCCTTTGGCCTTGCCGTTGAGAGTGTGACTAAGGGAAGAAGGCAAATGAGTGAATATAAGAAGAGGGCTAAGGTATTGTGAAAAATGTCCATCGTCTCTTTATCATAAGAAGATCAACTAACGCTTATAGGAAGGTCGTCATACCAACTTCAGTCTTTGTCGAGATGGAAATAACGATCCGGATATTTGAAAAAATCCGTCTCATATAAGATACTGTGTTCCATGAAGATTGCGGTGGATACTTGAAGGACAACATGAGCAAGCCTCCTTTCAAGCACAGCCCTGTTCATCAACAGGTTTTGGAAGGAGTCCATAACAGAGCCATATATTTGCGAAGACATTTTTCGCATCGTACCGTCATGCACATCGCATGTGCTTTTTCCTTATAGAGCAGCGCACTGACTGTCAGAAACCCGGGAAAACGTTTGAATGGCATGAATTAGGGGCTGCTACCTTGCAGCCTTACTTCCGATCCCTAGAATGGCATTCGTCTTCATTTTTCGATGACCTGGAAAATGTGCCGAGCATGAGCCTTGGCTGCATTAGCTGTGCTGAGTGGCTAGAGTATATAGGCGTCATTCCCGACTCCAGACACTAGATTGCATCGCCTTCAGCGCCCAGGTCCGTGTGCTTCAAGTACCATGGACCAGTCAATTCGAGGAAGAGTCTGACCGTTGCTGAGAATTCATTGGTGGAGAGGAAATCCCGAATGGGAGGAAAATGAGGCATCTAGGAACACCCGAAATGCGACCCGCTGCAATGGTGTCGCAATTATCGGAAGCGCGTAGAGGATCTAGCCTCAAAGTTGTACAGGTTTGGAATCAAATTCTCGGCTGACTTGCCCTAACATTTGCCCGCATGGAGATCAAAGCTATGTGGCTTGCAGACGGAGAGTTTGAATGACGGACAATTGATCCTTCATCGGGCATTTCAATGCGTGGGAAGGATATTGGCACGGGAATTTGAACCTTGAACCATCCCAACTTATTGCTAACAAGCCCGAAGGAACCATGTTACGGGTGTGTCTGATCCAGCTCAGTGCACTGATCGAGCGACAATACCAAGATCCCAAACAGCCTTACGTGATGAGTACAAGTCTCTGCGCGGTTTCAAACTCACAATTCAGTGTGCGCCGCAGCCTCGTGAATCATTATGGCCACCTTACAGGTTTATTACAGCACATGCCCAGGTCAAGGGAGATCTCATGTCCTCCAGGGTGGCTCAAGCGTTTCCCGAAAACTCGGCTCAGGCGACTCCATAAGCTGCATTTTCGGCTTCCCCTCCCCGTCTCATTCGAGTCCGAGACAAACACAATTGGATGGCATCGGGCCTCCGGCATCTGACGCCGAGCGTTGGGTATCCCCTCAAATGGTAGCGGGTCTCGGATGCCGAAGACTGTTGAATTCGTGAAGTACATCTCCCTCCTTGAGTGCACAATACTACTTGCTCCTATAGATAGCCTTCAAGATCGACACGGCTTTCGTGCTCCATGACGTAACCCAGGATCAGGGCTACGAGACATGGGTGTTTATCTTCTCGTGAAGAGGGCGAAACGGAAAAGAGGCTTTCCATTTACTAAAATGTCCGTTTGATTACGGAGCTTGGCTTCGTAAGGAACGAATAATCAAACCAAACTTGTCAGTGAAGAAGTGAGCAGAAAAAGTGTGATCGAGATGCCTAATACAGCTTTATGCACCCAATATCTGAGACTCTCAGGGAAAGACAGGGCCAATAGCATCATACGTACCCGGCTGATATCATCAAACGCTCAGGGAGGCCCCCCACTCTGTCGACGACATCACTTAGACTCGCACAACATAGCCGCCCTGCTCTGTCATCGAATCTGTGGAGCGACAGCGACTACAGGAACACGCACGTCTACCTTACTCTGAGGCATTTAGTGCTCTCCTACTGATCATCATTGGGTGGCCAGGGATGCGCATCAGTAAAGTGTACAAAGATACAGTTTCGCTGCTGTCTCGCTGGCATGTGTGGCTCGGTGAGACAACCATGCAGGCGCGCCGCCAATGTTCTGGCAGTTGCGATTCGAAGTCCTCCGAAGCTCGGCAACGAAAGTCAGAGAAACCGGAAATCTGCGACACAGAGTACTCTGACTGAACTGCCTTTACGATTCAACCCCAACTTCTTCCGGCTCGATACCCACACTTGTACCGAGCACGTATGAGGTCTAAATAGCGCCAGCGCTTAAAAGTGTCAGATTTTCAGACAACGTGCCTGCATGACGCACCCCGCATCGTTGGCTGCCGCATATGCACCATGGAGATATTGGCGAACGGGCCGTTTTACTGTTGTACACGCAGCTGCATCGCTCGGGGCATTGATCAGCGTTATCTCCCAGGTTTTGCGCCCGCAAGATCATCTTGATTACGCCTTGTTACGTTGGGGCGGAGGATCGATCGATCCATTCTTATCGCAGAGAACTCAATCGAGGAGAACTCAATCGAGGAGAACTCAATCGAAAGACAGTTTTACCTGAGCATGAATGGCCTATCAGTAGCCTGAACTGGGCGCGCACCAGTGGGGATCGTTTTTCTTTCTGGGCTTGGCACACTATCGGGACTTGCGCTATGCTTTGATTCAAAGGATGATGGAGGAAACCACGACGCGCGGAGTGTGTCGCTTGCTTATACAGATACTAGCAAGTAGTCTTAAATGAAGGATCGACCGGAATCTTTAGCGGGGGTATAAGTCTTTCCCACTGCATTTTCACGCTCTGGGCTTCCTTCCAGACCGGACGAGCTAAGACATGTGCATGAAAGTTTCTCAACGTGCACGTCGAAATGGATAGGGCATCATTCCTGAATTACCCAATCCATGCTGCAGCAAGCCTACCAAACACCCGATCCGGTACTTTCCCTTGCACTGTCCCCCAACTCGCTTGCTCTCCCGTCGGTGTGCCCATATGCGCGACGTTTACTATCCATCCAGCTCGCATAAAAGGTACCGATATGCGCCATGTTGTTTGCACAGTTGCCGACATCGACCCGAGACCGCGTACCGCCGGCCAGTGCCTTGAAGCGAGGGAGATGTTTGCTTTGGGAGATGATATTGCATGTCGCCGCTGAGGGAATCGGTGCTATGATCGGATGGGCAGATGGCGAAGTGGATAAATCCATGTTTGAGTGGTCAATGTCTTGAATCGACAAAGACCATGGCAGCATTCGCCACACTAGATGCATGGATCTCTCTCTCTCTCTCTCTCTCTCTCTCTCTCTCTGATAACAGCATTGACGTGAGTCCGGCGCGACGCACCTGTGCTTGGCAATAGAGGAGCTTTCGAAACGCCAGCTACGCAGCGCCGCGTTGTGGAACGCCCGTCGGCCAGCTTGATCTTACAGTCGTTCGACCTCGGCCGGCGAATGACCTGTCAAACACAGAAGCTTGCGTGGGATTGCATGTAACGGAATCGCGGGTACTTGTTGATGCTCATCCGAATCCCCAATTCCCTCCTCCTCCTCCTCCTCCTCTGCCATCGATCCAAGCCTCCGCGGCGTCCGGAACTACCGTGGAACCTCTCCCTTGTGGAAACATGGGTTCTGGTGCACGGGAACGCGGTGACGGGGTCGAAGATGGCTCGCGGTTGTGTCGTCGCATTCGGCCGACCGTGTCCTACCAGCGTGCGTGCGCCGAGGTCGATGGCATTCGCGGGCTCGATCGGCGATGGAGATGCGCTCTTCGGTCTGTTTGTTTGCGCTACGGGATGTTGGTGCTTCGTCAGGTGCAGGCGGGCAGCCCGATTGCGGATGTGGAGGAGCGGACTCGTCGGGAGGCGTGGCGTGGGTTGACGTTGACGTGCGCTGTACGGAACCAGCCTTTCATCTTGGTCAGTCGCTTGTCCTGCAAGGCTTCGCACACCATTGCCTCGATATCCGGTGATTTCGGTGGTGACCTTCTCTAAGCCCGCCTCTGACGACTTGGGCTTTGCGAGAGAGTAGCGGCCGTACATAGGGGGAATTTGTGTGGTGAAGAGAACGTTGGGCCTGCGGGTGGTCTTTGGAGACGAAGGCTGGTTTGCACGGAATCATCGTTGGGAATGGATCGGTGGTCGAGTACGGATTGGTTGGCTCCCGGTTTGATGTGTTTTTTTTCACACAGAAGCAAGCGAGTGCTCTCTCAGTGGAAGCATTCAAATACGATCAAGGGTCTCAGGAAAGGTTGGAGATACTCCTTCGGATCGGACACTGCGTAGCGACAATCCAACTCGTGTGGGGATCTCAATCGCAACCCCCCTACAGCTATTTCGCGTGTCTGGCGTCTAGCGTTGGAAAACAGTGAACGAAGTGTCGGAAAAATTTACCTGTCAGTTGTCTCATTCCCATCCGAGAAACGCACATTGTATATCAACGCACATGTAGTGCGTATAGAGGATGTAGACAACGATTGGCCCGTCTTAACGCCGCGGATAGCAGCCACACGGAGGCCTGAACAGGCGTATCCTCGTACCCCAGCGCTGAGAAACTTTCCCATGCCTCCGCGGCGTATTCTAGACGTGGACCGAGTGAGAACGATGGCTGCGTACGGGTGTGATTGGGAGGAGGGTGGGACGAAAGAGTGCTGTGGCGCTGGAAGAGATGAGATCGGAAGACGGTGCAGAGGCTGTATAGCTCGCGATAGTAGACACGTGTCTCGTGCTGAAGACACGTACGGCATGACCATTCGGCATCACCGTCAGACCCACAGTTCCCACTGTGATGAGCAGTCATTGAGCACTCCGATTCGCGTCGTTTTCGCCTACTCCCGGGACCTGTAAGAATGCCTTGATTCCGAGTCTGATACTCAGAATCTGTTTGCTGCACTGCTGTACAGTTTCCTATCTCGCCCGTGCGCTTTCATCGGCGGCACGTATCAGCCTATAGATGTCGCTGGCATGGATGGGACTACGGCTGGATGTGCCTTGGGTCTCGTTCAGATTGAGCGATCCGAGTGTTTGAGAAGCAAAATCAACGTCTCAGCATGGAGGAGAGTTGGCACGTGAGCAAATGCCAACAGGCACAGATAAACAAATAAGGTATTTGAAGTGGGTAGGCCCAATAAAGACGAATAGATTTATTCGCGATACCCGTGGACCTATCCGCGCCTACGAAGTTTCACTGGCCCGCTGTCGGTAATGGAGACTGCATGTACAGAACGAGTGGGTTGATGCGATGGCTCTAAAGCCGTCTGTTTGCTGTTGTTTGCTCTAGCATGGTTGTTCCTATCGTCGCTCCGATGCGCTTTTCATCGCGCCCAGTTTCTCTGGCGGGAATCGCTTGCGACTTTGACGTCGACGTTTTCACACATAGTGGAGATCCGGCCTGCGAGATCGAGTACTGATGGTTGG